TTCTAATCGAGCACGTTTCGGGGACTACAATGGCGGGTGCAGACCCAAGGACTTTCCCCCAGCCAGTTCGTCAGTATATCATGAAGTCAATCGTAGATCTTGAAAGTCGGATTTATGAGAAGAATCTATGGCTTTTGGACCTCTAGCCGCGAAATGTCATCATTCGTTCGCCAGCGAGCGACCAGCCTCGCCCTCAGGTGGTTTTTGTTGACTTTGCCCATGCTCTTTTTAACCGGAGACGAGATGACCCCATTGCGCTGGAGCAGAACTATTTTCTGGGAGAGTATATTTCACCCATTTTGCGGTGGAATGAAAACAAGGATAACCAATCCCCGTTCTCAGACTGGATTGATTGGGACTGGGATAGTTTGTTGGGAGTAGAGTTTGCGCATACAGTTGCAGGGATCACGCCGGAGATGCGAGAGCGATGGTCCGACATTTACTAGGTGACTTGTTCTGTATACTAATAGAGTGCTATCTAAGATCTGAAAATATTCAAAGAAACGGGGTATGCTATCTGTTGATTGCTGAGAGACATCGCAGCTCATCGAGAATACCGGCCCGAATACCAGAAAATCCTAAGTTGCCAACAAATATCAAATTTTGCAACTTCGTAATATAACATTGACATCTGCATATATAGAGATGTGATTGAAACTATCATAGATAGTGTGTAAGTATCAACCAAATGACCAATGGCGCTAGGGGTTCCCGGTTAACTATTCTAGGTTGAGCTTGGATCAAAGAACTATGCCGATTGGGGCCTCTGGTCTGACTGCTTGCTAGTCCGATCACATAGCATACAAAGGGTCACAGCACGCATATGATAATCTTGACCTCATTCTGGCTAACAGGATTCAAGCATTCCTATCACACTAACAGGCCCGAGTTTAATAACGGAATGTGCCAAGATTAGAGTTGTATATCTTATTCCAGTGAGGTGCAAAACGCTGAACAACAGGTGGGTCCCCGGAGAATTACGTGGGCAATAGAAATCGGGCATGACAGATTGCCCAATCTTCCTTGATCACTCCCGGATGAATAAGAGCGTGGATTCATACACCTCACTATTCTTGGCCTCGACTTAACCTGAAAGCCAGGAGATTTCTCCTGGAATGTAAGAGATATTATGTGTGCATCAGCCAACCAGACTGGTAATGACCAGTGCTGGCCAGAACAAGAGATCTCTGTCCGGAGCAGACCACTACTCCGTATTGAACAGTCACTCTCAAGTGGAACCTGTAGAGAAGGGACCCAAGTCTAAACATTATTTCTATGCCTGGGAGTGCCTACGTAAAGGAGTGCGAGTCAGTACCCAGTGGGGTGATTCAATCCAGCCGGAATGCAATTATCCACCAATCAGGTGACGAGTTGGACAAATAGATTGAAGGGATTAATTGGATATACCAGGCTGATAGAAATACTTAGCACCCGTTTCAAGTTATTTTTGTGTAGAAATGAACAGGGCTGAAGACTTGCGGCACATGGTATCATCTTTTCCTTGTCGCAGGAACCTCCTAGCAACGGTAGGCTTTGGGTGACAGAGATAATTATCATGACCACAGAAAGTAGTTGACCGTTGCAGATTCAGAGCGATTGTGATATCTTTCACCTGCATTTGACAAAGGATCTTATCATAGATCTTTCAATTTGCGTTTGTTAGCGTTCCCTCAAATTTGAACCAAACAATGGGTTCGTAGAACTCACTAATTCATCGTAATACCACAAGAGCTCCAAGGATACCCATCAACAACAATCTCTCATGAATAAGAGAGACATGGCAAGATATGGTACAGTATGACACCCATTACCCATAGACCACAAACGATGAAGATGAAGATCAGATATTGAGAAATCACCAGACAATCTTCTGACTTGCATGCAAACACATCCAGCACGTTGTTGTTTATAGTAAGATGCCTTGTTGAACGAATAGTCAGGGTTGGAATTGTGACATCAAAGATAGAGCCTAGTACACACTCACAGTATAGGCATTTTGCTCGCAGATCAGTCTCTCGTGGTATGGATCAATGCTGAAAGCCCCTGAGCATGAGAATCCCTGGTAGGATTAGTGCGTATCCACAGACTCGGATAGACAAGGAACAAGAAGGAATACATACAACCTTGATTTGTGCTTGGAATGGAGTGATACCGCGTTTACAGCAATCCATTGAAGTAGGTTCCCCGCTGACTAGACTGGTTAAATAGACTTCATATCTAAGACGTTGGACTGTTCTCTATCCCCAAATCACAGCCAGAATAGCTGATCACCGGTGTGCAAGTGAATGAACCTTGTCAGTTAGCGACTTCTATCGGCACCATCCATTATTGAAACCGGACGCCCAGTTATCTACATATCAGTGATCGTGTAGTTTGGTATGACTTGGTGACTTTGCCATAATATCATCTAAGAGCACAGTTAGTCTTGCCTGCATAATTTGATAGATGTTACTAGGTACCTAGTTGTACTCTTTATTATGGCCAATAGCGGTGTATCTCTCTCACTCACCGCAAATATCCAGATCTGCCAAGTACAGCAGAAAGGTAATGTCATCATAGCCCGTCCGACTAACGCCCAAGGAGCTAATCTCCCCACAATAACCAAAAAAAAAAAGCGTGGGGAAAATGCGGAGTCTCGCCTTATCCGGCGATCTCGGATAACCAAACAACGATCAGAGTTCGAATGCCACGAAAGACAAGACGGAAAATTGCAATCCGGAGGAATGGTCGGGCGGATAATTCGGCCGTATAGAGCTTGCCTTTTTCTATATAACCAGGTCTTCATCATATGGTGCTGGTCTGGGAAGATGTATACAGCCGACAGCCCAATTCCCTAGAGATGAAGTCCCCCGCACTAGCCCTGACCCTAGCAGTAGCAGGTCTACTCTCAGGGTCCCTCGCCTCCGACAGGGTCAGCGTTCCTGAATCTTTCCTGCGAAGTATTCGCTCGCCTCGGCCGTTCCACGCCAGGGATTCCCCGGCGCGCAACCGCACATGCGTCGTGGAGAGCCACAATGACCACGCCACCGACGACTCGGAGTATATCTTAGAAGCCGTCAACGCCTGCAACCCCGGCGGCCACGTTCTCTTTCCGCGCGAGCAGAGCTATCAGATCGGTCGCCCCCTCAACCTGACGCATCTCTCACAGGTCGATCTCGACATCCAAGGCGCGATCCAGTTCTCCGACGACCTGACCTACTGGCAAAACCACACCTTCGATCTAGAGTTCCAAAACAGCACCAGCTTCGTCCTGCTGGGCGGCAAGGACGTCAATGTCTACGGCGGCGGGTCGATCCACGGTAACGGGCAGTTATGGTGGGACGCCTACGCGAAAGACAAGACCATTAAACGACCGATCCTCCTGGCCACGGCGGGCTTGCAGGGCGGGTCGGTCTCGGATCTGAACATGCTGAGTTCGCCATTCTGGCATAACATCGTCATGGACTCGGAGGATGTTACGTTTCATAATATCTACATGTACTCGGTCAGCGATAATGAGAATTTCGAGAAGAATACCGACGGATGGGATACGTATCGCTCGACGAGAATTACGATCCAGAATTCCACGGTAAATAATGGTGATGGTTTGTTGGCCTTCCTTCTCCCCCGATTCCTTCTTCCCAGTCGTATATGCCCACCCCACAAACCCACAGCTAAATCCCTTATCCCATGACAGACTGCGTCAGTTTCAAACCCAACAGCACCGACATCACCGTCCGCAACATGCACTGCAACGGCACGCACGGCATCTCAGTCGGCAGTCTGGGCCAATACCCCTCGCGCGTCGACTACGTCGAGAACATCCACGTCTTCAATGTCAGCATGTACAACTCGTCCGAAGGCGCGCGAATCAAGGTCTGGCCTGATTCGTATTCCGAGAAATCCAGTAGCCTGACCGGTGGTGGAGGCCGCGGGCTCGTGCGCAACGTCACCTATGATACGATGTGGTTGGATAATGTTGACTACGGGTTGACAATCACCCAGTGCTACGGGCAGGATGATGAGGAGGAGTGTTTTAAACATCCGGTAGGTTTGCTTTGCTTTCTTCTTCTGTTTGGTTTTGGTTTAAGGGTACTGGGAGCGTGTGGACTGATCTGTGACCAGGCGAAATTGAACATCACCGATGTGAAATTCCATAATATCCGGGGGCGGACGAATCGCGTGTTTGCGCCGTTGGTTGCGCATCTTGTCTGTTCTAGTCCGGAGACTTGTTCCGGGATTGAGGCCAAGGATGTGGATATTCGGTCGATTAACGGATCGAATTTGGTGACGTGTCGGAATGTGGATCGAACGAAGCTGGATTTGAATTGTGTGGATTGGAGTAAGGGTTATAATCCTGCTTAAGAGGATCCTGCGTAAGGGATGGACTTATAGATTAAGACTGGGATATATATATCAAGCTTCAAGTTCGGGCGGAATGGTAGGACAATTTATAAGCGTGGAGGCCTAATTATGGGTTACACTAAAATGCTAAAATTAAAATGTCATGCCAGTTCTTCGGAAAGTAAGTAGCCGATGATGAGCAAAAACCCACCTAGATGAAGACAAAGACGAATGGAGCATGGTCTAGGCTCATCTCAGTCAGCCGGAACTTGTCGCTCAAGACCCTGAACGCACGAATCATCCAGTTCTTCCCTGCGCAGATTAACCTCCAGATTCCGGTAAACCAGGTTAGTGCGTCGAGGAGAATCCGATCCATCGAGTGACATTGCGTTCCTGGACCTACACCACCAAACGGACGCTAGGCACCGATGCTAAATTGAACGAATCGAATAGAGAAAGCCACATATAATAACCAATGATCCTGATCAGAATTAATAATGCCTCTGTACGGCGTACAATTCACTATTAGCGCTAACAGGAACCAACTAGCGCACCCTCGTGATCACGTTGTTGGCCATTTGAAATGCTAGAGATCAGAAAGGCGTACTTTAACGAAGACTTCACCTGCTTTGTGAAATCCACCTCTCTTCTCAACAGTTGATCCAACCGTAGCAAAGATGCTGAAATTGATCACTACCGCTCTAATCGCAGTCTATCTGCTGATGAAAATTGTCGCTCTGGCCAAAAATTACAGTCGAGCTCGTCGTTCTGGCTTCCCGGTGTACATCTCCCCGGTTCCCTCTGAGAACATAGTTTGGATGGTCACTGCTCCCATTCTCCTGCGTTATTTGAAGAATTATCTGCCCCAAGGGATTTATGACCGACTTGACGTGACTCTCCATGGTTGGGAGTTTCGACAAAACGGGGCAATTTTCCGTCGAGTGGCCAAAACATTTATGTTGGTCACACCAGATGAAGTCAGCTTCTGGTGAGTGGACCGGTTTGCCGTTGCGTGTGATTGTTGGGGGATGTTGATTAGAAAATGAAGCTGATGGTGGGATAGGTCTGCAGATCCAGCCCTTGGAAAGGCGGTCCTGCAGCGACGGAAGGACTTCCCTGTACCTCCATCCGTCGCTCAGTTCATGGGAATTTTCGGATCGAATTTGCTTCAGGTAGGTTGCCTGTTGGCCTTTCCAAGTGAATATTTGCTAATCAATCATACAGACAAATGGCGACGAGTGGTTCGTACCTCTATTTATCCACATCGAACATCACAATAACAGTTTCAACTAGGCAGCGTCAACGACGTATCATAGCTCCCAACCTCAACGAGCGCATTAGTGCAGTTGTCTGGAAGACAAGCTGCGAACAGGCACAATCAATGCGTACTTACATGCTCCAGAACCCTGGCAATGAAGTTCTCAGCGGACTGCGATGTCTAGCAATCAATGTGCTTGGTCGAGCCAGTTACGGGCAACATGCAGCATGGACGCCCCAGCTTCAGGATAGCGTGGACGAAAGTGTCGACGCAAGAGAATCGTACTTCAAAACCGTCGCCATGGTAGCTGAAAAGTTAATCTTTGCGGCTCTTGTTCCCACTTGGATGCTCAAGTTGCCAGTTTGTCCGGCAGCTTTTCGCTCCCTTGGCAACCACATCGAGAAGATGCCATCATATACAAAGCAGGTGCTCGAGAAGGAACGCAAAATGGCGGCAGACGGATTTTCGACTAACGACAATATACTTAGTATGTTAGTCCGGTTTTCAGATCAGGCGAAGCAAAGCGAAACCAAAGCGTCGGGTCCGTCCCTGTCGCTGACTGAGGACGAAATCAGCGGGAACTTGTTTATTGTCAGCACTGCCGGGTACGATACCACGGCTCACACTATGGGGTACGCGGTGATTCTCCTGGCTGTGTATCCGGAATGGCAGGAATGGATGCGCGAGGAAATGAGTGGTCTCGACTCGAACGTATCGCAATGGAAGTACGAGGAGGTGTTTTCAAAATGCCCTCGCACCTTGGCTGTAATGGTCCGTACCTCGTCCCTTTCTCGCTCTGGCTCAATTCCACCCCGACTAACAAATGCGTGACAGCATGAAACCCTCCGTCTCTTCACTCCCGTTCTCCACTCTCTTCGTTATGTCCCCGAGTCGCAGCAGCTCGTATCATCTGACAAAGAAGTCCATCTACTCAAAGGCCCTATGTCAGTTTACGTGTCGACACACTCTATCCACGCTGACCCTGAGATCTGGGGCCCCGACGCTTGGGAGTTCAAGCCCTCCCGGTGGATTGGCAGCGACGGCGAAGTCATCACGCCTCCCTCGGGGACATTTCTGCCGTGGTCAGGCGGACCTAAAGGCTGCCCCGGCATCAAGATATCACAGGTGGAGTTTGTAGCCGCTTTTCTGACCCTATTTCATTCGTCGAGATGTGAGCCTCTGGCTGCCGAGGGCGAGAATATGGAGGACAAGCGGGCCGAGTTGAAAGAGTTGCTGAAGGAGGCAGTTTCGCAAGTGACGCTCACGGTCAAAGATCACGCATCGGTGAAGTTGCGATGGGTGACTGCGTAGGCACTATCCATGGTGACTACTTACGGTCATGAATTCGTGTCTTCAGACTGTGATGATTGCCGTAGTCCAGGCAGAGAAACGGAAGTCTTGGATAGGTGTAAGATGGATGGGTCGTGTCCGGCGTTCCGTGGACAGGCCAATGCTGTCGGAGCATAGGGACGTACCCTTCCGCCTGCCCTGGGGTTCGACCTCGCCTAGTCATCACTTAGTAAGCTAGATATCTTAACTAGTTAGTTAGTTAACTTAACTAACTAGTTAATTAACTAAGTTATTCCAACACATCACGACATTACATAATTAGGAGTGGCCCAAACAAAAGTGGGAGTCCCCCTATCAAATCCGGAGAAAAATGACTAGTTTTCATCATTGTACACCCACATTGACATAGTTTCCAGTCTCATCAAATGTCCAGGTTCCACAAACTTCCATGCTTGTTCCCGAATCTCCCATTCTTGTTCCCGGCTGTACGAAACAACCTCCCCAGTTGAACTAGCACAAGATGGCTGAGGCTCCTCAATCACACCTTGTGCCTGACGCGCCTCCTCGGCCCAAAGCAGACAATACCCCGTATGAACCGTGTACTCAACCAACTGATTAACCCAACTAGTATCCTGCAGGAAACCGTCCAGCTCATTCTGTAACTCCAAACTAACCTCTATGGCATTTGGGATCCAACACTCCAAACCCCCCTGCACCAGCCCCTCCCGCCCACTATCACACACCTCTAAAGCAAGCTGAAACCGCTCCTCGACGGTAATGAGCTGCGTTCCATATCGCATCGCGATATACTGTGTGAGTGTTTCCAGGACCTGACGCGCGGCAGGGTCGTGCTCGATTTGAGTACGTCTGCAGAGGATTTGTTGTCTTTCGTATTCGAGTCTCACGTGCTCGATTTGCGCGGCGCAGGCGGGGTCTCCTTGGCGGATGACGTTGGTAGCTTCGAGTTCGAGGATGTGTTGGTTTTGATTATCTCGGAGGTTTTGTACGTAGGCGAGGATTGACTCTGGGAACGGGAAGAGAATTGCGACGACGAAGAAGATTTCTTCCCATCCGGTGAAGAGTCCCGCTGCAAGTGCAAGGGATGTGGCTGGATCAATGTAGTCGCCTGCGATTTCCATGGCTTTCTTGCTCTTGTTTCAAGTTGTGGCTTTGGGGGCTGGGTAAAGTTAGAGACGAACCATAGACTTACTCGCATAGGATATGGGAGAGAGGGTGCTAAAGTACTTAAGACAAGGGCGGGGTATGCTCAATGCCACCTAATCGGGCCCATTAACTAGGTAGCCTCGCAATCCTCCTCGTCCAATATTGAGCTTGGATGGTGGAGTGTACATGCAGTATTGAATCAGAGGCTTGGTCTTATACAGTCGGTTCTGTAACGTGCCAGGGCCCGATTGCCCAGGCCAAGCCTGTGCGATGTGATCTATCAATTCCCCAGGGTATTTACACCCCCCTATTTTTACACTTTTCCAAGCTTTAGATAAACTGCATGTTGGCACGGCTCCATTGAATCGATTCGGCCATAGCCCTTCACATATAAGATATTTACTTGTTAGAAGAGTTCTCTAATGTCACGGACTGTGACCAGCCTCCGAAGCCCTTCGGGATACCCTATAACCTAACTACCCGATCAGGACTAGCTTCACAACCTGGCTTAGTTTCTTCGTTGAATGCATACCCTACATTCTCGCGATTCCTTATCGCCTGCGTAGCCGTTCGTTACAGGTCTTAACTCTTCTAGATAAGGGTTGGGCGTTGGTAATCATACCAAACAGAGATAGTCGTACAGGTAACTTGGCTTTGCTTTCTTCAGAGAAGTTGATAAACCAGCTTGAAGAGATTGTGTTTATGTCAGAAGCACTAGCAGCAGTTTCAGTTACATTAACTGGGGTAAGGCCAGTAGCTTCAGTCACTTCAGCTGATAGTATCTCCGGGTTAACAGGGACCATAGAGTATTGGCTTGCATTAAGCTGGCCGACCTTTCTTGGTATATTTGTTACCCGGTAAGAAATCCAGCGGGAGCTACGCTCGATCTGGCAAGTATTAAAGAAAGTAGAGATAGTCTCTTTCTGTGCCTCTAAAGCTGCAAGAGTTTCAGGAGATGAAAGTAGTAGAGCGAATCCAGTCTTGATAGACTGGACATCCTTGAGTACCTTGTTGTCGGTGCCCAGATGGGAGCGGAGGCTAGTATAAATAGCGTATGCGTCCATATTTTAGCAATGTGATTCGGCGGAAGGCGAACAAAGAGGCGAGAGTCAGGCTGCTGGTTCAAGGCAGAGATTCTAGTCTTTAGCTTGGTGCTGGTCTTGGTTGTGTCAGGGCCTTTGGCATTGGTTGTTTGAACAGCTGTTGCGTACGTCGACTGAGCAAGACCGGAGGGTGGACGAGATGGGGGGGAGAGAGGCAGGGGCAGGGGAGGGTGTAGTCGAGGTCAGAGAAACACCGCTGATATAGGCGTTGAAGTGTCGTTGGGCTATATCAGCCAAGGCGTTACTGAGCGCGTCAAGCGCACCACGCTGGTGAGGCGCAAGGCCTGGCTGACTCCGGTGTTTGTCGAGAAAGGCTGCTATCGGGCTGAATATCCTCTGACCTTCACCAACCCTAATAGAGGCCGCGGTAGTTGTCTCTAGTAGCGCAGCTTGTAGAGGCCCGCCTGGTTGGGGGTTGTGTGTTGCCATCGTGGCGACACGTAGCCCGTAACGGTCGGGTTGGATGTGGCTGGCAGTGGGCGGACGTCCCTGATCCCGGGCACGGTGCCCGGAATGAGAATTAGATATGAGTATTCGAAAGGGCTCTTGTAGATCTATTCTAAGCACGGTGCTTAGAATGGGCCTAAGCGGGATGTGGCCACACCGGCCACCCAATACACAAGCCATCCATCGCTTCCCACAGATGCTTAGTATCACGTGGGCTGGCGATCCCCATTTGTGGCAGAATTTTACCACTACACCAAAAAGGGTCAACCCTTCTCAGCAAAGGGTAATTAGTGCATGTATTCCCGCGGCGACACCATTGTAATCAGTTCCTATTCCTAATAGTTGATCTACTACTCCGTACCCAAAGTACTTCTGAAGTGGGTCCACCGCATTGCGCAAGCGGCTCTCCGGTCAAATTTGCCGTCCAATCACCCAAAGCTTCATTTTCATAGCCTGTCTCCAATGTATGACATCACTCCAAGCACTGCTCCCCTCCAGCTAATTAATTAATCTCTCAGCCGATCATCAACTTGACCCCGAATATCATATATTTCAGAACAACCCATCCGCCTGCTAGACCTGTATAGACGTACAGTCCTCTTCTCTTGTCTCTCTCAACACTCCTAAATCCGTCAATAAAATGCCTCGGTTTCGTATCTTAGACTCAGCTGGGCAAACGGTGCGGTATAGCATATTCTGATCTTCCCCCTCCCTCTCTCACTCACTCACTCTCTCTCATCCCTTTCCCACGTACTCCGTAAATTAGTCTACCCAGTAATACTAACCCTCCCCTTAGGCCCAGGGAAGTCGAAACCATCAAGAAGACCGCTACAAATGCATTCTCCCGGACGAGTTCTCCCCGCCCCAGGGTGCCCAAATAGCTTATTTTGCCGTCTATGATGGCCAGTATGTCTCTACCCTCTTCCCCCTTACCCTCTTTTTCTAGCTCGGTCTTGGTCTGATATCTAACACCCCACCCAGCGGATCCGACGAAGCGTCCGAATTCGCGCGTCAAAGTCTCCACAGCCGAATCGCGGACCGCGAGGAGTTCCGCTCCGGAAAGTACGAAGAGGCCATCGCGTTGGGTCTCAAAGATATCGACGATGAACTGTACGAAAGATTCCGCGGCGGAAGCGACGAGTCCGCCATGTGTGGGTGTACGGTTGCGTTGTGTCTACTGGACCTCACGAGCGGGAGTATTCTGGGGGCGAATTTGGGCGATTCGCCGATTATTTTGGGGAAGAAGGATGGAGATGGATATCGTGTTGTAAGTTGCGGTTTTTTTCTCTCGTCCTTCCTTTGATGGATCTTTCTTGGTCGTTTTCGGTTATGAAGTACCCATGGGTTTATTTATATAATGAGGGGGATTGGCTAATAAGCTATCTAATCCAGCAACGACTTTCTCATTCGCACAAACCGTCCGACGCAGACGAGCGCGACCGCATCTTCGACGCCGGCGGAAAGCTGAACGACATAACCGGTGAAGACAGACTTGGTGCAATCAACATGACGCGCGCCTTAGGCGACCTACAACTCAAGCGACCGCTAAACGAAGCGACGGTCGACAAGGGATTGGAGATGGTGTCGGGCCAATCGGATTCCCACGACACCGAAGCCGACTTTATGTCGCGATTTCCGTTCACGATGACCAGGAGGCTGTCTCGGTCGAGTAGCAAGCAGATCCTGATCCTGGCTAGCGACGGCGTGACGGATGCGTTGGAGGACGAGAAGCTGATGACGCTGGTAGGGACGATGGAGAAGCAGGGCCATTCGGCGAAGGATATCTCGCGCGCGACGATCGAGTTGGTGGGGAGGGAGAAGCATAGTGATAATTGTACTTGCATCATCGTGTTCCTCAGCTGTGAGGATGATGAATGAGTTCGGATAAATTCAATAGGTAGCGAGTGTTTACCAATAACTGATTGGGCGGCGTGAATGCATTCCGTGGCTATCTATATCGCTACAATGATATGTACAATGCGAAATGAACTGAGATGACATGACATGGCATGAGAATATTGTTCTCGCAGAGTTTAAAGTCTCGTTGCTTTGGCGTAGCCTCTCTTCTCTTACTGTTCCTCGATGCTTTGCGCAACATTGGAGCAAAATCCCTCGTGGAAGTCTAGCACCTCTTGGTACCTGGCGCGTCGTATCGTTAGCCATATACTTCTCCTGTCGGTGGTTATAGGCGCACTGCAAAAGGAAGGACTTACATTTTCTTCTTCCATTCCTCCGCTGACAACTCCATTTCTTCATATGACATGTCAATTTTGCGCTCCGCCACGGGCTCGTCTTCCGGCTCGTGGAAGTTCGCCATGTACGGATGGTCCAAGGCCTCTTCGCTGGTGATTCTTTTGTACGGGTCCAGCTGGAGCATTTTTCCGATCATGTCGACCGCTTTTGATATAGTTAGCATCACTTCCAAGTGTCAAGAAAGTTTCCCAAAGAGAGTAACAAACCTTCCTCTTCGACACCGACAAAGAATGATGAAAGCGGCCGAGGCTCCCGTGGTGGCAAAGATTCCAAAAATTTCAATGTCTGTATAGGTAACGAATATCAGCCATCCGAGTCCACATTTGACACTGCTGGATAGAAAGTGAGAGAGGACAAACATTATGGCTATAGACTCTATCGACCAGTTCCGCTGGCGGATTGCCCAAGATGTGCGTGATGATCCTGAACTGATCGATATGGTCTTTCCCCGGGAATAGAGGCGTCCCGCGCAACATCTCGGCCAAGATACAGCCCGTGCTCCAGATATCTACCGCGTAGCTATAATGCTGCCACGTCAACATCACCTCCGGGGCGCGATAGTACCGTGTCACGACGTAGCCGGTCATTTGGTGGTCTTGCTGGCGGGCGAGTCCGAAGTCACAGATCTTGAGGTCGCAGTTGTCGTTGACGAGGAGGTTTTGGGGTTTCAAATCCCGGTGGATGATGCCGGCCGAGTGGATGTATTTCAATCCTCGCTGGACAGATAGTCAGTAGCGGGGCTCGGGCTGCGATATTCGCGAAAGGCAGAGGCAGACGTACGAGGATCTGATAGGTAAAGAATTGGACGAATTGGCTTTCGAGTGGTTTCGATCGGATCACTTGGTAGAGGTCGGTCATCATGGCTTCGGTGACCATGTAACTACTTGGGTTAGCACTGTTTGCGAAGAAAGGATCTGATGGAGCAAAACGTACATGTCTTCTGACGGTGAAATGAAGATATCTCGCATGTTGATCAACTGCGTCGCATTAGCGCTCGTTCCCGTCAAAGGACCTGTCTTTTCAGAAACGGACATTCTCATGGCGCAACCCGTTCAGCAGATGGACTTCTCGAAAAGTCCGCTTCAAGATGGCGACATTATCGAATGGTTTTGCGATTTTCTTCAGGACCACTTGATCTTTGGATATGGAGTCGTGTGCGGAGCTAGCGAGACACCACCATTAGCCATCTGGTCGCGATTCACTTTCATTGTCCTGATCATGAAGATTGGAAGATAATAAACATACCAAATAACACCGGAGGCACCGAAACCCTGCGGTTCAAGATTTCCATACCTAGAGTCCGGTAAGCCTCCCTGCTCCGATCGCTGCGCTGTCACAAGACAACAAAGAAATGGCAGCTTTACCTGTCGGTGATATCATAAGTCGTACCGAGGACTTGAGTGCGTACGAAATCAGGCATAATGGACTTGCTTTTCTTTCTCGCGTGTACTGAGGAAACCAAGTGGGAGGTGGGATGATGTGAGAGGGGGGATTCTGAGGAGGGACAAATCGAGACCCATAGAGGTGAATTGGAGATAAAAAGAAAAGAAAAAGGTCGATGGGGTTGCAATGATGTTATTCGTGTCAATCCCCGGTGGGCCCTGGACTACCAAGTATGTCATCGGCATGGATCAAGGATCAAGAGGGATCGTCGCACAGCCGGACGGGAGTGAGCAACTCCACTCGATTCATCACTCTTTGCTCTGTCAGTTAAGAGTTCCACTCTTTTCAATCAAAGGCAGGTTGGCATTTTAACCCGATAGGCTGAGAGCAACAGCCGGTGCTGGCGGGGAGCTGGTTAGTTGGGGGCAGTGGGTAAAAGTCCCCACTGAACCCAGCTTCCAAGCATCCATGGATGCATCTCAACTTCTCAACTCGACAGACGTTTTACCCGGTTTTTTTTTTTTTTTTTGCAAGTGATCCTTTGGTTCGGATATTGCATCCTTAGCAATTTAATAATCTTAATAGCTTCAAGTCCTTGATGAACCAGCGGAATCAATCTTCAATTATGTCATTATTAACCCATAAACCAGCATGAGCTGCTATAGCACAATCATGTAGAAATCGTTGTTAACCCATAATTCATCTACTTTCCAATACCCAAAGCACCCTTCACCTTATCGCCTCTACATCGAGATGCCATTAGCACTGACCAAATCATGGGATCTCCACGATCTGCAGAGTGTAAGACTTACACAGACTCGGTAGCACCACCGTGCTCCTTGTTATCGTGAGCCCGCTGGCCCTTGTCGAATGCCTCCTGAGGACCTGACTTGCTCTCATCAGACTGGAATCCCCGCGCCACGCGGTCCGTGGTGTCCGTGGTCGCCTCCTTGGCCTTGTCCTGTGTGGACTTCATAGACTCGGGAGTAAGTTCCTCCTTGGCCTCTGCAGTGTGTTAGATCGGGATGGTTAAGAGGAAAGGTCAATCTAGACCAAGGGAAGCATGATCAGGGCTTGACGTACTGGTAGAGAAGTCTTTGCGGCCCGAGTCAGACATTTTGGATTATGAAGTTGATATAATATACTTGTGAAATGTAGATGTAGTTGAAAAAAAGTCACTCGAGTGTGTTTGTTTCTCAGTTCAGAAAGATGCTGAGGGAGGAATTATAGACAAAAGTACGCCTTTTTATATCGTCCTGTTCTACTCAGCTCATTATTACAGAGCATCTATTCCAGGAAGAGGCGTTGTTGCATGACGCGTGAAGTAATAATGTCCATGACGTGGGATTCATGTCAGACTCTTTCTCTCTCCCCTTCCGGCTCTGCATGTGTCCTATGATGCTCGCCATGGAATGCTATCATGGTAGTACATGGTAGTACATGCACGTAATGCATACATCAAGTGTAACTTCTCCATGTTTACGGAGCACGAGTAGATATTCCATGACGTATGAGTGACGTCATCAACCAGAAGAGCCCGGTGCTTGATTAATTGCGAGAATAATCAAGATCGTGTTTAAAGAGATAAGGAGATTGTGATCTCCGCAGATTCATAACATGGCAGTCAGGTCCACAGAGGGTAGCGCCTTTTGAACTTGCATGCACGATCTACACTCAACAGGTGTACGGACTACGGAGGAGTGGGCTGCTGTGCATGTCCCGGCAAGATTAAGGTAGCCGAAGGGCCTACAGAATACGGTGTCGAGGCACAAAGGGCCATGTAGATCATACGGTAAGATAGAGCCTAATATTCTAGAACAATTCAGGAAGTTCGATGTGTGAAGTCTCGACCCCAGTGGGGTGTAGTCCAGAGCGTTAGCGTAGTTCCTACTGTTGGTTTGGTTGCTCACCATCCCTAGATATCGAGATGAGGTGGCACGTTGAGGACACAATTTATCCATGCACAGTCCGGCTATATCTATCTTACTTCCTATTTTCTACTGGTGTAGCCTTCGGAAAGAAAGGTTTATGAGATACTATAGTACTGCACTCACTCCGTAGTAGTTACTTTTACTGCCTGTCGATCCAAATACGTCATTGCACTGTAATGGACCTTTACTACCGGATTGATCTCTTTGCTTCCTTGTTGTTACGACCACGCTCGGTCAGGCTGAGTAAGGCTAGGATCTGTACTTGATAAGAGGGCGTAGTTCCGTGGATGTGGCTGTTATTTTTCATGAGGGAGGATCAAAATGCATGACAGGCGATTTGAGAGATTACCGGCCATTGTGGTTGATGGGCACAAGGCTAATTGCACACAGGGCTCGAGAAGTCTAAATAAAAATGCTCAGCAATGAATAAAAGGTTTGGCGTCGTTAAGCCAAGTTTGATCATTACTCGTGAGACTATCATAGCTAAAATGACTCATTCAGGAATTCAGAAAGAGGAGTAAAGCGTGTGTGTGTCTGGGAGTGTGTGGGAGAAATAGGGACCGTTGGGTCAAGACGCCTGTGCAAAGATGATAAGAGCTCAAAAACTCAATATGATCTCCACTTCAGTGTCCTTGCCCGGCGCAGTTGGCCTCGAAGCTCGCGTGATCTCGGCCATCATGTCTTGACCATCGGGAAGCTGTTGGACTACATCGTCATCGATGATGACTTTCAAACCGCCCGGGTTGACATGAAGCACACGGGCTACAGAGTCCGGGTCCATGTTCTGCTTCCGGCAGATTTGCATCGTCAAATCATGAACCGTGCGTTCCTTCAAATACAAAGCTCGATGATATTGGTCCTGTCTCTTCCAGTCGTGATGGAACCGAACATAGAAGCAAACCGCTAAAGACTCTTGTCAGCACATACAATCCCTGGACGCATTAACCTGTATCGACCTACCTGATCCTGTACAGGGTAATTCAGGACGTTTGGACAATTTTTCAGGGAGTGGTGGTATTTTGAACACCGGTTGTGGGGATTCCTGTTCCACAGCAGCACCGGACGATGATACTCTCGATGGCTCGGTGATGACGGTGGAAGGTGAATTGGAACTTGTCGACGTCACATTAGAATATGGCCCCGTGCTACCCGTACTATCGGGACTATCGTCTGATTTTTCGAGGCTATCGCCTGATTTGGGAGGGCTCTGTGAAGCCCCGGGGAATCGAATTGGATATTGATCCGGATCGTCCTTCGGCTCACATCGCTGGGTGAGGCCAGTCATTGGCAGGTTGGAAGTGAGCGAGTCGCCGAGCATGTGCATCTCCGCATCACGGTAGATCTGTGCCTGTCGCTGTTCCTCATCCGTCCTTGCAGCGCTTTTAGCAACGCTTGAAAGGTTACCCCGTTTGCGCTTTCCGAGTTGATCATCCTCTCCAGTCTGAGACATCGCGGTCTCCCTCTGAAGTTTTCTGATGGACTTCTGCGTTTGGGAAATATCGCTGTGGAGCTTTCGTTCCGCTCCGTGGTCCCGGAATAACTTGATCTTACAAGAACACATTTCAGGAGCATTGTCGACGCCTGCGTCTTCTTCATCCGGCGCGATCATCTCGGTTTTGACGCATAGTCGGACTGGGTAACCTTTAACACCCTTGGAATGCGTGAAGTCGGTCGACAGGAAATTGAACCGGACGCCAATGCTGCATTCTCGCGCACCTGTTTGGATGTCTGCCGTCCACGTGCAACAGAATCCATCAACCGAAATTCTTTCCAACTGTATTTGGTTCCGAGGTTTACCCGCTGCCCCTTCTGCCGGGTCGAGGCAGTCAACTGCCTGTGCATCGCCACCCCTTTCCTGGGCGTCCTTCGATCCCCGTACCTCCTTCCAAAGTTGCCAGCAAGCCGAGGGATCGATTGCCTGTGCCGCTTCATCGAAGACGACACGAACCGATGTGCGGTACCTGGCAGGCCGGCTACCCGCCGGCGGTGGGACTGAATCCGCAATGGAAAGTATGTAGGTCTGACCTTTGTTGAGATATGTCATCGGAGCTTCGTTTTGATCCTTGATCATGGCCGTTGGTGCATGCAGCGTCACATTATACCGCAACCTATATCGAGCAAAAAGTTAACTTTGCCGACAGAAGAAACAGACACAAGAGATCGAAAGAACACGCCCGAAGATGGCAGAAAAAACTTACTGCTCATTGCTAGCCTCAAAGGCCTCGGTCGACTGCGGCATCTTGCTGGCCGTATTTGGACTGTGGTCGCCTTGCTTACTCACATCTTTCAACGAAATAGTGTTTGAACCTTCTTGTCGAGGCAACCCAAAGCCTTCAGTGGAAAAAGATACATTGTTGAGATATTGATCCGGATTTTGATTTAGGCCGTAATAATATTGTCCTCCTAATGCGTCGTAGGTGTCGTGGGCTACTGTGCCCGGCGAGTTGTTGGTGAATTGGTCAAATAGCGTCTCGTCGAACATTGCGTTCATCTTGCTGGATGGGGTGAGCAAGTCGCCCGCTGAAAAATGAGAGACGGGGTTCGTTATATTCAATGTATCGTCATGATTATTTTGTTTCCGAATACATGTAGGAGGAAGGGAGGCGTCGTCTAGGGTGGGATTAACGCGAACCGATGGTGCAGCCGGACTATAAATCAATGAGGTAGTCAGTGATGTGCGGGGGGGAAAAAAAGAAGAAAAAGGCAAAAAGAAAAAGAAACAAAACAAAACAGAACGATCGGTCCATTGTGAGAAGCAGAGAGCGGAAAGGGGAGAGGGAGGTAAGAGGCTCGTACCCAGTGGCGTCGGAATTCGGTCGCACAACGTCGGAAAAGGTCTCTTGGAAGTTATTGATGAGGTTCTGATTCGGCTTTTTCTTGTTTTCCCTAATTTTTGAGGCAGATAAGTTAGCACATGGGTGACTTGAGCTATCACGGCTGTTGTTTCGCGCCCGTATTGATGCTCACAAGTTGGCGGGATGGTTAAGGCGCATTGCATTCGGCGGGGCTCAGGCATCGAGACGTAAAGGGCATTCCTACCTATTGGTGAACATGGTGCAGGGAATTGAGTGAGAGCTTAGTGGTGTTTCTCAGATTGAAAGGGACGGTGCGGTCAAGCAGCACGGCTAGGATTTGGGGAGAAGAGGAAAAACAGAGGTGACATCAGGGCGGGAGGGCGGTAATTATAATTGGGCAGGATAATCTGCTAGACTGCTCGAGGGGGGGAGTTGCTCCAAGAGTCCAAGTGTCCCTCAATGTGACGGAGCTCTTCTCCCTGGCGTCCGTCATTGGACGAAGGCCGTCCAAAGGCGGAAAAGATTTCAGTCTTCACAATGGCACATCGTAATTGGGTGAGCGTCGAAAGCCACGATGACGCAGAGGGAAAAGCTGATGGGGCGATCCAATGATCATGTCCCACCCTGAATTGGTCCCTGATGGGCTCGTTCTCCACAGTGGGACGAGAATTTTCCCTACCGAGTCAGCGCCGAAAGAGGCCGTTTCATCCCCTGCTGTCCGGAGTACGGGGAGACAATACCTTGCTGACATATGGGGAGCCTCTCTGCAGCGATGAGGGGGTGATCATTAAAGTGAATCTGCAATCTGCAATACTGGTATAGCACGTAGCGTGGACGGGAAGATGGAGGGTGGAAACGACGAACAGAAGACGAAGATCCGATCCGATGCGCAGATGGTCCCTACGCGTTGCCCTCTGGAGAGCCACTGACATCATCGACAATCACGTCGACCGTCCATGACTTTTTGGATCACAGGACTGCTCACCTCACCATCCATTATCGATGGTTTTTTTGATATTGTGTTGTCAGTATGCTGCGTTGTCCATCGACGATGGCTGTCGGTGTTCCTTGATGCCTGAGGTTGAAATATGCCAAGCATTTCGCCATCTGCTCAGCCCTCAACCATTATATATAGGGGACTTTCATTCACTTGCTCACGACGGAGAGCCTGACCGACCAAAGTTAGAAACGGATTAGAATACCTCTCTCCAACTGCAAGCATTGAGCCTCTCTATCTTTCGAGATTGTGCTGAGATTTGACACCGGACAACTACTGGCCCGACCGCTTAGCACGGAATCGTCTGTGCAGTCATAGTGCAATTTGAATATTGGATACAGCCGCGTCGACTTAGCTCGACTGATTGGCAGCTCATCATGTTCATCAGGTTGTTGGGAAGATGCTGAAACGCATGAGTGTTCTGCTTTCTGTTTTAGCTCTTCTGTCACGAGGCGAGTGAGTGGGATGGGCCCATACTGATCAAGGCGTGTGGGCTGAGGAGGGTAGCCGCTGATGGTCCGGCATCGACACCATTATCCTACCTAGTCCTACTTATGTCTTCATCCCACTCCCCTACACCGATTGTTGGTGGGGGAGTCCTACCCTGCATGGAAAATCATTCAAGCAAAAAAAGTCATGATAATAAGTAACACAAGGAAGGTCGAGGAGCAGAGAAAATAATGGATATATTTATACTATGGCAAGACGTAATATCAAAGAAACGCTATACAAGAACACATTACAGACCCACAGCCGGTGCACACCTGAGCTGTCATTAGTGAGTACCAAGATCATCTCCACTAACCAGGAGCCCATTGAACCGAAATGACCAATATGCGGAAGTTTAGTTTATATCTCGAACGGCGATGGCAAGCGCTGGAAGGCAATTTATTCTTTCCCGTACGCTTTGTCGACGCCCTTCTTGTTCTTCTCGAAGATCTTCTTGCGCTGGATCTTCTGCGCAGCGGTAACATAGCCCTGTGATGATCTTATGTTAGAATAATCATTCTAGAAGCGAGAAATCAAACTTACGTTATGGGGAGTCCATTCATCCTTATCCAAAACGACTCCGTCGATGATCTCGAAGGCAGAGAGCTGGCCCTGTCGACCGGCCTTCTGGAGTTCCCGAAGAACAAGGCTGTTAATCTGTGGGTGGTCAACCAGATCCTCAAGGTCATGGCCTTGGATGTTGTTCTCCCGAGCAAGCCGCAGCAAGGCTGGCTCAGCCGGGACGATGATTGCGACAGGCTTTTGTTGATCCTGGGCGGCATAAACACAGATGTTGGCGACCAGAGGCGATGCGCGGTAGATGGATTCCAGCTTCTCCAAAGCAATATATTCGCCGTTCAGAGTTTTAACAAGGTTCTTCTTGCGATCGATAATCTTGACGTGGCCGTTCTTGTCGAACTCGGCAATATCGCCCGTCATGAACCATCCGTCATCTCGCAGAGCAACCTTAGTCTCCTCTTCGTTCTCATAGTATCCCCCAGTGACCGAGGGACCGCGGATCCACAGTTCACCTTGAGGGGGGTTATTGGAAGTGAAATAACCGGCCTCCGGAAAGTCCACCAGTTTCTCCTCGACGGATGCGGGGATGTCACCGTGGGCCTCGAAAGTCAGCGCACGAGGGTCATTTAGTGCGCCCATACCCCCGGTCTCGGTCAGTCCGTACCCACTTATGAGCGGGCAAATAGCCGTGGAGATAAACTTCTGGGTGTTTTTGGCAAGGGGACCGCCACCGGACATGCAGATGCGGAGTCTGCCACCAGTGGCATCCCGAACCTTGCTGAACACAATGGCATCCAGAAGACTAACTCCAGGAATGCCGGTTGAAAGCAAGAACTGCTTCCATGTCAAAGCGTACCCGAATAAGTTCCTGGTAAGGAAGCTGCCTGCATTCACCTTGGCGACGATGCCCTTTCGGATAGTCTCCCAGACGGCCGGAACACCGACGAGAATACTCGGGCGGAATTCAAGGATGTCGCCCTTGCAATTGCGGACCGAGGTGTCGGTGAGGGTCTTAGGAGACCCGTAACCCATCGTGGCCCCCCAGAAGAGGGCGGCATTTTCAAAGATGAACTCAATGATGTGGGCCTGGGGGAGGTAGGTCAAAAGACCGTCGCCGGGTCCTATATAGTCACCCACGATGGAAGTGGCACCGGCGACGGAGGCGACAACAGCCTTATGCTTAATGGTCACTCCTTTCGGCGTACCCGAAGTTCCCGAGGTATACATCACACAGGCCAAGTCGTCCGGCTCCGGCACGACATGTTCCGCCGGGTTTTCCTCCCCAAGCGTCTTGAGTTCGTCGAGCTCGATCACGTGGATGTTGGGGAATTGCGCCTTGAGTTTTTCCAACTCCTCCGGGTTGACTTTGGTTTCGTTGTTCAAAATAATAGTCTCGACCGTCGGTGCTTCGGACAGTGCCTTTATGAGAACCGGTAGGAGACCAGCGTCCAAGAACACGGCTTTCGATTTGGTCTGCTTGAGCGACGACCGAAGACCTTCGAGACCCAGGGTGTCATACGCAGTGACAATCGTAAAAGTCTGAGTGAAAGCGCCATGTGCAAGTGAGAGCCAGTTCATGCTATTTACCCAGTCAGTAATCTTTCCCAGTGATGCGCGCGCAGTGAGAAGCTAAGCGAAGAATTCTTACCTGGTTGCGCCGTAAAGATGGATTTTGTCGCCCTTTGTCAATCCGAGTTTCTTCAAACCCGCCCCGAGTGTGCCGACATGCTTCTGAAACTCGACAAAAGACAGGAAGTTGTAGGGACTCAATTCGAAATACGACCATTCCTTCTCGACCTCCGTCTCTCGGCCGTCAATGATTTTCTTCACCTTCTTCTTCTCTTTGTGTACGTCGAGTAGGGTTCTCGAACCGATGCATCTCGCATTACCAAACTTGTTGGCGGCGTAGGTCACGATATCGTAGACGGTCCTGACCGACGGATCGGGCTGAGTGATGAGACCATCCTTGCACCGAACGTTTCGGCGCGGAGCTGTTTCTCCGTCAACCTTTTCCACTCCCGGGACCTCGTAGGAGAAGGGGGCCCTTTTCTCCATTTTTGGCAGAATCTTCGTCTGCTGTTTGGAGGTCATCTTGGAGGTGCGCGTTGCTCGATCGGAGCTCCGTAGGCCGACCGGAAGAGGAAGTTAGAGGGAGAGTTTGCAAGCTTGGGGGCGCTTCCAGCTGATGACAAAGAAAATCGAGAGCGATCACGATAATCAAGAGCTACAGGGGTTCATTTGCGGAGGGAAGAGTCGATGAAAACAACGCAAGCGATGAGGATGGAGACAGACAGAGAGGAAGAAAGCGAGCGAAGGAGGAGCGGAGAAGACACGGCAGGGACAGGAATCGATTAATTTTAAAAACGATGGACTGGTCGCGGGGAAACGAGAGAGCTCTGTCGCTCTGCAGGCAGCACCAACACCAGACCGGACTAGACTCCAGACTACGAAGTCGCCCAGTGTCTCGGCAGAAAGGCTGCTCGTGCGCCGACTGGAAGTACCCAGGTGATCGACGTTGGGTAACGCTGTGCTGGAAAATCCCCAGGAAAGGTGTCAAAGTCAAAACGTGTTGGGTATTATTTACGATGATGATTGTCGGCTGACCAACTCATCCGGCGTTAATCATAATTCATAATTCCAGCTCTGTAAAAAAGCTGGACGTGGCCCCCGGGGGAAGTGCTGACTACGCCGCGGTTCCCCTCTTTGGCGTCGGCTGCTCTGCCTTTCTCCTCTTCTCTCTTTCTCTCCTCTCTCGCTCTCCGCCGATTGAGCCTCGGTTTCTCCTGATCTAGGTGGCCATGGGTACCTGCAAGCTAGCTTCATACTTCATACTCCATTCCAGCTGGCCCTCGCTCAACATCGCAACGGCCCAAGTGGGTGTTTCAAGTGGATCAACGGACCGGGACCCACGACGGCAACCAGACTGACTAGTGGGCGATGCAAAGCGTTCGTTTTCGCGTGCATCGGCCAGATTCGTGAGGTGGTCTGGGTTGGCAGGTTTCGTTGCAAGCACAGCCCCAATCATTCTTCCTGGACCCTCTCTGACCCTAGGGCCCTGAAGCTCGGCTGCGGCCAAGTCTCCTGACAGGAGGACGCCCCGATCGTGGCCCAATTAGACGGCGTCGGGGCTTTTTTTTGCCTGAGGCCTGTGTCGCGTCACGTTGGCCAGGAGATACACAAGGATGAGAGTCTGCGAACGAACACGGACGACAGGTCTTGCGGACTGTTTATCGCCCATCTTGTGACACCTCGGTTTCGCGACCAGATTAAGTTTGAGTGGCCCGCCAGGTGAATGAAAGCACCTTTACAATAAGGTTCAAAAACAAGACTGCATTCAACAAAGCCGCCCACAATCTACCACTGGGCCTTCTAATTCTAACTGTGTCGCGCGACCAAAGAATCCACCGCCCTCTTGCCCATGTCTTTGAGCGTGCTCTGCATGATCTCTAGAATACTGACTTCCAACCCCAGTTGTTGTCGACACCAGTTTCTCAACTCAATCCCAACCAAACTATCTAACCCCAATGTGGCAAGAGGCTGTTCCAAGTCCATGTCGTCCGCACTCTGCATCATGAACCCGTACAAGGTCTTTCCGATCTCCTTGGCTAAATACTCAACCGTGTCGTCCCCGAGAGTGCTGACTCCTCTCGACGTGATCTGCGAAAGGAACGATTTCAGCCCTTCGTTAGTGGTCAACGAAGCGTCCGAGGTGGTTTCGAGGTTTCGATACACGGAGAAACGGCGATCCCTCTTCCAGATAATGCGGTTGTTGGGATCTGCCAAGGGCATGTAGGAAGCGACGCCCACGGAGATCTCGCTGGGGTTGGTGAGGGCGTTAGCCGCTTGACTGGGTTGCGACCGGGCGATCGCGAGGCGGACGGTTTCCACCAAGTCTTCCTCCGTTAGCAGATTTGCGGACAGGAATTTGAAGTACTCGATCAGGTTGGGCGACTCGGAGACAAAGCCAACGTCTTCCATGACACCCAGATCGATAACGGACGCGGCAAGGCCCAGTGAATGCCGATACTGCACAAACGCGTCCAAGAACGTGTTGGCAGCTGCATAGTTTGCCTGACCAAACTGGCCCATCAGTCCGCTAACGGAACTAAACAACACTAGGAAGTCGAGGTCGCTCAGTGCATTGTGCAGATTCCAAGTACCGTCGACCTTCGGAAGAATCGCGGTCTTCCAATCCTCGTATGTCATCGTGTCAATGGCCCGGTCCTGTAATGGTGAAAATTAGCGCCCGAAAATTGTCCTTGGGAGACATCACAAGAATCATACCTGGAGAGCCATGGACAACTGTATAACGCCACGAACAGGCTTCTCTGCTTGGGTTGCTACATGTTGTACATCACCAAGATTGGCGACCGAGCCTTTGAAGACCTGGACCTGACAGCCCAGAACTTCTAATTCTTGAATGAAATGCTCAGTCTTCTCAGATCTCCCCGACCGTGAAAGGAAGACAATATGTTTAGCACCGTTTTCGACGAGCCAAGAGGCGATTGATCGTCCTACGCCACCAAGGCCTCCGACAAGCAGGTAACTTGCATCTTCATGCAAAGGTAGATCTGGATGGCGGGCAGCACAAGGAAGATCCTTGAGATCATCCGGCATGCGAACCGTAAGCTTGCCGATGTGGGTTCCTCTCTGCATGAACCGGAACGCATCTCCGATCTCGCTCGCTGCGAAGGTCTTGATAGGTCGGATGGGCTGAATAAAGCCTTGCTCGAAGTACTTCGCACATTCACGCAAAATCCTGTCAAAATTAGCAAATCGTATCAACTGTCCGGCTCATTTGGTCTCACCTTCCGCAAAGTGCTGGGCGCTCCGCTTCCAAGTGACGAGCATCAAGGCCGATGAACGTTCTGTTTTCAGTAAACTGCATCATGTCCAATTTTGCATGACCATAAAAGTCTCGTTTGCCGATTTCTGGATAACGCGGTCAGTGGAGGAGCATTCCTTCGACCATAGCTGTAATACTCACCAATCATGGTACCGAATGGAGCAATTGACTTCCAGGTATCGTGCAAATACTCGCCGGCAAGGGAGTTTAGTGCAACATCCACACCACGCCCACCTGTTGCCTCGAGGACAGATGGCAGGAAGGAGTTACTATGTGAGTCAAAAATCTGAGAACGAGGCAAGCCGAAATTCTTTATGAGAAAATCCACTTTTTCTTGGCTGCCCACGGTAGCGAAGACCTGGAAGGACTGGTGAGCGATGCTACATATATTTGTCGACGGAGTCTTACCTTTGCTCCGACCATCTGAGCAATTTGGATGGCTGATATACCCACACCACCGGCAGCGGAGTGGATTAAGATGGTCTGTAGTAAAGTTAGCCGCAGACCCCTGATAGTAACTTGCGTATAGCACCTACATCGCCCTTTTCAAGGTGACGCAAATGAAGCAAACCGTATATCACGGTAATAAATGTGATAGGCATTGTTGCTGCTTCCTCTAGATCCAAGCCATTAGGAATCTTGGCCAAAAGCTCTGCTGTGGTAATGACGCGGTTCGAGAAGCAGTAAGGTACCATCATGAAGATCCGATCACCAGGAGCAAAGTCTGTCACATCAGGGCCGACGGCCTCAACAATTCCAGAGCATTCACCTCCCAGATCATCACCATCAATCAGACCTTGAGTTTGAAGAACATCCTGCAACTGTTAGTTATATACTTGGGGCGTGAAAGAATGGACCTACTCTGAAATTCACACCAACAGTGTGAGGACGGACAGCAACCTCTTGCCCCTTCAGTGGCCTAGATGCATCAACGTTCTTCTCCCAGCGCAGGCTGTCAATCATTCCCTTTTGTCCAATCTTGAGGACTTTGTCAACGACATTTTCGGCTGCGGACGCAAGTTCGTCACGGACAGAGACCCAGTGATATCTGGAAGAGTAAACGGTGCCTTCATGCAAAGCAAACTCATAATCTGGGTCCAATTGGGGATCGTTGTCGGGTCTGAATATCTGCTCATAGACCTGCACTGTTTTCTCAGTTGCGACAGAATCCTGGACGTTGTCTATCTCGAAAGTGGTAAAGCTAGCCTGCTTCTCCGATCGCAAGGTTCGCGCAAATCCCAGAGTTTGTGCATATCGAGGATCCTTGGCACCCATTTGAATTGGTCGGGTTAGCCATAACAAATGTGCGGACTCGAGATTAGAGGAAAATTGTATCACTCGCTCAAGGTTCTGCTGATCAATATTGTCAAAGAAGGGCGCCTCCAGTTCCAGCAAGGATATGATATCTTGATCCGAAGGCAGTTTCTCCTTCAAGGAGCGAAGGTCCGTGGGATAACCGGCACTCTCAAAAGCACGTCTGTACAATTCCACCAATGAGTTGACCTCATCTCGGTACAGCACGGTAACTCGCTTCTTCTCGGGCGCTGGTTGAGCAACGGAGGAAATCATGCTGGCGGTGACCTGATACGGGAGCTCATTGTCGTAGGCAAGGGCATCGACACCTGTGAATCCGGCGTCCCGCAACTCCTGGTTCCATCTCTCTGGTGATACAAATGGTGCCTCAAGACGATTATCTTCATCCCCAAGCCACCATCCCGGGAAGCCACCCTGGATCTGTCAGCAATCCGAATAATTTCGCAAAGCGTTGTTGCCACCTACCATGATGAAGCTCATCCATTTCGCCTCTGGTACCTTTGTTAGCCATGCCAATCAATGACGGGACTGACTTACGTATATCCAGTTCTTGAAGGAGGAATCGGCCCTTTGGATGAAGTAGCTTCTTCACGTTCCTCAGTGTCTCTTGAAGTGATGCAGTTGCGTGGATTACCTGGCAAGGTCAGAGCTCGAAGGTACGATATATCAGCGGGAAACCCACATTGGCTGCTAGGATCAAGTCATAAGAGCCCTCTTCAAAGCCCTGCCCCAGGGGATCCTTGCTAATGTCCAGGACGGAGAAATCAATGTTAGGATGATCTTTGAAGCGCTCTTTGGCCGCCACAAAAAACCCGGAAGAGATGTCAGTATAGCTGTACTTGGAATATAGTGGTTCGCCAAATTCCGATTGAAGTCCCGAAAGCAAATTGGAAGTCGTGCCGCCTGTGCCAGCTCCAATCTCCAGCACCCTCAGGGTGGGCTTGTTATGGCCGAGACTCTGCAGAAATGGAGAATAATCCCAGCATAAATCGAAAAACGCGTAAATCTGGAGAGTCAGATTGGGCCTTCTGCTTTTTCGTCTTATGCCTGCTTACCTGTGTCAAGACACCTCCTTCCATCAGGAGCTCCAGGGTATCAACTGATCCCTCGTATCTGGCCTGGGCGTTTTCATGAACACGTCGAATAGCCGTTGCTACCCAATGAACGGGACCGGCATTGAACTCCTCCGTCATGGATTGAATCAGCGATAGACGGCTTTGTGCACCCAGGGTGGCGAGCTGTTTACCCTCAGGGAGAATTTTGTTCTCTCCTCTCCCCGTCGTCTCAACGAATGTGTTCAGCCAGGTTCGGAATTTGACGAGGTGATTTTCCTGGGTCTCTATGGACTCGATAGCCTTCACTGTATCCGTTGCAAGCAGAAAGAAGTATTTCTCCAGAGCGATTAGGTATTTTCGAAGATCCAACGGCGCACGAATGAGATCTTTGGTGTCAAGGAAATCAACGTCAGGCTTCCACACAAGTTGAACAGCGTTCTTGGGTTTCTCTTCGACGTCTGTACTGTTTCCCAAGCCGGTCACTCTCAGACCTTTCATCTCGTACACAATTCTACCATCGACGGTGGCAACTTCATCACCTGACCACGCATCCATGAAGTCTTTATAAGATGAAGCGGTCGCTCTCAGCTCCTTCATTCCACCAGATATGTAAATCTCATCAATGTATGTGGGCATGCTCAGTTGTTTGAAGAGCGACGGTTTACCCTCGTGCTGAGCCACTGTCATTAACTGCAATAGCTTATCCAATGTGCAAGGATGAAGCTCATAAAACGATTCGGTGTCAAGATGGGCGTTTTCAATGATAGCAACGGCTTCGTTGCCTGTGGGGTCAGCCGATATTTCTCGCAGTCCCTGGAAAGCCGGACCATAAGTGAAGCCGATGTTTTGCATCGTGGTATACCAGCGACTCGCAGTAATCTTTCGGAGGAAGTCTGGCTGAGACACTTTACGGTCCTCTGTTGGATGAATTGGTCCAGCCTTTGCTTGGCCAGAACAATGCTCGCTCCAAGTCGAACCGTTGAAGGAGGTGATGCGGAAATCCCACCAGTCGGAATCCGTCGTGGTAGTAAGTTTGGCTTTTTTGAATGTGGTCACCACGTCGTTCGATTTGGAGTCACTGACAATCATGGCAGTGCGTATGGCCAAGCCTCGTACGGAGTAGTCTGACCTTCCGGTTAGCTGGCGGATGGCTTCACCCGCCATGCAGACGTAACCAGCGCCCTTTTCCACCATTAGCATATAATGACCAATGCGGATATCAAGAAATACTCACGGGGAAGACAATGTCAGTGCCGACTTGATGATCCCGAACCCAGCCCACTTCATCGAGTCTCAACAGGTTTCGCCATGTTGGCTCCAGGTGGCTACTACCTCCGAGGCGAACACCAAGGGTCTCATGAGGAAGGAACTTTCGCTCTCTCCACTCCTTGGAGATGCGGCTTTCCTCCCAGTATTTCACCGAGTGGTCCCACGAATAAGCCGGCAGATCTGTAAGTACAGTACCAACTGGGTTCAAAGCTTCCAGATTCACGGACACATTGTTCACCCAGAGGTTTCCGATGGCATTGTAGATCGACTCAGTGTCGTCCTTACCACGTTGCAAACTTGGCAAGTATGTGAGAGAGGCTCCCTCGGCCTGGAATATCTGTCTCAACGGCCCCGCGAGTGCGGAATGGGGTCCAATTTCAAAGAAGATGGGATTCTGGAGATTAGCCTTGATGATATTCCGTACTCCGGTATCGAAGAGAACAGGATTCTCCAGGTTTTGCCGCCAGTAGGACGCATTGAACACGTTGGCAGTGTCAATCAATTTCCCGATTGCAGTCGAGAAGAATGGAATGCTGGGCTTTTCGCTCGTGCGAATCTCAGCAATCGACTCTTCATAGGCAGCACCATATGCCTTCATGTGATCTGAGAGCAGTTAGTATCTATTAATTACACACGCAACGACAAGGCACTCACGCGAGTGATAGGCGTTATCGACATGAAGCTGACGAACAAAAACATCTGGAGATTCCTTTTTCAGATTCTCGATAAAGGTTTCCAGTGCTTCGCGATCACCGGATATGGTCGTGCTGTTCGGACTATTCTCACACCCGATGACGACACCATCGATTAGAGACGACCGCAATTGCTCGGCACCAAGTCCTACGGCGGCCATGGCACCATCGGCTAGCTTCTCCCGCGTGACCAAACCTCTAAAGTACGCTGCCAGCAGCGCGTCCTTCTTGGTTATAGCGCCGGTCGCGTATGCGGCGGCGATCTCTCCGCTGGAATGGCCGACGACAGCAGCCGGGTTGACCCCCCAGCTACGCAGGAGGTTGACAAGGGCGACCTGAATTGCAGTACAAAGCGGCTGAGAGAACTCAGCCTTTGAGATCTGACTCTTCAGCTTTAGCTTAGAAAGTTCGTCTGTGTCTTTGTTAATAGGTGTTCCATTCAAAAGAATTCCGTTCTTACCTAGAATATTCCACGACGGAGGAGTGTGGCATTGCGACAAAATATTATCCATGTCTTGAATGTCCTCGTAAACTTGAGGGAAGTCTTCAATCAGCTTCTTCCCCATCTGGGCCCATTGAGCACCTTGGCCCGTGAAGACGAAGACAAGCGACTTCGGGGTGTTCTTTGCCTTGGCGGTAGACTGCGTCAGTAGAGAGTCGACGCCGTCAGACACAGCAAAAGTGCGATAGTCATGATGCTGCCTTCTAGTAGCGAGGGTGTATGCCAGATCTTGGAGACGAGATGGTCCATGTCGTTCGATATACTTTGAGTGTTTCTCGACGGACATTTGAAGAGAGACGTCACTCTTCGCGGAGAAGAGGAGCAAGTTGAGTCTCGGGGCCTCGGCTTCGGTGACACTTCCTCCTTGTTTAATCCCAAAGGATGCAGCCGAGTCCACGATGACCTGAGATGTCAGCCGATTATGAGCTAAAATCCCAGGAATGATGTCTTACGTGTCCGTTAGAGCCACCAATGCCAAATGAATTCACGCTGACTCTCTCGTGACGACCGGCTGGCCACTTCATCGCCTCGAGAGGCACGGTGAGCTTGCCTTCATCCCAGGGAACTAATCATTTTGTTAGAAATGAAGCTAGAAAGGTACTTGGTTCTCAACATACTCTTAGGGTTTGGCGATTGAAAGTTAACGTTCGGTGGAATGGTCAGATGCTCCAGTGCCAGAACTGCTTTAATGATCGCCGAGTTGGCACTTGCGGACTCGGAGTGACCAATGTTGGATTTTACCTTGGGTGTGTCAGTGTGAATCAACTGACGATCAAGTAAGAGCTCCTCACCGATCCAATGATCATGCCCTCCTTTCCAAAGACCCGGGCCACGGCGCTGGCCTCGATTGGGTCACCAACTGGAGTGCCCGTTCCATGGCACTCGAAAAACGCGGTTTGGCAGTATTCCTCTTCGGAAAAGCCGGCAGCTGCGTAGGCTGCGCGCATTAATGCCTCGTGTGCTTCAGTGTTTGGCTGTGTGATGCCGGCGGTTTTTCCATCGTCATTGCAGACAGTCGAGCGGATGATACCTCTGATGGGATTGCCATCCCGCAGAGCATCATCAAGCTTCTTAACTACGATAGACGAGACAGCCTCTGCCCTGCCGTAGCCGGATGCATTGGCATCGAAAGAGCGACAACGCCCATCACCTGAGTTCACTCCGTGGGCGCCCAGTACACAAGAGAGGGCAGGGCTAAGGATCAGGTTTGTACCGCCGACGATAGCGGATTCACAGTCACCACTGACAAGAGCCTTACATGCCGAATCTAGGGCGACCATTGCGGCTGAGCAGCCAGTTTTAATCGTCATACTATATGTCTGGTTAGACCATTATCAATTTCGGTTTCATTTGGCCACCCACCTTGGTCCTTTCAGATCGAGCTCGTAGGATACACGATTGCCTATTGTTGGTAAGTTCAAGCATCCTTTTCTTCTGAACGACGTTTAACTTACTCGTCATCAAGTCCAAGTGACCAGTCAGAGCCAAGAAGGCATGTGGCTCTGAGTCTTTTGCGTGCATTTCGATCCAGTCCTGGGTCACTTAGCAAGATCCCTGCACCGCAATTCGACACGGCCAACATACCTCTGCGAAAGTTCCCACGTACACTCCGATATTCTTCCCCCTAACGTCTCCTTCTCCGGCATTTTCTAGCGACTCATACACAGTCTCTAGCAGAATTCGCTGTTGCGGATCTACTTGCTCCACCTGTGACGCAGTCATAGAGAAGAAACCCGCATCAAAAACAGCAGGATCTTGCTGCAGGAAGTTGCCTTCTTTGCTGCGGATAGTACCCGGCTTCCCGGAGGGATTATGGAAGCCATCTTCATTCCAGCGTGTAGGAGGCACGGGGATCATTCCCTCCTTTTTATTCATGAGAAGATCCCAGAATGATTCGGTGTCATTGCAGCCGCCGGGTAGACGCATTCCCATGCCAATGATGGCAATCGGGGGAGGGGGGGTTGTGGATTGCTTCTGTGATGTGGTGTGTCTGATCAGGCTGTCAGCTAAGGCCTTTAGAGGGGTGGTGATTGCTACACACCCATTCGTGTATCCATTCGAATGTTCATTGGTAAGTCCATTCAGTCCATCTCCATTGGCGCTACCGTTTAATTCTTGACCCATGTTGCTGTTTGTCTTCGTCGCTCAATTCTACCAGCCTATTCTAAGCTCTCGGTCTCCTGAAAGCTCACCAAGTCGCAGGCAAGGGTAGATCTAGGCCTTATATACGATGACCGCGCCACCTAGGCAGGAGCAGATACTAGGCATACACTCCATTTCCGCCCTAGGATCTCCGCCGTAACTTATTACCTGTATTTGATATCTAACTAACATACACATCTTACTTTACTCCATTAATGTTTTCCAAACTAAGCCAGCCCAGGCCCCAGGCCCATCCAGCCTACTCATTCCGTCTTACTGAGGCAACATACGCGAATGGCTCAGACAGACCTACGATTCGCGGTATACAGCTGTACCCCACCACCCCACTAGATGTTTTCTGACAGACGCCAGATAAACTATCTCGTGGAGTACCGGGGTTGTCCACGTTGCCTCCCCCCCCAATGACATGGATCTGAGAATTCAAATGCCGCACAAGACGCTTGTCGTGTTGGTCTGATTCCATGTGAGCTATCATCATTAGCTTAAGCCATCTTACTGTGGGGACCTTATGGAGCCAGGTTGCAGAGGATGAGAGATGAGACGATGGCGCTGAATCCGTTCGCAGGTATGGTAGGAGATTTTATCATACATGCGACCGGATGAGGGGGTTGAATTCGGCACCAGCTTGAATATCTCGTATAGAAGGGCAATGAAACTTGGAAATATCTGTTATTGGATAGTTGGAGCTCTGGTTCAATGTTTACTGTCTGGTAGTTCTCGCAAACAAGGTTGTTTCAGGTAAGACACGAAAGACCTACAGGTAGCCTTGCATGCACATCGCGGATGGCGCGTAAGCACATCCATACGCGTGAATAACAGAAGGCTAATTGAACATGACGCAGCCAGCTCGTAAGTCTAAACCAGAGTACCTAACTATCAACTCGTACGGAGTACACAGTAAGTACTCCGTGAGGTAGTTGAGTCTCCTACCGAAAGCGACCCCACCGATCCAATGAACTCTGTAACTCTATTCTTTCCCCCGAAACCTGCTTCGGTGTTGTATCTCCTGTCCGTGTCTTGGTCCAATATCTCTCTCTTCATGTTTCATTCGTTGTAGTAGAGACACAAATTGTCTGTATCCGCACGATACAACAACTTATACTACACTAGTAGTACCCTGAAATGTAAAGTAGTATCCCAGTATCCGGTCAGCTTATATCACGCGGAAGATCTTGTTTTTTTAGCTCTCGGCGCAAGGCTCCCAACCGCCATCTCAAGGATGAAACCGTTAGTGTGTGTAACAGGAATTTTGTTTGCCATCTATGCCGAGCATGTAACTAGTCCCTCGGTCCTCAGCTGTAAACACATGTAGTAGTTGGATCTATGTCAGCTTACTCCGTATCTTCTTTATCAGCACGGAGATATCTAACTCAGACGAGTGGTTAGTATCTCGTAGATCCTGCACAGAGTTGCATTAAGATCAGGGATTGAGTGGATCCTCGCCTGGAGTAGAAGTTGGGGCTTATGGGATGAGATGAATTGCAAATTACCCGATCGTATGAGCTGTTTTTATCGGTATTCATGTAATATACCGGGTCAGATGGTAAGTTACCCCGTATCCGGGGTCGGATGTCTGTATTTTTCAAGTCTGCTGACGCCTCGTAGGATTTGGCTGACCGCAGGAATTCCCTCGTGGACCGCATCCTGCAGGAATGGATGTCAGACGAGAATCGGGGAATTTACTTCTGAAACCTAACTCCCAGTCTTGCGAATTGTCCGTGTCTGAGCCGTGGATAGAGCTTCGTGATGTGCACAATATATTGTGAACGTTAACACCTGAGGCGGAGGCGGAGACGTTGGATTCAGCCTCACCCAGAGACATTCACGAAAACAGCGCTCCGTATACTCCATACTCCGTACTGAAACCCGAGCCTAATCAGAAGAGTGGGCGATCATTCGGCCTCGGGACAATAATCGCCCCAAGCCAAGACAACGGATGACGATGATCCTGGTCGCGCCGAGATAATGGCTGGTCGGAGTCTCCGGGATGCATATGGACTTATACTCCGGGGAATAGGAAGAGACGTGCTCGATACAGGATTCGTATCAACGGATCCATTGGTTCAATCTTCTGGACCTTTATTTCTGCTCGTCTGACAGCTCCTGGACAACTTTCGGTTTCAACCTCGGCTGGTCCTGTCTATACGACCAGCTACAATGACAGAAACTAGACCCCGGTCTGAGCCAAGACAACACACATTACCATGGCGTGCTAAAGAGTTACAAGCTCCAAGACGTTGGCTTATCCCTCAACCCCTCTAATCAATGTCTTTCTACTCCTGTCCGTAACCATTCGCTCCTCGCTGCTCAGCAACGATGGTCGAACTCGCCGTCCGTCAGAATCCGCCCGACACGGAGGCTACGGAGCCGACCGTGGGCATCGGCTCCAAGGAGGGTCTCTTGGATCCGTCAGCCTCGAGTCCTAGGTCCGATGGAAGCCCAAGTTCCTCAGCCTTGGACTGGGACGGGCCCGATGATGTCGACAATCCGCACAACTGGCCAATGTGGAAGAGGGTCCTCCACAGTGCTATTCCTGCTATCTATGGATTTGCTTTGTAGGCCCTACCTGATCTTACGTCGTTCTTGCTGGTGGATGAAGCTGTTATGTTCGCGCTGCCCGTGCTGATGGCTGCAGAACGGTCGGGACGTCAACCTACGTCGCCGGCCTGCCCTACGTGATGCGCCAGTTCGGCGTCGGCAGGACCGTCGCCCTCCTGCCTGTCTCGCTGTATACGGTGGGCTTTACGCTCGGTCCGCTGGTCGCGGCGCCTGTCTCGGAGTTGTACGGGCGGAGGATCGTCTACTGGACGAACCTTCCCCTGCTGGCGATATTCAATGCCATCGCCGCGGCGTCGGATAACTTTGCGGTGCTGGTGGTGTTTCGATTTCTGGCGGGTTTTGGAGGGTCGGGCGTGTTGGCTGTGGGTGCTGGTATGTTTTTCTTTGAGTTTGTTTTTATTGCTTCATATCACGATGTTCGTGCTGATTAGATGCAGGCACCGTGGCCGATCTATGGGATCCTCAAAATGCAGGCCGCGTCGGATTGACTTACATCCTGGCTCCGTTTCTAGGCCCCTCGCTGGGTCCGCTCGTCGGCGCGTATATCATCGCTCAGTATGATTATAACTGGAAGTATTCGATCTGGGTGATTCTGATTCTATGCGCGCCGGTTGGCCTCGCGATCCTGTTTATGAAAGAGACGTCAAAGAGTCGCATCTTGTATCTGCGGGCGAAGAAGCGTGGTGAACAGGCCCTCGCGGAGCAGGATCAGGGGCCGAAGATGAAGAAAGTGAAGGAGGCGATGCTGCGGCCTTTGCATATGTGTATTTTCGAGGTATGCTGTGCTTGTCTGCTCCAGAGAATCGAGTTAAAACTGACATATAGACAAGCCGCTTGCTTTCTTCCTGAGTATCTACACAGGATTCAACTTCGCTATGATCTTCTCGTTCTTCGGATCGTATGCCTATGTCTATCAGACGTACTATCACTTCACGCCGAAGGAGTACGGACTGGCGTTTATCGGTCTCGTCGTGGGTATGTTACCCCCTCCAGGCATCTAGCAGGACAAGCTCTCTAACACCTGACAGGCTTCATCTTCTCCCTCGCCACCTTCGCTTTCTTCGACGCAACCCGATACCGTAAAGAAGTCGCTCGCACCAATGGTAAAGTCGCGCCAGAACACCGCCTCTATGCCGCCATGTTCGGCAGTCTCTTGCTTCCTATCGGGCTTTTCGTACGTCTTTCCCTTCCTTCCTCCATCCTTCTTGCCCCTCTCGCTAACAAAACACCAATGAAAAAAAGTGGTTCGCCTGGACCCCCCGTCCCAGCGTCCACTGGATCGTACCCGTCCTCGCCGGCGTCCCCTTCGGCTGGGGCACGTTAGCCGTCTTCCTCAGCTCCGTCAGCTACCTGGTCGACACGTACGGCGTGGCCAACGGCGCCTCGGCCGTCGCGGCGAACGGCATCCTGCGATTCCTGCTCGGCGCGGTCTTTCCGCTCTTCACGCTGCAGATGTATCAGAATCTGGGCGTGCATTGGGCGGGTAGTATTTTTGCGTTTATTAGCGTGGCGATGATTCCCGTACCGTGGATTTTCTTTTGGAAGGGACGGGAGTTGAGGAGGAGAAGTTTTTATGAGACGGTTGATTATTAGTTACGGTGGTTGGGGTTGGGGTTGTTGGGCTTTACGGAGGTATGACATGGCTATAGATAGATGCTGGATGTGATGTGATGGGTTAAATGAACTCAGATGGCTATGGAGTTGTGATTTATTTCTTCAGCCTCCAACTATTTATTTTAATCCTCCATCTTGACTGACCCCTTATATTCCATCCCAGTCCAACTCAACACCAACAGCTAAACCCCCAATCAAACCTCCAAAACCCAATCCCTCACTCTCTCAAACCGATGAAACCACAACCAATAACTCGCTACATAATTCAATCAACCAAAGATTAGCCAACTATCCCAAAACAAATACCTCAACACCCAATTCAGCAGGCAATTAAAAAGGGGGGAACTGAAACTCACTCCACGGATAAATCGTATGATTCCACCCTGTCCCGTCAACATAATACGTCGAGCATCCCCGTCCCCAGACGCCCTTTTTGCACGCCTCCTGAACAACATCGACGTATGATTTCTCGACTTGAGACTTGACTTCGACACTCCGTACGCGTCCTTGAATCAGCGGGGACGCGACCTTGAGGATCAAAGCGACGGTCATTTCGATGTAGTAGATCACAGAGTTGTGTCTATCGTTAATTGTCAATCGTCAGTAACACAATACTCGCTCACCAACAGATCAAACCATTAAAATGAATCTTGCAGACAGAAAGGCAGCGGGTAGATAGAGAGAGAGAGACAGAGAGAAAAGCAGACCCACCCCGACGCCATATTAGGTCCCCTGATCATAAAGAAATTCGGAAACCCATTCATCGCGCATCCCTTATAGCAACTCGGCCCTCCGGCCTCCTCCCAATGCTTCACTGTCGTGCGGCCCTTTCGTCCCTTTACCGGGAAAGTAAACGTTTCGGATTCGAATCCGTGCGCGAGAACTAGCACGTCACAGGGCACCGAGACGCCGGATTTCAATTCCACGGCGGAAGAGGACAGGGAGGTGATTTCGTCCTGTAGGAGTTGGAGTTTCGGGTTCGAGAGACCTTGGAGGTATGAGGAGGCGAAGACGAGGCGTTTGCAGCCGGGTTCGTACTATTTTTTCCATTTTTGTTTGAGCATGTGGGTTTTTGGTTGGGTGAGTATGGGTATGGGATAGAGGGTGACGAACCGATGGCGTTAAAAGGGTGTGGTATTTCTCCGGGACTCCGCAGGCTCGGAGATGCGATTTACTCAGCCGAGGGATCCGCCGGCCCAGGAGGGGGTAGAAGAGTTCTGCGAGCGCAAATCCGCAATGCTGCAGCAAGATGAAGAGGATGGGGAAGAGGGCGAGGCATTTTCGTAAGGTCTCGGGGACGTAGGGGTTTGGGCGGTTGAGAATCCATTGGGGGGCCTGTATATTTTAGCGTCACGGACTATAATTCAAGCTATGAGATGAGAGATAGCAGGATGGGTGATATACTCGTTGGATTTGCGTGCATTGCTTAACATCATCCAGAATCGCAGGGACGATCTGCACCGCAGTACCTTGCTCATTATCAGGAACATGGCTATGCATAGAAGGACAAGAGAAGGTAACATACTTCCATTTCCCAACACCACCACATTCTTCCCCTTCAAGTCCACCTCGTTCGTCCATTTACTCGAATGAATGATCTGGCCCTGGAATGTCTCCTTCCCCGGGACATCGAATCGCTTGGGATCCACCATATGACCGATGGCGCTGATAAGAACAGCGCACTCCTGAACGTATCGTTCGCCCGTCTGCGTGTTTTGGAGCTCAACAATCCAACATTTTCGATCTTCCAGCCAGGTGCTTCCCACCCAGGCGACATTACACTCTAGATGCGGCAGGATGTGGAATCGCTGCGCGACATCCAGCATGTAGTTATGTAATTGCTGTCGATCGGGAAATGCGTGCGTGAAGTTTGGCTCTGGGGCGAATGAAAGCTGGTATACCGAGCCAGGGATATCTGCTGCCTGATATCATTAGCGGGACATGAAGCTATGTATCATGGATCAGGATTCCTGAAAAGAAGAGGATAGGGCAGACATACTGCGCCGGGATCTGCACTCTTCGTTAGCAGCTATCTTGACTTTAACTTCAGAGAGGAGGTTCACAATTGTTATCGTACCACGTCCCTCCGAGCCCGGGATTCCGCTCGTAGATGATGAAATCGTGGAAATTCAACTTGCGCTTCAGCTCGCAGGCCATTGCGAGGCCGCCGAAGCCGGCGCCGATGATGACGACTTGTCGGAAGGGCAGGACTTGGGATTTTTCGGCCATTTGGTCGGAGAGGACTGACTTTCTGTCAATTGTGTAGGTGGACAGACTATACTACGAAATAGACAGAGTATACCACGGAATCCAGTCACGGTGAAGAAAAAAAGAATCTCGAGCATTGGCACATGCGGATTCTAGCCAAGCGCTGACAGCAGGTAAGCCGAGAATACGGTCTGGTCAGAGTCAGATTCAAATTACCACCGAGTGATACGAGAATCTTACGATGCTACCTGAGATCCACTCACCAACAGTTCAATGATCAGACCATCAGCAACGTCGTCCCCCTGTTGATTGGACCGAACCCGCGGACACAAACTTTCCACTGACGAAATCGAGACCCTCGCAGATGGGGCTTATGGAAGACCACCAAAGCAGGGAAGAGGTGTCATGTGGGGATTGATGTTTCTTATCAAATAGGGTAAGGTCTGCGTGAGAAGATGGGGGTGAGCTATTTCTGCTTATATTGGGGATAGAAAAAAAAAGTCAAGTAGAGAACACCCACCAGCTTGTATGTGGAGGTGAATGTGTATGCGCATGACAGTGCAAAATGGGCATCTTTACATCTCCCATCGCTCTAGCGGGAGTCACCCTCGGAGCTGTTATACTCTTCCATATCTATTCGGCCAACGCGCGACAGAAGAGATACAACAATGTCGGCGCTGGACCACCGGCTATTCTGCCTTCCAACACCTTGGGTATGTCGTGTCTGATTGCTGTCTGTGACTTGACTGACGATGAAAGGACTCAATTATGTGATCCAAATGTTCAGCGAGTTGAGGAAACATCGGTTCTGGCACTGGACGAAACGCCTGCTCGATGAGAACAATCACACGCTGCAGCTGCATCTGCTTGGGGCCAATCTGCTCTTGACGGATGATCCGGAAAACATCAAGGCGATTCAGGATACTCAGGTACGGAGACTTGCTGTTGTTGCAACGTCTGCTAATGGGTTCAGTTCTGGGAAGTCGCCAAGTCGAAGGAACAGCATGAGATCTTTAAACATATTCTGGGGGATGCTATTTTCGCACGTAGGTCCTCTTCTATCTCTCTCTTCGGTTTCAGGCTAACCAGACCAGTCAATGGCGAGGAATGGAAACAGGAAGCCGGACTCCTCCGCCCACACGTACGTCTACCTCTTTCATGTACATGCATATCCATCCTAAACACTACCAGATGAACCGCGTCCGTCAATCCGACTTCGAAGTCACGGAACGCCACATCCAGAATGCATTCAAACTGCTCGAAGAAGGAGTCGACGCCTTCGACGTGATCGACCGTCTACAGCTCGACGTCGTAACGGAGGTATTCTGCGGCGAATCGACAAACTCCCTGACCTCTGACCAACAGCCCTTCCGCAACGCAATGGACACTCTACTGAAAGTCGCCAGCTTCCGACAACTCCTCGGGTAAAACCCAACCCTCCGCTGTACTGTATCTGGCGCCGCTAATCCCTACCAGAAAAGTCGGCGTCTACCTGAAAGATGAATGGATCGCCCCGAAAGCTGTCGCCTTCATTGACAATTACCTCGAGAACTTCGCGACAAAGGCATACGCTCGGAACGTGCGTGGCAAGACAGCCAAGGACTCCTTGACGCTGGTCGACGACTTGATCGTCAAAGGTAAGCGACGTGCGGATATCAAGAACGCAGTCACGGCGACGCTGCTGGCTGGGAAAGATCCCACCACGACGTCGCTGGCTTGGGCGTACTACGAAATTGCGCGTCATCCGTACGTGTTTGAGAAGATGAGGGAGGAGGTCAGGGATCAGTAAGTTTCATGATTCTTGAGATGACGAACCTCGCTAACAACGGTTTGGTTAGTATCGGATTCGAGAGATTGCCCGTGATGTCCGATCTCCATAAATTGAAATACATCAAGACAATGATCAAGGAGACTTTGCGAGTCCATCATCCTTGTAAGTTCTTTCTACAGTTTTTCGGAGCCAGCTAACATAGACAAGTGGGATTCAACGCCCGCGTCCCTGTCAAAGACATGACTCTTCCTCGCGGAGGCGGTCCAGATGGAAAATCCCCGATTGCGGTGCTGGAAGGCACACAGATCTGTAGCTTTCCCCTTTCTATTTTACCTACACTCGAGAATATACTGACAAGTTCAAAGTATACGGCCTTCTCTCTCTCCAAATGCGCGAAGACCTGGGTGTCGACGACGTCTCTGTCTGGAATCCGGAACGATGGGGTATTCCTCCCTCCTTCATTCTCGCTGCCCTTACTACCTCCAACCAGTACTTCTACACAAGAACACAAACTAACCAAAGGAACAGAGACATGGGAGCCCACCAACAAGTGGGAATTCGTACCATTCAATCACGGACCACGCATCTGTCTAGGTCAACAATTTGCCAATTTCCAAATGGAGTATTTCTTCGCGCGACTGTGTCAGGATTTCGAGAGCGTGACTTTACTTCCCGAGTCGCCGAGACAAGAGGGCATGGTGAAATTGGAGCTGAATACTAAGATGGCGCATCCGGTGTTTGCGAAGTCGGTGAGGAGGGTGAAGGGCTAGATTACTTTTACTCGGTTGCCTTGACTTGTCTACCATGTATTTGAGGTAGATAGATAGAATTGGTTGGGGAGAGGGGAGCTATGAGTAGGTAGGAATATACGTGTTCTTGATAATGATATTTTATTCGTATAGTATGAGACATGGTTCAGTATGCGAGGTCTCAACAGCCCTCGGAAAAAGAGTTCAAGCCTCAAATTGTTTGGATTGTTTCCATCCTCACCTCATTCCTTTAGACTCCCCGGACCAAATACCGCGGTTCCCGTCTAGCGCATCCTGCCTTGAAGGATGAAGGAAGGATTCCACCGAAACAATACCCTTGTCTCTCAATATTTGTCCACGCAAGCAAGCAAGCAAACAAACAAACGGAAGTGAGCTCTCAGACTCGGTATAGTCCGGTCTCCAATCCTACCTTCAGAGTTTACATAGATCTCCACAGTAAGCAAGGCTTTGGAAGAGTCGTCTGAGAGTCCCCGACGTAAGCTCCGTTCCTACAGCCGTGTCGGCATCTAGCACGTCAATGCGGAATAGAGACGACTAGGTTGGACCGTTCGACGGATGGAAGGCCGGGAGTCGGTGTTGGTCTGACACTAGGCACTAGGTGCCAAGATAGATTGACTTAAGAAGTACGGTGTAGGACTGTTTATCCGAAATGCTGGCTTGATGGTTGATAGTAAAACCGCTAATTTGGGTTTCTGCAGGATGCAGGTGTTGCAAATTACGGCTGGGGGAGTCTGGGGTGTAATGAACGACCGTTAAGATACGCCGCCAAGGTATTTAATTGATGGAGCTGGTATTGTATGAGTGTATAGCGTAAATTTCATCTTGAAGCCCTGACTTACCTATGGCTGAGGATAAGCATCAATGTCCAATGTCCATTGAGCAATAGAATGTCTGCCTTTTCAATTCCTCTCAAGTCTCCAGCTCACTTCAATTGTTCATACTCCATACATTCGTGCCTTCTTTTGCTATCAACCTTCCATCTCTAATCGAGCATTCATAGTGAGCACAGTCCACCACAACCACCTCCCCCAACTCAACTCAACCCTCTCCTACACTCTACATTCTACACTCAGCACAGCAAAGCCAATACTCTACACACCATACAACCCATACACCTGTAGAGAATATATCCCAAGACCCAAATGCCCACCCCCCTCAAAATCCCATCCTTCACCCCCCTCTCCCCCTGTACATCCATCTACATCCCGCCATCATCATCCCTCACCAAACCCACTCGTCAAACCATAAACCCCCCTCCACCGCTCATCCTCCTCTGCGCATACCTCAACGCCTCCGCTGCGCACATCAACAAATACGCCTCCTTCTACAAACGCCTCTTCCCGACCTCGCGAATTCTTCTCGTCACGACATCCTCCTCACATTTCCTATTCCAGTCCTCAAAGTCCTGGGACGCGGATCTAGATCCCGCCGTGACGGCTCTTCTTTCTTTATCAGGTCACAGTCAAGACCAAGTTCGAAATCAAAGCCCAGATGAACAGTTAGGAACAGAGAAAGGGAGCCAGAAAGTCCTACTTCATGTGATCTCTACCGGAGGCGCCACGGCGGCGACGAAGATCGCGGAGGCGTACATGGCAAGGTCTGGGAGAAGGCTACCTATTGCGAAGATGATTCTGGATAGTTGTCCCGGTGTACAGGGGTGGGGGAGTACGGTGGGGGCATTTTCAATTGGATTAGCTGCATCTGGTCAGGATGGTTCGGTACCTTGGAGTTGGAGCTGGATCTGGGGGAGAGTGAAAACTCCAATGGTGGGTGTAGCATTGAGGGTGTTCTTCGCTGCGTGGTTCCTGGGTGAGTTCACGATGGGGATCGAGAATGTGGTGGGAGTGGTGAGGGGGAAGTTGAATGTTAAGGCCCTGTTTAGAGATGACGCGGCCAGGTTGTACATCTACGGCGGGAAAGATGAGTTAGTGCGTGCACAAGATGTGGAGGACCATGCGGATGAGGCGGAGAGGGGGGGGTATGAGGTGTTGAGGGTGCGGTATGGGGACAGTGGTCATGCGGGACATTTGCTGCAGGATGAGAGCAGGTTTCGCGCGAGTGTGATGCATTTGTGGGATTCCGGGATTTTGTCGGGGCCGGGTATGGTTATTTGTGCTTGGTAGAGAGTTTATGAGCTTAGGATGGGTTGTCTAGTAGAAATGTAGTAGATGGCTGTCTATATGCGTGGTATTCATGAGTGTTCAGTCATCCGCCAACAGATCACAAGCCAGTCGAACTTTCTCCGTCGTTGCTCGGATCTATTCAGTCAGCCTTTCTCTCCTATCATCAATCATGGCAAAAGCCAAGCACAAAGACTCACCGTATCCTTCTCAAACAACCCAAAATGGTGCCCTCCAACCTCCCACACCGCCGCAATGAACTGATGCGGAAACAAATCCCACCCGACCCTCTTCTCCCGCAAATAGTCCACCATCACGCGTCGTTCCCCCTGTCCTTCTCCCACAGGGACATATCCCTTAGCTAGGATCAGCACTCCCGGCGGGGGCTCCTCGGCCTCGAGTTCCTCTAGATCGTCCGCGTTGTCTTTCCAGTTCCGTAGCACCCACTCGTCGCTGTCTTCCTTCGACCACTGCATGCATCGGAGCATCTCCGCGCGTAAGTCATCCGGGCAGTTGCGCAGGACTAAGTCGACTGGGAACTCGGCGTGGGGGGTCTCGGGTGGTCCCCAGTAGGGGTAGAGGGTGTCGATCATGACGACGCCGACGACGGAGAGTCGCGAGCGCGGGTTTGAGGCGAGGACGCGTCCGATGTCGATGCCGAGTTGGCCGCCGAGGGACCAGCCTGTTTGATATTCCATTCGTGTCAGTGCTGACATGTAGGAGGGTAGGTAGGTATGTAAATAGTATGCCGTGAGCAAGAGCTTTCATGTGCAAGGTTCTGTCCGTCAGTGTAGACATACCTCCGACTAGGATCTCCCCCGACGACACCACGCTCTTGATCAATTCGATATACTCATGGACGAATCGCATCGATCCACCCTCCCATTTTGTCTCCGATTTGATCCACGGGTTTGAGATCGCGTAGATGGGTCGGCCTACGTTTCCGAGCTTGTAGTAGTTGAATACCGTGCCGCCGGCATCGTGGAGCAGGAAGAGCGGCGTGCGAGAGGAGTCTCCTTTTTGGAGAAGGATTGGGCTTAGGGTGTGTTCCATTGGAAGAATGGGGGAGTTTGGGGTGAGTATGTGTAAGAGAGTAGAGCGAACAGAGTATCAGGAGTTGAGTTGTTCCCTGCTGGAGGGCTGATGCCCCATGGAACACTGGTGGTAATTCTCGATGCGGGGAAGTGCAATTTACATATCCGTTGTGTTTTGTCAGATGCCGAATACTATCTTACTTACTATACCATACATACACTCTGTCGGTATGCAATAACACATCGGTTACCAACATACCCTAATATTCTGAAACACTCTATGGCAAATGTACTAGGTACTTCTGAGAGCCAAAGACCAGGAACTTGATCCTGATTCTCTCAGAGGCGTCAGTCTGACGAATATCTCATCCAAAGGATCTCGTAGGATCAACACCACTCCGCCACTCAGCCTGCAGTATCGATATCATGTCCATTTGGCTATGGTCCCATCCTCGCATACCATACCTATTGTATCCCAGATTCCATATTCTATTGTCCGTGACATCCAAGATACCACGCGGAAGCAAGGATGGGGCATAGTTGGCCAAGAAAACGTGCTGGACGGACATCCCTGTAATGGATGTGTTTTCTTACGCTGCGGGGAGCTCGAGAAAGTTTTGAAGGACCGGGCTGGCCCTGGTTTTGGGGTTTGGGACTTGGGATTTGTGATTAGTTATTCTAGCGTAGAGTGGGTTTTCTAACAGATTCGGAGTCAATGATACCCCGCGGGATAAAGCCTTGCTGGAGGCTCTGACCAGTCTTAACCATGTGTGATGTCTTCCTTCTTGGTAGTGCTGACCCAGTGGACTATATGTTGACACCTTTCGCTTGCAAGTGTTGTGAGATACATATAACCGAACAATTCATTCTGATGATAGTATTCTAATCCGTCTAAAGACGCCTAGATGAATGCCAAACGAAGCCTAGCCAGCTACGCAAAATATCAAAATTCCTCCAACATCCCTCAAGGCCAAACCTTTATGTAGTATTATCTAAAAGAATACTGCATTCCGATCAAAAGGGCCCTTCTCGCAAGCAGCACTCGCGGCCGGATCGTCCATGTCGAGCGCAGCCTCGGCTTCGTCTTCGGGCACAGGACGAACAACCTCCAGTGACAGCTGCGGATCCTTGGAGTACACTCTCAACCCGACGACACACACCGCATTCCAGGTGTCGATGTTGCTTTCCTCCGTGCAGCTTGTCAGTGACAGCTGACAGACTCTTGGCTCGGTCGGTTCCTCGGGCGGCATGTCGAGGTCCGAGTCAAATTCGAATCCATCCAGGAGTTCCAGCTCCTGTTGATTGAAGTGCGGTTGCGTGAACGACGGCGAATGCAAGGTGTCGAGACTTGAGCGTCCCGAGTCCTTCTTACTCGACATGTGGTACTCGGTAACATGGACTCCGTTGCACTGGATGGTAGGAACGCTGCCGTTGCCGTTGCGGACGTGCTTCATGTCCAAGCCGATGCCCGGACTGTAGTCCATGTCCAAGGGTGACTGGACTGGTCCGTCAGAGAGGATCTGTACGCTGCGGCTCGAGTCTACTCGGTGATAACTATCTGCGGAGCTCTTGGCGGACAGTCGCTCTGCTCGTCTCTGCTTTCGACCATCTATCTTGCGCTCGCGGATCCATTCCTTTTGCAGCCTTCTCTTAGTCTGTTTCCGCAGATTGCGCCGCTCCGCTGCCTTGCGACGTGCTTCGCGGTCCTCGCGGGCCCGTTTCTCTTTTTCGGTCTCGAAGACCAGACCTTTAGCGTGAGCAAGGTCGTAGGAAAGTCCGATCTGGACTAGCTTTTCTCTCCCGACTGGTGCCACTCGACTGACGACATCTTCCGTCGCCATGTCGCTGCATCTGTAGGCGGTGACCTTCATCAAAATGTGGTAGCGTCCGGGGCTGAGATCAACCTCCGCATTCACAGATCGACTCATCACGTAGCTACAGTTACTGCGGACCATGTAGTCGTCTTCCCCTTCTTTCTGGATCCGGAATTTTATTTTGAAGTCGTACTCGCCGGCTAAGCCTTTGAAGTAGCGCGAATCAAGCTTTTTCGTTGTCAGTAGGTTATTGAGTGAATCAAACTGAGCCCAACGTACCTGGGAGAGGACGAGGACTACCGGGCCCTCTTTGGTCACGTTTACCATGAACTTGGTGCTGTGGTAATCGGCAGACCATGGGACGTTCAGAGTAGTCCATTGCTGTGTGACAGTCCATTCAGGGCCAAAGAGGCGAGTTCGATCGAAATGTTGATACTTCTTGAGTAAATCGTTGTAGGATATCCAGAAGAACTGGGCCCTGTCAGTAGGCAGTCATTTCCAAAGACTGAACAAGGCTCACCCCATCGTTTCCAAACTTATGGCCTAGCTTTTCCATCCACTGAGGAGTCCATTGCTCTGAACCGTCGCCCCAGGCTCCATTCCATTCCTTTTTGCCCCACGGGTTTCTACATCTGTCAGCTACACTGAGACTTGAATGAGTAGCTGTGAGCCTACCTTAATCGAATCAGACGATGGCCGTCAATCTCTTTCGCATCCATGATCGAATAAGAGTGATTCTCCGAAATACCCTTTCTGTCTCTTGGGGGTCCTTGGTATTTTGGGTCCAACCAGTTGGAGAACAACCCAGTAGCGCAGCCAAACAGAAATTCTTTGTTGACTTTCATGAGCTCCTCCTCCCAGAATCTATCCTTGTCCAGGATATTGCTGGACAGAATGTCGGAAGTAACACCGCCAGTAAGATCTTCGATCGCTTCCCTGTAATGTGTCAGTACTAGTCTCACTCATCAATGTCGAACAACATACCCAACAAACCCGCCTTCGATAGCAGAGTAGTCGCCGTGCGCCTTTGCGTAAGCCTTCTCAAGCAGCGGAAGCCAAGTCTCATTCTCATCCACACACTGGGCGAAATACAACGCCCGAGACCCTGTCTGCCAGACTTTGCGATACTCTTCCTCGGTGTCGTTCCGATTGATGTCGTCCCAGATCGGCCGCTCATCAATCGATTCGTCATAGTCTGCTGCTCGTAGATATAATTTATCGTCCACGATGCATTGCTGCCATTCACCATCTGAATATTGTCAATCTCCGCATCTCATATGCGAGATGATGTGTTCACATACCTCGATAGAACACAAACCCGTAGACGCCAATTTTCTCATCGCGAGCAACACAGATCTTCTCGATCAAGCCTTGCTTGTTCCCCATGGTACATAGAGCAGCCATGAACCAACAGTCTCCATCCCGGCCCTGTCGGACATCGGAAGCAGTAGGCCCATTAACGAAAAACTGCGGCTTCTCAAAGATTTCCTGCGAGGGTGTTAGAGATCCGATCGGCCGGCCATCGCTCATGGTCTAAGCTCACAGTAACCCGTTTAACTCCCCTCGGGCGCATCTCCATGTTCTTCTCCTCTAACCCATCCAGGTAATGCCTTCTCCCAGATTTGAGATCGACCTCGATGTCAAAATGGGGATCTGTGTACTTCTGGTTCAATCGCTTGCATTCGTTGATGATGCGATCAACAGTCCGGCGGCATTCCTTTCTGATCTGCTCGTATGATTTACCCGCATCTTGTGCTTGAATCACCCCCTTAGGAAGCTTCGCGGCCTTGGTGCGTGCGTATGGGTTGTTGGGTAGCACGGTGTACACTTTCCCCGGATATTTAGTATTGAATTGATCCCAGAACTGTCGCACGGTCTCTTGCGGTGAATGGTTTACTCGCCGCGAGCTTCGACTCCCAGACCGGGTGGAAAGGGGAGGGGTGAAAACCATGTCTGACAGATCGTCATCGTGATCCATGATGCCGGCGGGTGTTTCAAATTGTGAGAGTCCTCGGGAGATTTTCTTTTGATCCTTTCAAAGAAAACGGGCATTCGATGAGATTTTATAAATAAGCGAACGGAAAAGCTTCTCACTCGGACTCAGTGTGATACATCGAGGACAGGTTTCGGAGGCGCAATCCATCGCCTTAAAAGCAGGAGAGCCATAATGCAACCACTTCGACCGGGTCCCCTCAAATCTGAGCGAACCAGATTGCCGGTCATCACGAAACGGCGATCATCTCTAGGGTCTAAATGGCATCCCAGGGATCACCCACCAATGGGAAGCGCTGAGCAATCGCTGCATCTCTAGACTGGGGAGCCTTGCATACGGAGTGCCGAGAGGGTGGCCGCTGGTCGCGACCGAAAGGCAGTGTAGTGCTTACTCCGTATGATTTTATGGGCCCGAGTCATCTAAGCGTGACGAAAGCTGAGAAAAATCCGGCACTAGATACGTATGAAGTGCGCTGAGTGGCCGGACTCGACCGTTTCTTGCTGATAGATTGAAGCTGAACGGCGAGATCTAAGCTGACGGGCTGGACTGTTATGAGAGAGGGAGAAATCTTCTTTGTCCGCATATTGTGAACGATGTGGAAGCGACGAGACCCGCTAGTCAGCAATGAATGGTCAATATTAATAGCAGCCCATACCTAGCGCAGCGTTGCGAAGGGATACGAGCGCTGTGTGAGCGGCTGGCAAGCGCTCAGGCACGCCGCCGGTGATTCGACCATTCCTGACGCAAAGAAAACGGGCGGGCCAGGCCATCCCGAGATGTTAGCCTGAGGCTGTGTTCTGGACTAAAGGCCAATTTCTTACGAGAGGCTGAGATCTGGTTCCAATTGTCAAGAATGCGGTGTGGATTGTCGTCGATGCCGAGAGCGAAGAGAGAAGAATGGCGGAGGCGGAGTTGATGAAGAGAGGCGCACGTGGACTACCAGGATTCTACGGCTTGGCTTTTCCTGTTCTCCTGCTCCTTGTCCGTACGCTTTGCACTAAAGGACTCATTCAGATGGGTATGTACGCGAGTCAGAATAGACACGAAAGATTAAGAAAGAAAAAGAAAAAAGAGACACTCCTTGCATATCCAGTAACCTAGCCTCTCTCGAGCCATAACACACACCATGAGCAACGCCATAAACAAAGGAAATAAAGTCGGAGACATCAGAAACATCAAAGGACATCCGGAGGGGCTGTTGGCCGACACTGGGGACAGAAAAAAGAGAGCAAAGGGTAGAATCTATCGGGCAGCCATCCCCAAGTCACTGCTGTCTGCCATAAGCCACCCACATACATACATTACACGTAAGGTATCAATCCACAGTCCGTCATTTCACCATTCAATTAATGAAAGCCGTTTCTTCGCGAAGACGTGCGGCCGGAGTAGTATGAGCTGCCGTTCTGGAAGTAGGGGTGCATGCAAGCCTGCTTGGCAGAAATTCGTCGGGCGGGATCGAACTCCAGCAGGCAATCCAACAAGTCAAGGCCGTCCTCTTCCAGGCCAGGAACAAGGGCATGGGAATCTTCACGCTTCCACTTGGGGAATGTGGGTTTGTAATCGGGGAAGGAGGTGACACCAGGCCAGACGTGGTCATCGGGGGTGCCGAGAAGTCTATCGAGGGAGAAAGGGTCCGTGTTAGTGGGAGTAACCTAAGAAACTTAATTTGTGGGATGACATACCGGAAGATTTTGAAAATCTCATCGATTTCGGAGTCACCGGGGAACAGGGGCTTGCGGGTGCACATTTCCGCGAAGATAGCTCCAACAGACCACATATCCACACCGGTGGAATACTGACGCCCGCCCAGGAGAATCTCGGGAGAGCGGTACCACAATGTGACAACCTAGAAAGGTCAATTTCGGTCCGGTTAATGGTGAGTAGGGAATCATGTTACCTCGTGGGTATAGGTTCTCAGCGGAACACCAAAGGCTCTCGCCAATCCGAAATCCGCCAATTTCAAGTTACCATCCCGGTCGATCAACAGGTTCTGGGGTTTCAAGTCACGGTGCAGGATGCGGTGACTGTGGCAATAACGAATTCCCTCGACCAACTGGGCCATAAATTTCTTAACCATGGCATCTCCCAATCCCATGTTCTTGCTGAGATTGGAGCCATCTGGGAGGACTTTACCACGTCCACCCTCACTGACAGGAAGAGCCTCCATATACTTTTTGAGGTCGAGGTCCAAAAATTCGAAAACGAGATAGAGCTTGTGGCCGTCGGCATGAACGATGTTCAGCAGTCGCACGATGTTCGGGTCGTTCATTTCTTTCAAAAGGGAGATTTCACGAATGGCCGTGCTGGGAACGCCCTCATCCTCCGCCTCCAATCGAATCTTCTTCAAGGCGACAATACGGTTGGGATGTGTGAGCTCACGGGCCTTGTAAACGACACCGTAGGTTCCTAATCACGACATAACCAGTTAACTCGTTGTCCATTGAGTACAGACAAGCCATCAATTAAGATTGTGATATAGCTTGGGGATCAAAGGCCAAGGGAAAAAAAAGGCATGTCCTTATCAGTCGGATACGTACCCTCTCCGATCTTCTCGATCTTTTGGTAGTTCTCCATGATGAATGATTATCAGTCGGCCTTGACGGCAATTGAAACGAGGCTGTCGGATATTTGATCACGGAAGTAACCAAGTCTGAGCCCACCAGCACGTGGGGGTGTAAGGAGGGCACAAATGGACTACACAACACCGGGTGCTTGTTGCCCGGGGAAAGAAGCGAGAAGGAGAAAAACAAGGAGGGTTGTGGTTGGCGAGAGCACGGCAAGAAGGGATTGGGGGATCCGGGGAGGATTGGTGGGACCGAAGGGATGTGAGAGATCGATTGTCGACTAATGATGAGACCCAAAACCCGGGAAATTGGCGGCAACAGGCTGTCGAGAGCACTTTTTGACGAGATGAAGGCTCACTTTGTTGTCTTTTCATCCCTGGTGGGGAGCGAAGGCGGTCAAACACAAACAAAACAAACCCGCGTCCCAAAGGCGGTGAGCGCGTCCCCGGCGGACTTTCGCTGACTTTTTACCGGCTTCCCTCGTCTTGGTCTTTGTTCGTTTGCCTTTGTCCGGGTGCCAAAGATCCTAGGTTCATCAAGGGATGATCAACTCTGGATGTTCTGGATACTGCCGCTGTATTCCTCGAGAATAATGCACATGCGAGGTGTCTGAACCACAGATCAATCCCATTCACTAATTTCCTCACAGCCAGTGCGGGGATGGCCCGCATCAATGACCTCAATGCTCACGAGCGCCCTCCCGAGTCCATAAGACAGCGATACAAGAAATACCAGAAGTCAACGACTGCAGAGATACAGCAGGATGTCGGAATCATCGATCTCCAGACCCTAGATCCCCATGACCTGCCCACGGGCATTGCGCTCTCTCAATGGATGTCTGGTGAAGATCTTCGGCCTGCCTTCCGAGAATTTATGCCAGCGGACAATGGGAAAAACGAGGATGGGCTGCATACTGTTCAAGATATACCTATATACACACATAAATCCGTTTCCGGTCAGCAACCTTGGAATTCAGATGAATACTAGAAAGACAAATTGTAGGATGAAGCACCTAACAAATGGTAGGTCTGCAAATTATCCCGTCGCTATTCCCACCGGCTCTCCAGAAAGAACTATTGTCACGTTTACTGCACCGCGATGTATCTAATCCGGACCACCTATCCAATATCCATTTGCACTACGATGTCACATATCCCCGGCCGGTGGACAAAGATGAAACACAGTCCGAGAGTAGTTCAGTAGACACTCGCACCCTGTCCTTCTTCGAAGACGACCAGAACCGCCTGATATACCCCAAAGACGCAACAGTGCACAAGCCGCTCGCTGTCAAGGATATCCTGAATAAGAAGCTCCGGTGGATCACCCTTGGGGGCCAGTACAACTGGACGACCAAAGAATACCCAGAAGAGCACCCTCCAGTCTTCCCGGAGGATATAGCCAATTTGCTGCGCGCGTCCTTTCCCAAGACAGATGCTCAGGCAGCGATTTTGAATTTCTATACCCCGGGAGACACCTTGAGCCCCCATCGTGATGTCAGTGAGGAATGCGACGTGGGTCTAATCAGTATCAGCTTTGGCTGCGATGGCTTGTTCCTGATCAGCCATGACGATGGCACTGGCTGCGACATCATTCGACTCCGCTCCGGAGACGCTGTGTATATGGATGGTACATCCCGTTTTGCGTGGCACGCAGTCCCCAAGATCATTCCTGATACTTGTCCAGACTGGCTGGCGGATTGGCCGGTATGCTCTGACGAGCAGGATTCATCACATTATAACACCTGGAAGGGTTGGATGTCACGGAAGAGAATCAATCTGAACGTCCGGCAGATGGCCTCATGAACCGGCTCGGATCATGAGTGTTTCATTCGAGAAGGGGCTCGAGAGAATACCCAAGATGCGAGATACAATGGAAAGCTCGGAGAATTGGTTGATCAGGCCTCGGATTTCTGGCCTTGGGGTAACCCCGGAGTCAAACCTTGGGCGCCTCAGAAACGTATCGTGCATAAGGGGATGATGTAAAGCGGTTTAACTTGTACATACGAGGTATAACTGTGTGTATAATTGACTTCCTAGATCCATATTCCAGGCCCATCAGCGAACCCTTCTGGGAGCATACTGGGGACAGCCGCGAAACATCAGAACTTCCAGTTCGGAAATCCTTCACCAATTATCCTCATCCAGACGGCTTTCAAAGTGGATATTTTATATGAGAAGTACCTTTAAGTCATCAACACGAGCCGTCATGCAATCCGAGGCGTCAGTCTTTGTTCTGATTGACCCCGCCCGACTTTGAGGGGATCCCCCAAGCTACTCCAACGATTTTCGGCGCTAACCCTCTCGACCATGCATGAGACATCATAAAGCCATTTTTGAGATCCCATATTATGCAATCTGTTCACTGGATTCCTTTTACCCTTTCCCTGTCCGTCCTGATAAAATAACAACGTACCCTCTGCTAGATATATATCAGCCTCGCTCTCTCAACATGACCCTTGCAGGCTGGAAACAGTTGGCGGATTCGAAACGCCAATCAATTTTAGACGCCATCTCCGAGAAATGGAGGATTCAGGGCCCCATCCCTCCCACAGAAGAGCTACGCGATGTAACTGGGGCTTATATCCAACAGTTTCTGACTCCCCGAGAGATAGAAATCACTGAAACCGATGCCCTTGGTGTCGCGGAGAAAACAACGTCGGGAACTTGGACTGCCGTCGAGGTGACAGAGGCATTCTGTCATCGAGCTGCACTTGCTCACCAGCTGGTATCGACCTTTGATGGATGGTTGTAGTGATAACTAGCTAATTGTAAACTGCAGGTGAACTGTTTGCACGAAGTGTTTTTTGATGCCGCAATTGACGATGCGAAACGGCTCGATGACTACTTCGCAAAGCATGGAAAACCGATTGGCCCTCTGCACGGCCTGCCGGTTAGTTTGAAAGATCAATTCCATGTCAAAGGCGTCGAGACTACGATGGGATATGTGGGGTGGATTGGCACGTTCCAAGGAGAGAAGAATGACCCCCGGAGCCAAGTGTTCGAAAGCGAACTTGTCCGAGAACTCCGCAACCTGGGAGCTGTGTTGTACTGCAAGACCAGTGTTCCTGCCACGTTGATGGCGGGTGAAACGGTGAACAATATCATCAAATACACCACCAATCCTCATAATCGGCTCCTATCATCGGGTGGAAGCTCTGGAGGGGAAGGGGCGCTCATTGCGTTGAAGGGCTCCCCGGGAGGGTTTGGTACTGATATTGGCGGCAGTGTTCGAATCCCGGCGGTGTTTAACGGTCTTTATGGATTGCGCCCGTCAGCGGGCAGGGTGCCCTATGAGGGTGCGGCGAACTCAATGGATGGTCAGAATACGATCCTGTCGGTCATTGGACCCCTGGCAACCACTGCGCGCTCCCTGGGGCTGCTCTTCAAGGCCGTGCTCAGCCAGCAACCATGGTATCATGACCCGCTAGTTTTGGAACTGCCATGGCGGGATGCGGTCGAAGAGGAGACGCGCGCGCTGATCGAGAAGTCCAAATCAGGGTCTTCTCAGCTGGCATTTGGCCTCATGCACCACGACGGTGTCGTGCGACCTCATCCCCCGATTGCCCGGGCTTTGAAAATTGTTGAGCAAACCCTGACAAGACTAGGACACAAGGTATGAAAAGAAACGAAAAGGACAAGCTTATTGGTTGATGGTGCTAATTTTCTGGGACAGGTCATCGAATGGAGCCCTCCCTCTCACATAGTTGCACATCAATTAGCTGTATGTTTCAGTTTGACTTGACCCTGTGGTTTGCATATAATGAGACACCGTTAACAATAACAGAGTGCAACGTACAACCTCGATGGGGGAGCTGATCTCGTACATCATTTTGGTTTGTCGGGAGAAGAACAGCCTTATCAATGCATTGTGGAATCTGGACCACAAAAGAGTGCCTTGGAGATTGCTGCGCTCAATGTGAAGAAGCGCGAATATCAGAAACAGTACATGGATTATTGGAACAGCACAGCCCAGCTGACTGGCACTGGACGACCAGTCGATGGGTTTGTTTGCCCTGCTGCGCCCCATGCTGCGGTGTTACCCTGCAAATACGACCATGTCGGATACAGTTCCTTTGTCAACCTCCTCGACTATACGGGTGTTGTATTCCCGGTAACTCGGGCTGACAAGAACATCGACGTGCCTCGGTGTGAAACCAATTTCTTGAGTGAAACAGACCAACGGATACACGACCAATGTGAGTGGATTGCTTCCAGATAGGCCAAGGGTATCAAGACTCGCTAACCATCGACTAGACGATGCTGACGCTTATCACGGCGCACCTGCCGGACTGCAGCTCATTGGACGACGGCTTCAGGAAGAAAAGGTGCTTACATTGGCTGAATATATTGGTGGTAACGTGCCTAAGAGCCTGTAAGCCGAGGCACGGATTTGGCGACTAGAATGACGTGTTCGATGACTTGCAGACAATGTGATTTATGGAGGCATCACAACAGCATGATATTTTGGGTTTTTCTACTGGAATGTACGATTCGTACTGATAACACTCGACGCGCATCTCTGATCGACGAGCACTTGTACACCGTAGGGCAGGTTGACGATGTCGAGCGTATTCCAGAGCAGATCAATAGAGTAGATATGAATTTTCCAACGAAATCTCAAGTTTCAATCAGAATGACAGATCATCCCTGGTCAGGACAGTCGATGGTTGGTGTTTGTCAAAGGCAGAAGACGAGGAGGCTGAAACTCCCCCACAGCCAAAGCTTGGCGAGGATCGTCACGTTTCTCCTCCCTTCTTCCGCTCTCTTCTTCTCTCCACTCCTTCGAGTCCTCCACCACCTCTTCGCCTGCAGCTGCTTGCAACCCCTCGCGTCGCCGCGCACTATCACTCTCTTTTTGTAACTGCATTATTGTCGCAGCTTACTCCCTCGCATCTGCCTATCGCTTGTCATGCATTGAGCTTGCAGAAGTTCTCTACATTTTGGCTTCCGTGAACGCGTCTTCCTCCACCCCCTCCAACACTCTACCCACATTTGACAATCGCCTGCAGCTCAAATTTTCGTGTCATTGTGAAACATGGATGAAGGCGCATCTACTCGTCCGACAAACACCCCCGAAGAGTCGGGTGGCGCCGACGATAATGCCCAGTCGGCCGCCAAAAACGCGGCCTCGAAGGATCGGAAATGTCAGTACTGCGACCAGGCATTTACTTCGTCTTCGTTAGGGCGCCACTTGGATCAGTTTTTGTTCAAGAAGAAGCCGGATGGAATTCATGATGTGGAGGAGATTCGGCGCATTCGGAGCGGTATCACCCGGCGACAGGCTCGCACCTCGTCGGGGAAACGTGACACTCCTGAACGCACGACTGGGAAAGGCCAGTTAGATTCTTATACCGGTGGTGAATCAGGCGGGAAACAAAGAGATAGTGGGATCCGGATGATGTTCAACACTCCGACGTGGCATGCGACCGGTGTTATCAACGATATCCCCAACCCGAGTCACCCGCAAGAACCCTCCAGTTCATCCCGATTAGGCTCCGTCCAACCTAGGGCAAGCTCCCTGCACTTACCAGAGTACGCAAGCAGAGGTGCTAGTGGCAGCAATCCCGATACTGTGAGGGCGTTAGAATTGGCTTTGCAGGAGGTCCTCGACAACATCAAGGCCGCTACGTGTGTTTTACCCTTACCTACACTGGCCCATCAAGCCAATTACTAACATATACAATAGATCCAGGATGCGTCCGCCGATATCACCGTTTGAATTCGACATCCAGTCGCAAACGTTTCCTTCGCTCTGTCTGCAGTTGCTTCCGCCTCCACCCAGCCTGTTCTCGACGAATCCATTCGCTTCACCATCCTCCTTTCCTCTTCAACCCCCCGGCGTCGAGCATGTCGACATCATTCGACAAGCTTTGCGTGCCAAAATTGAGCGATGGCAATCCGATCAGCTTGCTGCCGATTCGAGCAGAAGCTCTCAATCGGGGAGGACCTGTGTTGGCTTGGATTCAAACATGATTAATCGGAGTGCGCAACAACACGAAGATATCAGCCTAAGGCATCTGGAGCTGGCATTCAAACACTGGGTGTCGCTTGCTCCAGATGCGCGGCAGGAATCCTGGCAACTCGAGATTATTCGCGCGTTCGCTCGGGAAATGGAAAAACGCAAGTCGCTCGACGATCAGTTGGCGCGGGTCCAGCAGGAGGCAAACCAGCTCCGCGCGCAAGTCGAACGGCTCGGATCATGCCAATGGCCGCGGGAGTTTGCTCTCTTCCCACCGGATACGCTGCCTCTCCCTCGAGAAGTCGCCCGGGAATTAGACGCAAAAGAGAGTCAGATTAGCCCGGGCTCGCCTCACTGGGACTACGACAACGTTGTAACCAAGTGGAAGCGCGTCGTCATGCACGATAAGAGCATGGGCCGGGTGGGCGTCGGATACGCGAACCCCATGAACGACGATACCAGTCCCACGGACAAGCATCGTGCCAGCGATGAGCAGCCAGCAATTCAACCTAAGCCCAGGTCTCTGCAGCCTCCCACGGCAATGAGCCCCCCAGGCGGTCCGTCACCCTCCCAGACCGGTGGCGCATCCGCGTCTCCCAACCAACACACCTCTCCCTACCACCAGCATGACAGCAATCCAAGCCCCAGCGCCGGCCCCCAGGCTAAACGGCCTCGCCTGATGAACGGTCACCACCCAGCGAACACTACGGAGGGCGCTAGCTCATCCAGCAATCAAGGACCTAGCGGCTCTTCAACAAACTCATGGAACCCCCAGCAGAACCTGATGGTCTCTAATCTTGCGACCTCGTCGGGACCCACGCCTCCGTCTTCGATTTCAGGCACATGAAGAACATGGTAGCCGTCATTGGAAACTATTCTTTCCCACCGATTATCACTAAGCCAATATATTTCTTGTCCCTATTGAGCGGTCCCCACTATTTGTCTAGCTCATTTTAGTATCCGATTCACTGGACGTTTTTGCCTAAGAATGTGACCAGTACCTGGCAGTCTTCATGTACATATATATTTCAACTCTCAACTGGCCTAAGCAGCTAGCGCTACTCACCGGATTTGGTCCTGTTGTGTCGATCTATCTTTATTCTCAATACTATTCTCAATACTATTATCTCAATATCAACAACCCTCTAATCATCCCAATTTTCACCTCCACAGTAAACCATTTATTTGGAAAAGAAAAGTAAACAACCCACATATAAAAGCCCACCATTTATATGGCAAGAAAATTTGTTAAAGTAGAACCGTCTTTCCCAACCCCTTAACTCCAAAAAAAACTTCCCAGATACATATACATATACAGTATGAATAGAAGACCAACTAAATACCCTCCTTACTTTGAGTCTAAGCGGTCGCCTTCCTCGCCTTCCTCTTACTAAACCATCTCTTCATATCTGCGAGGCCATGAAGATAAAGCCACGAGAAGAAGAACACAGCGGCGAAGTTGAACATCACGAAGGCCCAGAATATACCCTATTGGGAAGTTTGTTAGTCAGATAGGTCTCGTAGAGAAGGTAGGAGAGGTAGGAGAGAAGGGGACAACATACATAGTCGCGCCATTTATCCGAATAGTAGACATTAAATGCAGAGGCCTGTTTGATTGAAAGAGAAAGGTGGTTAGTAAAGAGTATACTTGTTCGATATTACGGTGATAGGTCTTGACCAAGGACTAGAAGCAGAGGAAAAGGTAGAGAGGAGAATAGAAGAAAGGGAAGCAACGTACAAAATTATCCCCATCCGAAACCTGACAATACGCACACATTCCGTTGCCGATATTTCGAACATAACCACCAGCCCGCTGGGCAAACGAGCCCGCATAGTCCTGGCAATTGGAACCCGGCGGCGGCATGAAAGTCGACTCTTCCCGGGGTATGCACCGCACGGGAACCTTGTGCGTCACGACGCCGAGGAAACCTTGCAGGAGGTAGGTGAAGGGGCTGAGATGGTACATCCAGGATCGCCAGAAATGGATCATAGACGCGTAGGGGACGACAACACCGCAGAAGGAAACGACGAAGGTGAAGAAACACGGGACGAGGAGGGAAGCGAAGAGCTCGTTGGGCGAGAAGGCGGCGATGAATTGGCCGAAGCCGACATAAAACATCTCGAAGAGCATCAGCATCATCCAGACGTAGCCGGATGAGAAGGAGTCCCGGGGGAACCAGACGCCCCAGTACCTATTTGTGTGGTTAGGAGGGGTTCTATTATAGAAGGGAAGAAGAATGGGGAGATAAATGTACCAGCAGTTGAAGTAGATGGATCCGGCGATGATGGAATATGGCAGCTCTGGGAGGATGGCGCTCGTGACGAAGGCTGCCCAGGAGTAGATTTTGGAATTGGACTCGCGCGACTCGTACAAGCTCCTGAAATGTAGAAATTTGGGCTGCAATTGCTGAATGAGAGGAGGTGAGATTGTTAGCGTCATGAAGATGGAGAATAAGCGCGATTGCATGTCAATGTAACTGTTTCCTAGATGCCAGAACGTGAACGTGTTGAAGAGTCCCGTGAAGATATGCAGAAGGAATTTGCCCTAAGCTGAGTGTCAATGCCGAGTATGTCAGGAAAGAGGTTCAAGAGAGCTTACGGCATTATACTCAGGAGCTCGCCAGTATGCGACAAAAGAGCGCTTCGTAACAGCGAGCATCTGGACCCAGATAGGCATTGCATATTCCCGATTATCATCCTTTCGTCCTGTGTCTTGCTTGTCGCGTCGAGTTTCGATGATTTGGTCGATCTCGTCGGATCGTTCTTTGGCCTGAGGAGAATTTGCCCAAACCTCAGCCCAGTCCTGTCCTTTGTAGTCAGGATTTCCGGCACCAATGACTTCAAGCATATACTATTATCTCAAGTCAGCACAAGAATGATTGGGTCAGTTGGAGTTTGTGGATTGACTTGCCTCTGCAGGATTTGCATGACGAGGACACTTCTTGCCTCCGTTTCTCGCAAAATATTCCAACAACTTCTCCGAATCATTTCCCAATTCACCGTTGTATACAACTCTACCTCCACTCTGCAGCAATATCAGGTCGTCAAAATGCTCGAACAGTACTGCTGATGGCTGATGAATGGTGCATAGAATTGCTTGTCCAGCATCGGCAAGCCGTCGAAGGAAACGGACGATATTAAACGCAGCTAGGGAATCAAGCCCAGAAGTAGGCTCGTCCAGGAAGAGTAGTAGCTCTGGCTTACTTGCCAATTCCACCGCAATCGTGAGTCGTTTGCGTTGTTCTTGGTTGAGACCAACGCCTCCAGCACCCACAGTTGCACCGGCAATCGGCCGCATTTCTAGGAGATCTATGATTCGCTCGCAGTAGTCGTATTTTTCTTGAAGCGGTACTTCTTTGGGTTGTCTTAGGAGTGCAGAAAACCGAAGTGACTCTCGCACTGTTGCTGTAGGCTCATGGATATCCATCTGCTCGGCAAAGCCTGTGGCCCTTTGGAAGCTCTTGGGGAGCGGCCTAGAAGAATAAGCAATTGACCATGATAAAGCAAGTGGAAAGACTTACTTTCCGTCAACAAGGAACGACCCATTTACTATACCAAAGTTGATTCGTTGCGCCAGCGTGTTCAAAAGAGTGGTTTTTCTGCCACAAAGATATATAATCAGCTAGGATCGACCAACTCGGAACAATGAAGGATACTGACCCTGCTCCAGAAGCACCCATTAGAGCGGTGAGACGACCTGGCTTGACATATCCTTGAACATTCTGCAAGAGCTGCTTCTGTCCTCCTTGATACGGTATGGTGTAATTGACATTTTGCCAAGTGAAGATGGATGTGCTTTTAGCGATGCCCTCGACTCTATCCTCGGTGTCATCCGAACCCTCACTGTCCAGAACACCATTAGAGTCAATCTCTTTCTTTCCTGTCTCAACATCCTCGGGAAGTTCCCCCTGCTCGACAGCTTCCTCAACCGCCGCAGGCGCCTCTCCCCGTTTAAATATAGTAACAGCGCTTCCTCCCTTATTGGGCTTCTGAAGCTCGGTCCCAAGCATGGTCAAAGCGACAAAGAAAATGAACCATGCGATGATGATACCAAAGTTACGCCACAGGTGAGAGCGGCTATAGGTAAACCCAGTTTGGATGTAGTTTGCACCCTGGACTGTCAGCCGGTCGGTGTCGCTTCCTTGTAGCGCACAGGTTTGGTGTCCGGGTGATGCATTCGGTCCATCTGGTACAATATTTGGCGCTTGACATTGGATGTCCAGGTTATAGAACTCGTTTGCCATAATTCCTTCGAAGGCGTATTGAACCGGATTGATCCAAATGAGCCACTTCAGCCACGGGTGCATTTTCCACGGCGGAATCAGATAACCTATAGGAGTTAGCAAAATGATTGAATGCTTCACGGTTCAGCTTACCTGTATATACTACCAGTGCTTGTATCGCCACTCCGGTGACTCGTGTAGCTTTTTGATCAGGTCAGTAGAGGTCTAAAATCAGGTGCATCCTTTTACAAGAACGTACCGACATCAAGCGATGCTGATACGGAACCAATGGCCCGAAAGAACGAATACATGGTCATCGTGAGCATGAAAATGAACAAGAAATTAATGAAAAACTGAGATGCTGTTCTTGAGAGGTTCGACATGCTAAGCAAGATTGTTAGCGATGAGCAATGGACCGTAACACTGCTGGAGCTTACAAGTAGACAATCAAGTCAAATATTGTCACTTGGACAAAGATCAAGGGTACATCAACGACCACTTGAGCCAAGGCATAGGCAGACGGTCGGTAAAATGAGCTAAGCTAGTTAGTATAGTGTCTAACCCTGGATTCTCATGCTGATACTCACAAACTCTTATGCTTGAGCATGACAGGTCGGGTTTCGAATACCGCAGTGAGTTCAGCCAGGGCAAGTAGTGAGTTGAAAAGAAGAACAAAAAACATCACACCCCCGCGGGTGAACACTCCGCCACTTGATGAGCTGTCAGCGAGGTGTTCAGAAGATGCAAAGATCTCCGCTTACCTGGTTTGCGGAAGGTTATAGAAGAGACTTCCGATGATGAGCGCCTGGAAGGTAAGAATACTCCACTTTCCCACGAGCGATTGCTTGTCGCCATACATAACCAGAAACTGCCTGTGCGTCAAGATCATGACTTGCTTGTAGAATGGGACAGTAAAGTTCTTTTTCGGCAAGTCGGATCTGGCAGCCTCGCGGTCTTCTTGTTGAGACTCGACCTCCTGCTCGAAGTCCTCTATGTCGGCGATGGCTTCTTTGTGTATGTCACTTTTGCGATATATCTTTTGAAAATCTCCCGCAGATCTTGGGATACGATCTTCCCAACCCTTCTTCACACGCCGCGCATGGGGGTCGCTAACTGATGTCAGGAAATCTGGCGTCGTCCAACGCGGCGGGCATTCAAATCCTAAACGCTCGAAGTAGGCCTTAGCATTTTTGGTAGGCCCAAAGTATGCACATTTTCCTTCTTCGATCAGAATGACCTTATCGAAAAGATTGTACAGATTCTCCGAGGCTTGGTATAAAGCCACGAGGGTGGACGAATTTGCCATGTCGGTCAAACTCCGTAGACTCTGGACGTACTCGAGTGCGGTGCTGGCATCCAGGCCCTTGGTAGAGTTATCCCAGCATTGTGTACTTGCTTTGGTTATCAGAGCTTCCCCTATCGATACACGCTTCTTTTCGCCGCCAGAAACCCCACGAATCATTTCGTTGCCAACTTTTGTTCCCAGCGTGTGCTCGATCCAGAATAGCTTCGCAATAGTCGACAAGAACGTTTCCTGATATTCTTTAGGGGTTTCTCCGGGTAGTCGCGACGCTTTGTCCGGGGTTCTTGTTTTGAGAGCAAACATGAGAGTATCTCTCACGGTCAACGTAGGGTAATGGAGGTCATCCTCAGGGTTGTACAACACTGAAAATCTCAATATCTAGTGTTCGTTCAACTGTCCTTGAGTCCACGTACCTTCCGAGCGATATTTATCGGCCATCGTTTTGGAATCTGTGCCACCATATAGGACATCGCCTTCGATGCTTTTGAACCCAGATCGCTGGTTTCCAATGACTTTTAAGAAGGTCGAGCATCCAGAACCCGGCCGACCAAGGACTAGAATCATCTCGCCCGGTCTCACACAACCCTATTCGCCCGGAATAGATATGCATCAGCTCGCCGTCTCAAATAGATCAGGGCATTTCCTGCGGAAAACATACAGTGAAATCATCCAGAATTGTTCTCAACGGGTGCCTGTTGCCGTGGGTACTAAGTTGTTTGATAAACCTGGAGATAGCGAAAAGAATGTCCGAGTTGGTGGGCTGCATGGCCGCACCTAGTCCGACACCTTTCACCGTCAGGTTCTTCCATACAACACCATGATGTCTCGTCTTCTCTTCGTCCGAGTTTGCTTTTCGATCTTGTCCGAACATGCGAGACACCAGTCTCACAATTTGAGCCGTATCCTCATCTGTCTCGCCTTGGACAGATCCGGTCCGTCGCTGCGATAGGGCTCGCGCGATCTCATCGTCGGTGAGCTGTCGCGTCAGAGAGGGTCTCCTCTCTGGTGTTGGCTTTTCAGACAGGCCCGATGGGTGATTTTGGATGGGGGAATCGTGTGCTGTCGAGCTGGAATTCGAGTGCGTGCTTACTGACGTGTCGGAAGCTGCATCTTGAGCGGCGAGACTTTCTCCCCGAAAGTCTACTTCGTCCTGGCGCTTGTGATCCATTCTGACGAGTTTTGCTTCAAATCATCATCAAGTGCATGTGTGCGAGAACATCGAACCAACATTGGAATAATATAACTCGACGCAAAAATCCTAGTCTTGAACAGATGGGAAGGATCGATCGAAGGCCAATTACGTCAGGTATGCCAATGCTTCGAAAACAAGACATACGGAATGGGAGCACCGGACATTAGGCCATCTCGTAGTTAAGATCGGAGATTACAACACCGATCAAAGCCTAAATGTGATCGGATAGCTAAGGACCCGAGTGTCCGAGACGATCGAATGGAATCATAGGCATTGTTGGTCTAGATCGCAGACCTTGAGGGCCGGATGCGGTGATGATGAAGTCATCATCCGCTCATCCCTTGGTGCGCCAACTAATGCGATGGATATTTTGCCATCTTTCCATGGCGAACATGACGAACATGGCAAACAGAAGTCGGCTTCGGTCGCTCGCAGCTATTCCGATCCGAACCCTTGTTAATTGCATGGAGATGCGGTTGTGAGATGTTATTGGCAAGCTACTCATCAGCTGTCCAGGGGGTAGACCAGCCATGAACTTGAAGCGACCAGAAACATCACAGACGGACAACGACGTCACACAGCAGGGAACTGGCGATAGCCGTTTGGTTCTAGATACCGTCCCTTTCTGTAGGTTGGGCCTTTCTGTCGTGATATTAGGTGCTTTACTAACGTTCAAATTCCAGCTCCAACTAAGCCTCTCTCCACCCTAGGTGGGGGATCTGGCCCGCCCCTTGGAAGGTACAACGATCGGACCAAGTATTGAAATCCGTACGGAGTCCGACAGTCATGTATCCACCCCTCCCACTCCTGTTTCGAGAGAGCAAGGTCATCACTCGGGTAAGTGCTTATTACAATGTGTATACCCTCCCCTGTTGTCGTCAATACTTTCTGATTCATTTTAGCAGCTCCACCCCTTACTTACAGTGATATTGACAACCACGACCCTATTCCTGACGCTTCCGCAAATATTATCTCTAATGGTGACTATTCCTCCTCGGGCAAGGTTGACCAAGGTGATATTGGAAGATCAAATGGTCTTAATAATCGCCTAGGTCGCGGCTTGCGGCGGTCAGAGAAGAATATTTTAGGATCCGATTGTCATATGATTCCAGCAAGCCCCAATCAAGTGGCACAGCTTCCGACTGGTCGTGAACATCTGCCCTCCCTCGTCGTGGTGGTCCCTCCACCACCTCGACGGAAGTCGTTCGCGGTGGCCCATGCATTCTCTGAACATCTCCCAACTTCTCCACCTGGCCCAACGCCGATGTCGACCCCTCTGCCGTCCGCAGGCCCCTGTAACACTCGAGACATTTTCGGGCGAGCTATACTCACTATTGATCTCACTGTTGTAGTGCCCTTGCAAGTAGCAGCGGAACTGGTTTCATGCACAGTGTAGCGTTGCTTATTTTTGGGTTTCACCTTGAAGACTGTATATAGAGTCTAAAAGAAAATCTTCATGTCGCTGCCTGGCTACACAGACTACTGATTGAACAGAATGATGCTTGGATAACGGTAAAACTGCTTTATTTTCATTTACACCGCTACCAATAGAGGCCCCCGTTCGTCTTCCGAGCCAACACACTGCTTCTGCTAGAGATTATAGTACCTTCCGCGTTTATCCAATAGCTCCTGATGACCTCCTCTCTCAACAATAGCACCATCATGGAAGACTAAGATTTGGTCCGCCATAACAATGGTCGAGAGCCGGTGGGCAATAATGAAAGTGGTCTTTTTCTTCATCAGTCGCTCCAGCGCGCCGTGGATTGGATTGTATAAAGGGGGGTTAGCTTTCCTCCCGGAATGAGCACCAAATGCCATCAGTCCAGACTACTTCGTCAGATCCTAAGTTAAATGGCTTCTAGCATCAATTCCACGAGCGTGCCATCCGGCATGCTGCCGCATGACCCTTCTGCCGCAGCGCGCAACGTGACGGGAGGGCTATTCGATCTTGATAGTGAGACAGATCTCTCCGCTTTTCGCATCGCAGAACCACCTTGTCGATTCAGATTCCGCGGCACTACCTACCGTATTAGGGTTAGCGCTCGTGTGTTCTCGTGGCTGGATGACAACCACAATGAAACAACTGACTCGCCAAAACCTCGTCTCCTTCTTCAACGCGCTCTTTGTGATACGCAATCTGGGTGTTGGGAGGTAGCTGGTGGGGGAGTCGAAAAACAAGACCAAAGCCCCCGAAATGCTCTCACACGCGAGGTTCAAGAAGAGAATGGCCTGCTACTGTCGGTGGTCGCTCATGCTCTCCCGGTTCAGACGTGGAGGAAATCCAAGGGAGAGGAGTGGCACGAATGGGTTGGCCTCCCGTACATCATTGAGGTCTCCAGACAACACGCAACTAGCCAATATGTGCCTCAGCCGGTGGGATGGGAGAACGCAATACGACTGGATCCTGAAGAGCACCAAGCTTTTACATGAGCAACAGAGGATGAGGTGCGAAGTGGCAAGTACAAAATGCTCGGAAGCCACAAGAGGGCTATCCTCGACGCTTTTGCGACAGTGACTCAGAATCGCTCGGTTTAATGTCTGAGATCGGTGGATAAGGTGCAAATATGGTGGTTTGAATGATGGAAGACGAGATCTGCAAAACCAGTCTTCGTCATCAAGGAAACATGCACATGACCAATTTGTACCGACAACAGGTGATATTGCTGGGAGACTGGGGATAGAGAGCTAGATTAGGAAAGGTAATTTATGGTTCGAGAACCTCATCTGTACCTAATGCCTGTCCAGTTAACAAGTACATAAAACTATCCCCAGTAAGAAAATACTGTATGCTCCGACAGTGTCACGGACTGTGACCAGCCTCCGAAGACGTTCCTTCGTGATACCCTATGACCTAACTACCCGGTCGGGACTAGCATCACAACCTAGCTTAGTTTCTTCGTTGAATGCATACCCTACATTCTCGCGATTCCTTATCGCCTGCGTAGCCGTTCGTCACACTCATGCCGAGCTTAAGAATCACTTAATGGGATCTTATCACTTTTGTTCAGACTACAACCTTTACCATGAGTCCGCTGAGAAATTTCAAGAGCATGGTATTGACAAGCATCACTTGTGTGTTAAATGTGAAAATACTTTGCGAACAAGAACAATTTAGAAATGGTATAAGTGTCTCGATTAATGTTGTATGTTCGATGCTGATATATCCGTCTCTTCAGTACCAACAGAATCACCAAGCCCGAACGATGGAATGCTGCGGTTGCTACAAGACCTTCAAGTCCTTCTCTGGAGTTCTGATCCATCTCGAGTCTGGGAGCTGCCCATCAAACATTACCGAGGAAGAAATTGATAAAATAGCCCGCGAATGTTATCAAAGTAGGAAGTATATCAATAAAGAACTTGAAGATAGAAGCTGGCTTTACAAATGTCCTCACTGCGAGATGGAGTTCACAAAGCTTTCAGCACTTTATTAACATGCGGAAGATGTTCCGTCTTGTTCTTTCCTTGTCAACGGGCACGGATGTTTGGCTAAATTGGTTGCTCTTAATACCATTCGGGTAAGTGTCTGCGGGATGTGGGTATGGACCGCACTGCACTGCAGCCACTCGTTTCTTCGACGGGTGGTCCGTCCAATCCCGGCTATTGATCCTCAAACGTCATTGGCCACGAGCCCCGGCTCGTTTCCGCATTCAGATCTCCGAAATTAGAACGTTGACTGAGCATGCCCACACGCTTACTGCTAGTGTATGAAGTTGTTAGTGCATATAAAGTGATGGCATACCCATGCTTTGTATTACAATTCTAAAAAACATATTTAAGGGCTGCCTAAAGGTGAATACATCTGCATTCGGGTCCATTCGTCGCTACTGATCAAAATGTTACCCGACTATCATAAGTAAGACGCAGCCGCGGAGAACGAAAGATTCTATAGTTCGATCACTTGAGTCTGCTCCTGTTGACGCAAGTAATGTCGCTGAGCTTACTGAAGCGGAAGGGCCTGAGAGTGCCAGTAATTCCATGACTATGGAATACATTCAGCGTAACACCAGGGTAAACTATTCTCGTATATATGGTATATCACTTTCGCAAAGTAGGATCAATAACCCCTGCCAATGTTCTAAGGCAGAGAATGGCGTCGATGTAAACCCGCTTTCCCGGTATAAAAGTCCCGTCACTAATTGCGGATAAAGACATCTCGCAAGAAACCAGCAGAATCCTGATATACATTGCATGGTTGATGTCGCTCATCGACAGTTCGCCTAAATGTCTGCGAACGAGCTCATTGTGCTTCTCAGAAGCATCGATTATTTGAGCGCGACAATCATCCGTAAGATGTTCCCTCTTATACGGGTCGCAGATGCCCAACAGAGTAATATTAAGACCTCGTCTTTAACTGTCAGCATGTCGCGTATGATAGATGGTGTTGACAACTGAAGGCCCGATAATTTCTCTTCTATAGTGCGTCTGTCGGATACTAGATAAGTCTCACACGCGAACCAATCCTTTTGCTCATTGCCACGTAATATAAGCCTTGACATTACGTGGTGATATAAGGGGTCTTCTTGGAAATGTCGTTTCCAGAGAAACAAGACGGTTTTTGCGATAGCGAGACCACCAAAGGAATTGGCATTCCCAAACAATCGTTTTAACGACCCGTACAAAGCACCGAACGCTTTAATCTGTTTGCTGCGACTTTCGGATGAAGACTCGTCTGTAAACCCAATAAACTGCACATCCGTTCGGCCTTCCTACGGCTTCTCTAACACTCGTGAGATGAGACTCGCAGCTTGCCATGGTTCATACTTGTGGATGTCGTCGGGCCTTCTTTTACCCTTAGCGAGGCACAGCTTTCTTATCCCTTCCGCTGTTTCCGGAAGAGTAAACTTGGATGTCAGTTCAGAAAATGTAGCCACAAAGTGGTACATCAGTAAGACCCTGTGTTCGGGTCTGCAGTCTGCATTATTCACAGCGCATGATGGATGAAAAGATTGTAACACGACTGTGGTATGACCGTCGACAATAGAGGTTTCCTTGCGCCCTAGTCGATAATTTCGCCTGGCAGCTCGATTTTCTTCAGCCACTCGTCGCGATATGCGTCACGATAACATTTTAATCTAACTTTTGGTTTCTTCGCCCTCAAAATTTGCGCGAGGACTTCATGACATTGTTTATCTTCCTCCGTTGCACATTTATCAGGTCGATAAGAGAATGCGTCCAGTACGGTTACAGTATGTATGCTTCGGGCACCTTTGGTAGCGAAGCGAATGAGCTCGTCGACTGCTAACAATGTCTTGCAACTTTTGATAAAGTCTTCGAAACTGATGTTGAGTTTGTGGTCCCTTCTGTGGCGTGGACGTTCCAATAGAACCACTATGTCCGAAAGGCCGGCTGCCAAGTTCTGCGCCTGAGCGATTTCTTCTTCGGGTAGAAGTAGAGCTTTGCCGAATTTCTCGAGTACTTCCACGCCTTCGTGATCTCCGCGGTTAGGAAGGCAGACCGACGGGGCACGAACTAGGTCTTTCACCGACAGAGGAACAGGAATTTCGAGGCATGTTTGTTTATCGTGAGAGTACATTTGTAAGAGGTTAGTTATCAAAATATGCTTTCCGGGGAGCAGATATATGGAGACATCCCAAGTGAGCTGTGGTGTGAGCAATCTGGTGATCATGACGTGCGCTTAAGGGCAACGATTATGATCCAGACTAGTACATTGAAGTTACTGCGGAATGCAGGTACCCACCGCAGTGCACCGCAAGGCACCGCAGCCAACCGTTGCTTCACCAGCTAATCTACCTGAGGGAATGTGAGCGCCGAGGTCTTGATTAGATTAGATGCTTCTGGATACACATGGCTTTCACCCCCATGATGTATCAACAGAGGCCGTTACTATAGGGTTATATGTTACCGTTGGTAGAGTGATTAATACCAAGCATTCCATAACGAATTAGAAGACCTGAGATCTCAGCGTTGCCCAGCGCTCAACCGGTTTCTCCGTATATCTGGACGGTATCACCAGGCAGGACTTACGACTCCATACCAACACAACCCAAGCACAGCACCAAGCAAAATTGCAGCCGCAGGCGGAACGTTGAACCATGCACTCTGGGCATAAGTAACAGCGGCAATAACAACCCACCAGGGCTCCTTCCCCAGACTCTGTCCCTCACGATCTCGCGGATTCAGATACCCGATTTCCCAAAGCCGGTACACGGCTGTAAAGACCAATCCTACAGCTGATGCATTCACACCGCGGAGGAAATCAACAATATACTTCCGTTTCCGCAGAACACGCCAGAATGACTGGATCGCGACAGCGAGGGCAATCCCAGGGAAGAAAATCCCTAACCCGCCGAGAAATGCACCGAAGACTGTCGGGAAGGGTGTGGTTCGGAGGGCAAGAGCGCCGAGAAAGACTGCGAAATTGAAGTTTGGGCCGGGAAAGGCCTGGATTATCGCAAGGCCGATCAGGAAGTCTCGACTGGAAACCCAGCCGGGGTCTACGACGTATGACCGGAGCAAAGGGATGACAACGGGGCCGCCGCCGAAGATTACAGTGCCGGCTATGTACATATTTGCGAAGAGGTCGAGGGACACAGGGGGTGCTGAGAGTTTGGCTCTTGACACAAGAATGGCGACGAAGGAGGCTATAGTTATAGGATTAGCCATTGTACAGTGAGTGATATTGCAAACTTCTAGATAGAACTTACCGAAGAAGAAAATGAGAATTCCAGACCCGACACGGATACGGATGATATGGTCATGTGAAGGAGGCGCTTCTCTTTCTTCTATGGCCTGGATATCAGTTGAGTTCGGCCGGGACGCCTCAGTACCGGACTTTCTCATCCGTAGCATCTCCGTTCCAGCCCCCTGTCCTGAATTCCGCAAAGACAAACGCTCACGGCCTGCGGGTCCTGGAGCATCACTCTCGGGTTCGGGCTGCCGATTCCTATTTCTCCACGCAATCTTCACCCTAAGAATCTGTTGATACATCCACCCATCCCACAGGGCAGTAGCAACACCACCAGCGACCATTAGAACAGGGAAATACCACAGAGCGCTGTAGCAGAGACCAGCGCATGCGCCGAAGATAACTAAGATGCGGGAAATATTATCGCGAATTGCCTTTTCAGCTAGCTGGACGGCAGCAAGGGCGATAATGCCTACAGTCGAGGCATTCAGACCGGAGAGAAGAGCGTAGACTGGCGTGGGGAGGGTTTCGTCGATCCGTTGCACGCCGAGAGAGAGGGCATACATGCCGATTGCGCCGGGCAGACTAGCGAGGCGATTAGTACATCATCCGAATCGCAAGACTTGCGATTAAACCCGTATACATACCACCAGAGGATAAATGCTAGCAAGGCCGGGATGAAACCAGCGTGAAGCAGCGTCAGGCAGAATAACATCTTTGTAGACGCCGGTCCAGGCAGACCCTGACAGATAGCGAAGAGTTCTTGGTACTTACACCTGTTAGTCCCTGACGATATCGGACTTTAGAAAAAAACAACCTTACCGTCTGCTCATCAACCCACTTCTCGTGTTCGACAAACCGGGCATGGAAGATCTGGAAATGAATCGGCGGCCCCCCGAAGGACGTAAATCCCAGATACCACGTCTGCCGAACGACCTCGACCAAGCGTCCAAGGAGGTGTTCTCCTGTGCTTCCATGGTCTTCTGCATGGCTGCGCCATGTTCGATTCAGCGCTCGTAGGGACGAGATGAGTCGCGACCGGGTTAGGAGGATCATTTTGGATTGGTTTACAATCCAACGCGGGAATCAGCTTTCCAAAGACGAAACAGTTGATCAAGAGAAATCGAGACTCAACCTTAAGATAGTTGAATTTAACATTGAAATCAGCCTTGCATTTATCCAATAGGAAGCTGACTGTTCACGTGGTCTGCTGCCTGTCACTGCTAAAGTCTGATTGGTTGTTTGATTTTCGGGCTCCTTTTCGGGTTTAAATCAGAAAGACACTCCCGCGCTTTGATCGGGGAACACTGCAGGCCAGGGCCAGGATCGACATGAGGCCCACCAACGTAGGCGGGATCTGGCGTCAGAACGCAATTCAGAGACGAAAGTCATCCCATCCCTTTAATCACGCCGTGCCTCCCCGGCAGTCTTGATAACTTCTTTCCAGAAACCACTCATCAATCCCTTTGGGAGCACCAGAAGAGCGACGGAGTATCATCACAGAACCTCTTAACATAAATTCGGTCTATGGGGTGTCGGAACATGGGTTCTTCCCCTGTCCTTGGGTGCCGGGCTGCACAGCCTTAGTCAGCATCTCATTAGTATTTAGCCTAGCTTCCGCTGTGCATCCGCACCCCTTCCTCCATGCTTCCACAGTTTATCTGAGTCACGTGATAAACAAGGAGCATCATCCCTCCGAGCAGCAAACATGTGGGCCTGGCGGCTACATCCTGATCGCTAGCGCCTCAGGCTTCCTTAGTATTCAATTGAGGACGGCTTAGTGCCTCAGCCAGCTCTGCCAAGCATCGAAAATGAGATATCATTGGTCCGTTTTGTTTTCGCCTTTTGGTGCTGCGGACAGAGGACGGTATCATTCGTCGAACATGATGAGACATATCCCTCTAAGATCCGGACATTGCAGTGAACTGCTGCGTGATCGAGGGTATAATCCTAATTGGTGACGTTTGGTTGGAGACCTTGGTTTCTCCAGGGGTGTATTTTCGGTATCTTTCAGAAGCACAATCTATTTCATTGAACTATATACTTGCAACACCATCAATATTATAAATGATCATGAACAGGAGGAACGTCCCCAAGATATCGAATACGCAAGCGGTGATTGTCCTGGGTGTCTCCGCCATTGCATCTCGTGATCCAACGACTCGTTGCAGTAGTTGCAGTGACGGTCATCAAGATGCACAGTTCGGAAGTGTCGCAACAGACCCTTGTGACGCGAGTACTGCTGGATACGCTGATTGTCTAACCCTGCAGGGTTTCCATAACATTGGAAACACACACGAGGCTTGTCTGCCTTTCGAATGTCATCGTCTGCCTTTCGCAAGGCGATTTCGTGCGGTGATGGCGACGGGGACGGGGAGAGAGATGGCGCTGGCGGCGCGACGTCCTCTCTGGGAGCATCATCCATTTGGATATCGTTATCCACCGGAACGGTTCGCTTCGGTCGTCGTCCCCGTCGAGGGCCGCCTTCCAGGACATCGCAATACATTCGGACCGCTTCCGTCGCCTCGTTCCGCCGTCGCCACTCAGCCTCCACCGACAAATCGCATGGCATCGATGCGGTTGACCGTAAAACACGCCATCAGATGGTAGAGACATTGCTGCATGCGTTGCAGGCCAATGTAGAACCGTTTCTCCGTCGTGCGGAGGGTGGTCTCCTGCAGCGGAACCACATCTTCAATAAACATCGGCGTTTTGTCATTCTCCTCGGTGTCTAAGCCTTTCCGCCGTACGGTATTTCGAATGCTCTGCCGGATCCCAAGATCGTTAGCTGCAAAAAGTCACGGCAGAGATGAGGTCTTTGTCTCAACCTTTCTCATCCGCCGGCCAAGGGTCTCATCCATTGGATCCCCGGTTGCCTTCTCATAGTGTCGGAGGAACATCTTCCAGTCGGTATCTAACGAGCTGGCTTTCTTGATGCCCTTCAGCTTCCAGCCATTCTTCTCATACTACAATCCGAGGCACCAACGGAAGAACAGGGTCAAATCTCGCTTCCCTGCAGCGCGAAGCGCCGTAACAGGATCCGCCCATTTCGAGTCCGGCAACGACCGGTATTTCTTATTTCTCTTGCGGCAGTATCTGATCGTCCATTAGCTTGTCGATGGTTTTCCGCGGACCTATTGTCAACCTACCGCTCCCACCGATCATCCATCCGCATGATCATATTTCTGGTGCCATCCGCGTAACAATCATCTTCACTGTCCGACGAAGTGTCATTGTCCGAATCGACGTCGGGGTCCGTATCAGAGTCGTTACAGGAGTCATCGTCACAGGAGTCGTCATCACTGGGGCTGGTGCCCGAATCAACATCCCGGCTCCTCTCACTGCCTGATACGGCAGTTGATTTCCGGCATTGCTTCTGGGAACGCTGTTGCCCAGGGTGTCGGGGAGGGCTGGTTTCTTCATCAGCGTCATCGCTGCTAGAGTCTGAATCCGTACCCATGGAGCTTGGGGAAGGTGGCCTTTGAAGCCCACGGGGCTTCCTTCCCGGCGACGTCTGCTTGGAGGTGTTTCGACGACAAGGTCTACCCTTGCCTTTACGGCGAGGGGAGGAACGGACATCAGGGTCCGTGACGTCCGTTTCCGAATCCGCGCTGGCCTCATCATCTGAGTCCATGCGGAAAGACACGCTGCTGGCGGTCTCGTCATAGTCGCTGCTACGGCCAGCGTAGTGACGACATTGACGCGGAGCCATGGTTCAAGGAGAAGAAGCGAGGCCGGGAAAGCGAGATAATACGGTAGTCGAGAGAATAGGAGATGACTTGTTCACGGCGGTGGTAAGGGGTTTGCGAATTAGAGACGAAGGTAGAGGGGAAGGGGAAGGACTCTGTTATATGTGAGAAAGAGCAACCGCCAGAGAGGCGATTACTCAGGGAAGGAGAGGCCATTTTCGGCTTTCCCTCAGCGTCCGGCACAAAATGTGAAAGTGAGATCGCTGCGGTGATGAAAAGCTGGCTGAGGGCTCACCATGCTAGCGCCCACGCCAGTCAGGAACAGGGTGCGTGGTCGAGTTGCCAAATGTCGTGCGCGCAGCCGTGGGTCAGTGGTTGGGCCGGCACCGCCGTTTTTGGCCTCATCTGCGGCCGAAAAAGACAGCTCGGGACCAAATGGAAATTCACAGCTAGGTACATATCAGGTTTTCGGGAGCTAAAGGATCACATAGGATGTATTCAGGTAGCTAGTCAGTTCAGCTTTGTTTCCAATTTTGATGTCCTAGATTCGACGTGTATTTCGCAAAGATGGATGGAGTTTTAGGGTCGCCATCCCCCGTGGGGAAGCCTCTCTTCACTTATAACCATGGGGTTGCTGTTTAACCAAATATCAACAGTCAGTGTTACCTGGAGCATTTATTGTCATTTGATACTAAGTAATTAGTCAGGGCTCTTCACGAAAGTATTCTCTTTTCCTTTTCCAGGGGGAAATGGGAGTTCAATTTTGGCGAATGATTTTGTAGGAAACGAGGATCAAGAGATCAAATACCTCTTGATCTTACGGTGTCTGCAGTAAGAACTACAGTAGCTTCAAATATCTTTATTGCATTCAGAGTTTAGTGCTGCCATGCTTCATGTTATGCATAGTTGCGGATTCTTATTGCCTTATCTTATCAGTAAGCTATAAAAAGAAAGATGTGAAAAAGCTATAAAATAAGATAAGATAGTATGGAGTAATAAAAAGGGCCCAGCACCATACCTTGGTAGCACCTGAAACAAAAGAAACAAATGCAGAGGCTGGGGACAAGAAAAGTACCCAGTACCTGACGCTGCTAATAGTTGGGCGGACAGCTTAAGCACCCGTGACCCAATCAAGGGACCACCGGGGCGGCCCCACCGTGCGTCGAAGGAAGGACCTCCCGTGTCTTTAGATTTGCCCAGCCACCCGCATCGAAGCCGAAATCAACATGGCTGGGCCACATCGTGCTCCTCCCTTATAGCGGGTGAGCCCCGGACATTCTCGCTCTTTTCCACATTCTGGTCGATATTGATATCCCTTGAACTGTCTCTGGAATCGCATTCCAGGAAAGACCGTCGATTAACCCTATCGAACCCTATCGGACCTACTTGCTCGGTCTAGAACGGTTTCTCTATCTCATTCCTGATCTATACTCCTCCCTCTTTTGCATCCCTTCGCTCGTTTGCCGCCTATCCGCCTTCTGAGTTGAGTCGTCTCGTGTCCAGACAAGTTCTCCTTGCCTTCGTCTTCGGGCCCTGCAGTGCCTAGAATACCCTACTAGGCTCTATCCTACTTTTCCGATCAGGGTACCGGCATCGGTATCAGACCAACACCTCCACAATGAAGAGAAACATCGCCATCGCCGTTATCATTATCATCCTCTTCTTGGTCCTTGCTGCCGCAGGGTTCGGCATCTACGCCATGCAGAACCATGTCTCGTTATTTTCAAAGAAGCGAGCCGTCGACGAAGAGAGCGGAGAAGATGCGTAATCGTGACTGATACGCTTGTCCAGCTACCTTAACTGGGCCCGAGCCTGGTTTGGTACCTACCTCCGTGAGACTGAAAACTTGTCTTGCATGGGCCCAGTCTGGGCCCGAATCTCTATTCCTTTTCTGTTTATGATCTTGACGGATTTACGGACACTACGACATTTTTCCCATCCTATCTAACTACCTACCTGTCTGCATACGTATATGTACATTTATGCATATTCCTACGATCTACGACGTTACGCTTCACGAATCCATTCTTATCCCTATCTTTGGCTCCAATTCCTATCGACGATTGGGGTCACCATCCTCGAACCGCCTCATTCATACCTCCTTTTTCTTGGACCTAAGCAATTGATCAATCCGCATCAATTCAAACCTCTGATTCATCACATCTACGACCCCGACCATGCAGAGGAGTCTGCTATTCCACCCGACGCTTATCGATTCATCAACCGATAGACAAGTCGTGGCGACGTTTACGCGAGACAGCATGATATCCATCTTATTCCTATTCCCTGTCTTTATGTTCCATTTTAATCGTGATATCTTTGATTCCGATTAGTTTCCTTAATGTCTGTGTTATGTCTCATGTCTTATTTATGATTTACTGTTGAGAGTGATGTTATGTGAAAAGTGAATGCCCCAATCCCCGTACATGGCGTTTTAGTTATATATGTATGATATTGGTTATTATTCTGTTTTGGGTTGCATATATTGGGTTTAGTGTGTCTGGTTGAGTTCACCAAATATACCATGAGTGATTAAAGGAATGTAGGTCCTTGCCTGCAGAAAATATACCTATAGAATGAACAGACGAAATACAGTTGAAATCAAGATATCAGACACACTGAGAAACCGTGTACAGTACATTCATGTCATTAAGATCTAATACCTCACTGGCAGCAAATTTAGAAACAATTGCAATTTCCATGCGCCTCATCCCAGAATTCTCAATCCACCCTTCGTTTTACCCGGCTTCTTGATTCCGTCGTGCTTCACTTTGCCGCCGGCGTGGCCACCGCCCGAGCCGCCATTCTTCTTGCCGTTCTTCGAGTTGGAAACCGGGCGGACCTCGGTGGTGGCGCGACGCAACAGGACCGGATGCGATCCGATATATTTACCCTGCATCTCTCGGGCGGCGCGGAAATAGTCGTCGCCGTCGCTGAAACTGACGAAGCCGTATCCTTTGCTCTTCTGCGTACGTTTGTCGCGGATCACGCGCGCTTTCTGCACCGATGTATACTTCGCGAACGCCTTCAGCAGGGAATCGTCCGTCACCTCGCCCGCGAGGTTTCCGACGAAGAGACGGAAATGCGCCGGATCCCACTCCAAAAGAGTCGAGTCGGTCCAGTTTTGACCGCCGCCGGAACGGGAGACGGTTGAGGGGTTTTGTTCGGGGCGACCAGCCATGGGCGCCGGGGTCGCAGCGGTGGGGGTGCTGCTAGACGGGGTATTGGCGCCCGAGGGGGCTCCGGGCATGGCGGGATTCCGATCTGGGCGACCGGGCATCTTACCCATGGTAGGGACTTCTTCTCTGTTCGCGTAGGCGCTCTGCCACTGCGCGATCTGCGCTTCCGTTTCGGGATCCAAGCCGGACTCGTTGCGTCCGTAGCTCTTCCCGCGCGAGCCATAGCTGTTGGACTGGTCACCTCCCGGGCCAAAGGGGTTCTGAATGTGCGGCACGGACGGGCCGTAGGAGTTGTCGTTGTACTGAGCGGACCCGTAGTACGATGATCCTCCCTGGTAGGATTGCTGCGGCTGAGAATAGTAGCTGCCGTAGCCGGCCGTGGTGGTTGGGGTGGAGTAACCGGCCGAGGTAGCCGGCGGAGCAGACACGACGGGGCTGTTGGTACGGTAGGGCTGGCTCGAGGCTACGGTGCGAGGCTGAAATGCGGTGAACGCATTATAGCCCGGCCGGGACCCGGATCCGCCATAGCCACTGCTAGTACCTGACGATGCATACGACGGGGCCGCCGAGTATGCGGGTTGGCGCGACGCAGCCGACGCGGTACCGGCTGGCGGAGGTGGTCGCGGAGGGAGCGACGAGTTTTGGTTTAGACCTGGAGGAGGCGGAAAGGACATGATGAACGGAATGCTCGTAGAGACTTGAAGGATATGTGATGCGCCGTGTGCAGATTAGCAACGGACACGTACCTTCAGGGCTTGACTGACGCAACAGTCACACGCCAGACGTCACGCCTGAAAAGGGTTCCGAGTCGCGAATAAAGGCGGGCGGGCAGAGTTCTTTGAACGGCGGTATGCGATCTGTCTGCTCAGCTTGAGGACTGAGAAGGGATCGGTTTAGCGGAGGGACCAGGCGGAATCGGTTCCGCGAGATCAGGACGAGTATCTGTGACGGTCGAAAGGGTTCGGAAAAATCGACGGTCGATAGTTGGTAGAGACTCAGAGGCAAGAGAGGTTAGGCCGATAAGAAGAAAAAAGACGTTTTTGGCAGATCTTGGCCACCGTGCAGTGCATTGCGAGCAAACAGCTGGACGGGAACGGAACAATGATGATCCCCGGAGTGACTCAGCAAAGAGTGCCATCCCGCAGGCTAACTGCAAGGAGCCGGTTACTCCGGGTCACGGGGACAGCCCCCAACGGAAAATGAATGATGTAATCGCGACACCCCCACTCTAAGCTCTTTCGGGAAGAGCAGTTGCCGACCCAACAGGCCGATCTTCAGGATTACTGACTACCTCCGTACTGGTTAGTTATTCTGCTACCTGCCGGAACTACGAAGAAAAACAAACTTGCGGTTATTTTTCCGCCCTGCGATCGCGGATTCTTTCTCTCGTCCCAGCAGATCACCCCAATGCGACAAAATTCCGGAGGGAGGCAGAGGCAAGCGATGATGACAAGAAGTGGGGAGGCGCCGAATTGGCCTCACCGAAAGCACCCAAATTTCCCGGTTCTGCTTGGGACGAACTAAGGCGACTAAGGCGACTAGAGGCCGATTTCCCTCCTGCTTTGCCCCTCCATGTGCCCCGCCATCAGCAGCGTCACAGCTTTTTGTCCTCCGTCGTCTCCGAGAACTGCTGATATTCACGAACTCTCCGCAAGGGAATGGTTGTGTCGGAATTGAGGTTGAGGACTCAATGGAAGCATTGTCCGAGTATAGTGAATAGAATCAATAGGAATGAATCACTCTGATCATGTTAATCTACATACAAAGTACAAACTTGCCTGGTCTCCGATAACGCTCCCAGGAAATAACCACGCAAAACCAAGTAATTTGTCGCATACCCTCCCTTTCCAAACTCCCACGCCTGGCCTCACCGGACCCGGACGACTCTGCTCCCTGAAAGCCCCTCCCACGCCGTTCGTGACGGAAAGTTGCTCCGTAAGCCGTCTGTGTCTCTGACATCTTCGAACTTATTCTCCGTCTCTTTTTTCTTCTTCTTCTTCTCTCCTCCTTCTCTCTTCTTCTTCCCTCATTCTCCTCTCCATCTCTCCTCCATCTTATCTTCCTTCTGGGGCAGCTATCTCTTGCTGTTAACTTCCTTCCCATCTCTTCCATCCAGTCTCCCTACTCTTTCATCATGGCTGACCAGGCTGTGTAAGTTCTCCTCGTCACCTTCCCCCTCCGCACTCATCCATAACTCCCCCCGATCACAATGCACCTGCCCATTCATTCCCCATCGCAATGCCACTGGGACACGTGTGTTCCGCATCGCTGTGTATGTCTCGTTCGAGTCGCCAGAACAAAGTCTGGGTCTGTTTCGTAACGAAATGTCGCCTGGGAATTAATCCCCCACCCCGCGGTGGACGGGATTGATTCCAGCTTCGCAGAAACTACCCCTCTTCCCCCTCCTCTCTCCCTAAATCTTTTGGCATCTCCACCCACCTATTGACAGAAGAATCTGGCAACTGACTTTAGCGCCCGCTTGGCCGGCATCAATGTCGGCGCACCGGCGCGTCCTTTGCCTAGTGCTGATTTCGGCCTCATCGGTCTGGCCGTTATGGGCCAGAACCTGATCCTCAACGCTGCGGATCACGGTTTCACTGTCTGCGCGTACAACCGTACCACCTCCAAGGTTGACCGCTTCCTGGAGAACGAGGCTAAGGGTAAGAAAATACCCGCCCACTCTGACCCGCCAGATGGTCCTTGTATCCGACTCAATTCGGCTGACCCGTTATCCAGGCAAGCCCATTGTTGGTGCCCACTCCGTTGAGGAGTTCTGCTCCAAGCTCAAGCGCCCCCGTCGTATCATGCTCCTTGTCATGGCCGGCAAGCCCGTCGACACCTTCATCGAGTCTCTCCTGCCCTTCCTTGAGAAGGGTGATATCATCATCGACGGTGGTAACTCCCACTTCCCCGACAGCAACCGCCGCACCCAGGATCTCGCCCAGAAGGGCATCCGCTTCGTCGGCAGCGGTGTCTCCGGTGGTGAGGAGGGTGCCCGTTACGGTCCCTCTCTCATGCCCGGTGGTAACGAGGAGGCTTGGCCCTACATCAAGGACGTCTTCCAGAGCATCTCCGCCAAGAGCGACGGCGAGGCTTGCTGCGACTGGGTCGGTGACGAGGGTGCCGGCCACTTCGTCAAGATGGTCCACAACGGTATCGAGTACGGTGATATGCAGCTGATCTGCGAGGTAAGTCACCCGTTGATAGATCGACTCCTAGCGAAATGTGGAAGCTAACGGGGTACTCTTGATTAGGCTTATGACCTCCTCAAGCGTGGTCTCGGCTTGTCTGCTAACGAGATCGCTTCCGTCTTCGAGAAGTGGAACACCGGTGTTCTGGACTCCTTCCTGATCGAGATCACCCGTGATGTCCTCAAGTACAACGACAACGACGGTGTTCCCCTCGTTGAGAAGATCCTCGACAAGGCCGGCCAGAAGGGTACCGGCAAGTGGACCGCCATCAACGCCCTTGACCTGGGCATGCCCGTCACCCTCATCGGTGAGGCCGTGTTCTCTCGTTGCCTGAGTGCCCTCAAGGACGAGCGTATCCGCGCCAGCAGCCTTCTCAGCGGCCCTACCCCCGAGTTCACCGGTGACAAGCAGGCTTTCATCGATGACCTGGAGCAGGCTCTGTATGCTTCCAAGATCATCTCCTACGCCCAGGGCTTCATGCTCATCCAGGAGGTAAGTTTTGACCATCGTTCTTTGGAGACCGCCACAGGGGAACAAGCATTTTGACTCATGATTTCTGTAATATAGGCCGCCAAAGAGTACGGCTGGAAGCTCAACAAGCCCTCCATCGCCCTCATGTGGCGTGGTGGCTGCATCATCCGCTCCGTCTTCCTGAAGGACATCACCAACGCCTACCGCACCAACCCCGACCTTGAGAACCTGCTCTTCGACGACTTCTTCAAGGCCGCCATCAACAAGGCCCAGAGCGGCTGGAGAAACGTTGTCAGCAAGGCCGCTCTCTGGGGTATCCCCAACCCTGCCTTCAGCACCGCCCTCAGCTTCTACGACGGATACCGCACCCGGGACCTCCCCGCCAACCTGCTGCAGGCTCAGCGTGACTACTTCGGTGCTCACACCTTCCGCATCAAGCCCGAGCACGCCAACGAGAACTACCCCGAGGGCAAGGACATCCACGTTAACTGGACCGGCCGTGGTGGTGACGTGTCCGCCTCGACCTACGTGGCTTAAATAAGGAACAAAACGATGCAATGCGCTGGACGTGGAGCCTCGCCCTAAACGATGACGGTACACGCCGAGGATCGGGAGAGCTGAGTCGAGCTCTCTTGAGCACATAGAATGATGACGGAACCAAAACAAATATCAAAATGATATGGGATAATCCAATGTATTTAGATGACGGGTTTGCCTTTCTATTATTAGTTATGCTGAAACGTATGAAATGAATGTGTTTTAGTTGTTCAATTCATGTTAATAGTTAGTGGGAGGATGGCTGTAGCCTTGTACGGAGTACTGCGTAGGAAATAATAAACAGGAAGAGAGTTCCCGGCAACTCCGTCACAGTCGACACCTGGAGGGTCAGGCCGCAACGCTGTGTGGCGCTAAACCTGATCAGGCGGCGGGCAGATCCACGCCGCGACGACCTCCTCCATCGCTCGCTCTTGCTGGCATCCTCAGTCGGACCATCGCCCACCCCTTTTACCTCCTCCAGATCCATGCCAGCCGCCCGAGTTGAATCTCCCGCGTCTGCTTGGCTGTTTCTGATTTGACGGGATTTCTTTTGTCTTTTTTCGGTTTCGTTTGGCTCGTCTTTTTGGGTTGTCATTTCCGTCGCTCCTTTAGCTCCGGTTCCCGCTACGTCCCACTTTGCCTGACTGGGCTCGAACCTCCCATCTCTATTCCAAACGATAGCGGCTCCCGCGAAACCTGGAATCGCATAACTTGCATCCTGAGTGACGGATTGGCTTCGTTAGGCATATTGAGGATTACTTGCTTGCGAACACAGGACATCCAGAGCGTCCTCTTTGAACGCTCCTCACAGCGTCTCCGGTGACTGCTCACGTGGAATCCAGGTCTTGCCTTGCTTGGTTCGCACGGCGGAATCGATAATTACTCTCTTCCGAGGGGTAATTTTATGGCAGACAGCAAGCGACACAGCGTAGGAGTAAGAGCGTCGTCACAAGGAACTTCAGGTGCTGCAGGTCAGGGAATGGCTGGAACCATGGTGCCTTTGGAGGCTGCATTGAGCGGTGCAATTGGCGCACGGTAAGTCGCCGCGATCTTTCTCGACTCCTGCAATGCTACGAGGTGTCTTCTCTCAAAGGAAATTGTAGAGCCTCTATGTCTGCGAAGAAATTGTTTGCCATTCAGGGATGCTAACCTTCTCTCTTCCGTGTCCGCCCAAAGTGTTCGCATCAGCACCGCCGCACCCACCCCCTCTACGATCGAAGGAACCCTCTTCACGGCCTGTCCTATCACCAACCTGGTTGCCATCAACACTGCCGACGGTAAGCAAACGCAGGGCGGCGATTACCACATCATTCCCGTGTCGCGTATACAATCCTTCCAGCTTCTTTCCCTCGCTCCGTCGTCCGCCTCTTCCGATGGACCGTCCTTCTCCGACGCCGTGCCCTCGGTCCATGCGCTTGATATCCGCGCCCTGAAGGCTCGAGAGGCTACTGCTGTCAGCAAGTTACAGGAGAACGAGGCGCGCCGTGGTAAGGGCGTCACACGCGAAGCCCAGGACCTATTCGATGCATTCAGTCGTACAATGCCGGCCCGGTGGGACGGTCCTAATATCATCGTAGCGGATGCCGTTGCCATTGCTCCCCCATACCGCGTTGATGACTGTCGACCGCTGGTGGCGGGTGACACGGCTGCTCTTGCTCGAGTGCGCAAGGTGGTACGTAAAGAATTCCTGGCTCCCTGTTATCTGTTTTGTTTAGCAGATCCCGGTTCAAAATATTAGACAAGAACTAATCATCCGGTTTCAATAGCTTGAGATGGAACGCAAGAAGATCGAATTACGGACTGCCAGCGCCACGATCGGTGGCACCAATACCTTCTCACGAAACTCTACTGCCGGCAACGCCAACCCAGCCTCAGGACCCGGTGCTACTGGACAAAGGAAGGGCGGTTGAGCTGAGCTCTTTTACCAAACCTCTTTGCCGCACGAAGCGCGAAACGGCTCTTGTCGGGTGGGGTGAAAACCATCGATTAGCGTCGGGCTAAGGGGGGGGGAAAGGGGGAGATATGAAAATCAGAAAAAGAGCGCCTCCCTTGGTTTGAGTATCAATTATATTGAACCAGCATCAATGCGGCTAGGGCTGATGAAAAAGGGGAAGGGTAAAACTAAAACCACAAGGCAGTAGCAGCACGCAATATAATGTAAGCGGGGATGTGTGATGTGATAGATGCAAGCATGATATGAATCGGGGATACCTTTTCTTTGACATATTTTATCTTCTTTCTCTTCTGCTTTTCTATATGTCCTTTGGCTGGGGAAAATCAAGCGACAGGCCATGATGCAGGAGTTGGTGGTATGAGTGCTGGATACATGGGTCTCACTGTATATTTACTGAGCATTTCACCTCATCCTAAAGGGGGGAGCAAGGCGAGCAAGACATGGATGGATTGGAATGAAAACCTTGTCCGTCCGTGAAATTTTACCCCTGAGGAGTCAAACTATCATGGTCATTGCAGACTCATTTCTTTAGAGGCACCTCCTCAAGTCTATCTACAATCCCCTATCCAGATCATCAACACACGCAAAGTACCTAGCGTTTCAGAACGCACTGGCCTGCGTCCAAACATATACATCGACATGACTCGCCCGAAACCCCCAATCACGCGAGTCTCATACCTGCACTCGTTCCTTTGAGACTTTCCGGGGGGCAAATGTCTTGCTAGAAGATCCTGGTCATGAACGAGTTCTTCACCTCTAGCTGACGGGGAGGCTGTGTTCTCCGTAGTGTCTGCTTGACAAAATTAGACAGTATGTGGTCCCTTATCTATTAGGTATGTACATAGCTAGCCTTTCAGCCCCCAAGGTCTGTCCCTCCATGCTCATCCAGTGAAAGGTTTCACGGGCTCTCAGCCTTTCAGCGGGAAGACGCCATGTATGACAGATGTAACCAGGCGCCCTGGCCAGGCGACAAACCCTTGTTCGTTACAGGTTGATCTTTTTGAAAGGAGGTATAATTGTATGTAGGTACGTGCGGTGAAGAGTACATCCACCTAAGGCTCGTTTTGATCTATAACCTGGATCATATCATATTATTTATCGTCTTCTAGTTATCCAGGAGGATTTTCCAGCCTGATGAGTCTCTAATCCCCTGCGTGCAACCCACTGACCATCAAAGCAATAGTTATATTGTCTCATGTTATACATCATATGCGCCAGGGCCGTTGTATGGGCCCTTCCTTCGATTCGACCGAGTGTATACCGCTACTTCGGTGCGTGCCGAGGGACCACCAAAGATCAGACCCCGACTGAGTTTAGAGTCCTAATGTGTCGCCGAATACGAGCACCACAAATTCAGAAAAGGAGGGGGAGGCACCCATCAGCCTAGCCATCGTTCGATGAAAAGGCTAGCCCCTTTCTTGAGCACTGTACACATGACGGCAGGCAGCATCGTTCGTCAAAGCACGTCGGGACCCGATGCACGGCATGTTAGGTAACGAAGTACGGAGGAAGTAAACTGTGGCATTCAGCAAACCAGGGCTGCAGGTACAGTCCGGCAAAGGGTGGCATGCGATATGCTAATTCATAAAGGCCGGGTCCACTCGCCAAGAAGTCGGTGTGAGAAACGAAATGGATTCGAAGGGCCCTTTGGAGGGACTCAGCCCCTCGGTCTTGGAACCACCGTCGATGGGGGCGTTTCGGTTGACCCGGGCTAGTCAGGTAGTTATCGGAGTACTTACCCGACCGGAAAGCACGAGGGCCTGGAAAATCGAAAAGGGTCTTTTGTCGCTTCCTCTCTCTTGAGCCTGGATTCTGGAGTCTGGAAAACGACGGTGACTCGTTCAGATCTCACGGGTCGGGGGAACAGAGACAAAGACATTTGTCTAGCCATCCGGGGGATAAGCGTGGAAAGTACCAAGGGACGGAGGACGCCCAAAACCAACCAGCATTCGACCCCGGATCGTCCGGAAGGGGGCGCAGAGAGTTAGCAGGTAGCTAACTGAGCAGCTAAGACGGCTAAGTCCAACTAACTCGACTAGTTTTCTGATGAATTTTCGGTGATTTTTAATTCATCGGTAGGGTCGAGTCCCCGCCTGGGAAGATCCTGACTAGATTCGAGACTATCGAGTTAGACTGACTTTTCGGAGTAGGGAGAGACAAAGTGACGAGACTTGACGGGAAAGCTTCTGCCTGCATCATCATTTGCTAATTGTTGATGGCTTGATGGCTTTCGGCTCTGGGGATTCCTAGTAGTCTGGGAAATCCTGCGATGAATCATAGCGTGGGAGATCGGGAGAGGGTCTCGTATTCTCTCGTTGACTTATGTCACTTGGTTTCCAAAGCAGGTCAGCCTGATCATTGTTGATTATTCATACCTCATAAAATCATGAATTAACTTAACTTTCCCCAGTGGATGTTACGGAGTAGTCATAGTTTTGTTAGTCCTGTTCAGGCACAAAAGATCAGGAAAAGTTCTGGCGAGGGTCAGGAGACGATCCCTCGGGTCTAGTTCAAGTCCCTTTTCCATCATTCTTCTTTCCCTTCTGTCTACTCTTTCTACTCTTCTTTTTTTCTCTCCTTCTCCCTCTCTCTGGGCATCCTCGCTCCTTGTACTTACTTTACTTTACTTTCTTATTTCCAGTTGATCCTTCCCTGTACTCTCCGCCGCCGCCTCCTCCCTTTCGCATTTGACTGCACGGGAATTCCAGCTCATGCGGCGTCTATCGGTCGCCCTTGCATGACTTCTTTCCCCCAGGCTCCATTCTTGCTCCTTTCGTCCTGGATTCTTTCCTTTCCTTTCCTTTTCGACTCTCCTGTGTCCTTTGATTTGTCCGGTTTCCTCTCCATTCCACGTCCTTTGACATCATTCGACTGGCCCTCACCGGTTGTCTTCGCTCCTTTCGGCTTGTCGCCCCTCTGCCTGCCTGGCCTGGTTCCATCTTCGCCCTTCTCGACTGTGAAGTTGGATTCAATCGCTGGCTCACGGGGATTTAACTATTCCCAACCGATTCTTTTTTACTCCCTATCACCGATGGAGTCCCTTTCATTCTAATCCAATACCCCCCAGATTCTTTATCCTCTTTTCTTTTGATTAGTCCCTTCTCATCCTTTTGTGTTTTATTTCCCCTTCCTCGAAAATCCCATTCCACGTTCCAGGATGGCCCCTCCGTCGGGAAATCACCATCGACGGCGGAGCTCCGTGCTGACGGGCGCTGGACCGTCACAACCGCCCGCGACCGACCAAAGGGATGAGCATTCCCGGACCCCCACCGCCGATAGCGCTGGTTATAATAAACGGGAGGACCTAAAGCCTGGAGGTGCCGAGGACCTCGATGCTTCCGACCTTTCGTCCATTGCAGAGAGCGTCGAGATGGACTTCATGAGCTCTGACGATGACCTTCACGATGACGAGGAGACCGGTCTCACGGCCAAGCAGAAGCGCCAACGCCGTCGGAGAAGAAAGCAACGCCGACAATTGGATGCTCGCATCGCCGATGTCAAAGCCTCCCAGTATAACTTTTTGAAGCCGTTGATTGGGGACAACGAGGTGACCCAGAAGCTGTTGGTCAACGCTGGCTTGATTCTGCTGTGGTATTTCTTTTCGCTGGCGATCTCAATTGTGAGTTTCTTCCCTCTTGGTGAACACGAAATGGAATTCTGGATTCTGACTAACTGGGATGGCTGAAATAGTACAATAAATGGATGTTTTCCGAAGATGAAGTCGTGTTTCCCTTCCCGTTGTTCACCACCAGCTTGCACATGCTCGTCCAGTTTACGCTCTCCTCTATACTTCTCTACCTGATTCCTTCGCTGCGTCCGCAAGCCGCCGCTCCGCAGACGCCGTCCGGCTCCCCCGTCAGTCAGCCTGATGAAGCAGAGTCCAAACCTCCGCTGTTTACCAAGCTCTTCTACCTCACACGCCTGGTTCCCTGCGGCACGGCGACCTCTCTTGATATCGGATTGGGCAACATGTCGTTGAAGTTCATCTCCTTGACCTTTCTCACCATGTGTAAATCTTCCGCCCTAGCCTTTGTGCTTATCTTCGCCTTCCTTTTCCGCCTCGAGACTCCATCCGTGAAATTGATCATTATCATCGCGACGATGACCCTAGGTGTGGTGATGATGGTTGCTGGCGAGACAGCATTCAACATGGTTGGCTTCCTGCTGGTCATTGCTTCAGCCTTCTTCTCGGGTTTCCGATGGGGCCTCACCCAGATTCTTCTCTTGCGCCACCCGGCCACCGCCAACCCCTTCTCGACACTCTTTTTCTTGACTCCCATCATGTTTATCTCGCTGATCCTCATCGCTCTAACCGTGGAGGGTCCGACCAATATTGTGACGGGCTTCGTGGCTCTCGCCGATGTCCACGGACCCTTGGTGGGCATGCTGCTTCTGATTTTCCCCGGAATGCTGGCGTTTTGCATGATTGCTTCGGAATTTGCCCTTCTGAAGCGCTCATCCGTGGTCACCTTGAGCATCTGCGGTATCTTCAAGGAAGTGATCACGATCAGTGCGGCGGGTGTAGTCTTCCACGACAAGCTCACCCTCATCAACATTTCGGGCCTGGTGATCACGATCCTCAGCATCGGCTCCTACAATTACATGAAGATCTCTAAGATGCGAGCCGAAGCGCGAAGCCCTTCGTGGGAACGTAGCCCGGACTCCGACCCCGAGACGGAACATCTGGTTCCTTCGAGAGACCATGGGTACCACGAGGTCGCCGACCAGGAAACCAGCATGCTTCAATCTTCACCGTCTCTGCATGTCGATGATAACGTGAACATCACCCCTACAGATGATCTAACGAGCGATCGGCGGTCCTTCCGGGTCCGAGCCAGCGGCTCCAACAATATGCACGGACTCAGCATTAACACGACGAATCTTAGTGCCGGTGATCGGCCGTTCTCTCCCCGAGTGTCTGGTCCATCGCCCCTGCGCTCTGCACCCCCTGTGATTTTCTCCGCAGAATCCGAACTTCCGGGGCGACACCTGCAGGCTTCTCCGGATAGACTCTCTGATAGCGGAAGGCATTAGGCGGGATTACCATGCTTTCTTTCCCCTCCACACTCTCACTTTTCTAGAACCACTGGCATGGTTCATTCTGGCCTCTGTTGATGCCTGGTTGCCTCACCCCTTTCCCTCTCTCTGAACGGAGTGCCTTTTCGGGGCGTTACAGTACGGCTACTCGTGCCCTACACAAATACCCCCCTATATTGCAAAAAGTCACCTTCAACGCTCCAGAGGAAGACAGATTTTAAGCGCAGAAGAAGCCCCGCACATATGGACCGAAGTCTCATATAGAAAGATTTATCAGAGCAATATCCTGGTTTGCCATCTGCATCATCATCTACCGCAGGTGGCGGTGTTGCATCTTTCAGCGTCTGGCTTGAATTATATTTGTTTGAATGTCTTACATACAAAATACCCATTTGGATTACAGTTCACAATCATTTCACTCAACACTCTTTGGTTTATAGCGATGATGTATATTCCCCGTTAGTGTTTGCAGGATGCATGCATAAGAATTGCTCAAGGAGCTTACCTTACGGTCCTACATGATTCTTTATCCGAGATAAGCAGTGCATACATAATTGTAACAATATTCCGCGACTTCATGGCGAGGCTGTACACCTATGATATGGCTGGCAATCTTCCTCGCTGCGGGCAGTCAGACCGTCGAGGATCTGCGGGATTTCAGTGTGCACATATGCATAAGAAGGATTAAAGTAGTATGCCAATCTGCAAGGGGATCGAACGCGTAATCCTTTTGCTTAATTATCCTTATCAATCCCCAAAGTAAATAGTTACTCATAACACTCTATGCTACACCGACACGATGGGTTGATCATTCCTCAGAATGACTCTGGCACCCTTCATCCTCGCTTTCCTCTTCCTGCTTTTTCCCCTTTCCCTTCTTTCCCTTCGACCCACCCATCATATCCATCAACGAACGCTGTCCCGCCTTCACCTGCTTCTTCTTCTCCGTCTCCATCTTCCGATCATACTGCTCTTGCTGCTTCTCGCGCATCTCCCTTCCCTCCTCAGGCAACCTTTTCTCCAGAGCCTTGAACTCCTCCCCCTCCGGATCCATCCCGATCAACGACTCCAGCAGCGCGATCTCATCAGCCCACACCTTCGGATCCGCCACCGTGCTCGCCTTCTTAGCCCCCGCTTTCGCGGAAGGATCGGGCCGATCAATCGGCGTCTCCAGCACCATAGGCAGATTCTCAAACCGTGCCTCATTCATGACGTTATGGAACGCGCGGAGACCCAGGAACCCTGTGCCGATGTTCGCGTGCAGGTCCCGCTTACTGCCCCGGGGAGCCTTAGAGTCGTTGAGATGCAAGGCGCGAAGGTGATGCAGGCCAATCAGGGAATCGAATTCCGAGAGGAAGGACTTGAACCCCGATGGGGAGGAGAGGTCGTAGCCCGCTGCGAAGCTGTGGCATGTGTCGATGCAGATGCCAATTCGGGGGTGTAGATCGGAAGGGATCAGGGCGAGGAGGTCGCGGAATTCGGAAAGGTTGCCGCCGATCGTAGACCCGTGGCCGCACATCGTTTCGAGGACCGGGATCACGCTCGTCGTGGCAGTTAGGGCGGCAGTGAGCGCTTTGGCGAGTCGGGTGAGTGCGGAACTTTGTGTGGTTTGGTTGGCGCTACCGGGGCTGTGATGGTGTTAGTTGGGCCATCTAGAGGGGAGGAGGGTTTAGAAGGGGATGGGGGGAGGCGTGGATGTACTGGAAGTTGTAGAGTTTGATGCCGAGGGCTTCGCATCGTCGGAGGTCGTCGAGGAATGAGTCGTAGGCTTGCTTGGCTTTGGCTTTGTCTTCTTGGGCTAGGTTCACGAGATAGGAGCCATGAGGAAGGACGTGCCTAGTGGAAGGTTAGCGGAGGGACAGGATCAAGGTGTGTAGCGGTTTTACTTACTGCGCTGCGTCGTAGTTGTGCTCTGCGCAGAGCTTGCGGAACTGATCGCGATCGTCATCTTTGAGCGGCGGGTTGTCCCATTTCCTTTGGGATTTCAAGAAAAGCGCAAAGGCATTGCCACTGGGATGGAAATGCACGGATAAGCTTGAGGACGGTTGACCCTAGGGAGCGATCCTTACCCGATATGCGCACTGTTGTTGATAGAGTTAAACACCCCTGCAATATATTAGAACACGTGAAATCTTGCTCTTGCCCTTAGGATTAAAAAGAATCATGAGAATCGACAAACCTTTCGCTGCACTAACATGCGCCCCGACAAACATGCGCAGGCCCGGGGTTCTCGCTCTCAGAGGCATCATCTCGGCCTCCTTCTCCTGTTTCGTCTTTCGCTTCTTCGTGGTGCTTTTTCCAGCCTCCGCGGGCTTATCATTCGCCTCTTCGACCACTGCGGCCTTAGTCTCTTCTTCTACCTCTTCCTTGACGGTTCCGTTTGCTTTCGCGGACCCCGCGGACACGGCTTTAAGCTCGTCCGTTGACTTGAATCGTTTCGATCTTCTGGCTGGAGAGCTTAGCTCCGCGCTTTCATTTGTCTTGCGTTTGTTTGCCGGACTGGTTGGTTCAGTTGCGCGTGGCGCTCCACCGGATGCCTTGCGCGTTGTGCGAGGAGGCATAGGATTGTTTTGTACTTTGATTTGAAAAAGGTTTTAGGTTTAGAGTATATGCAGAGCTACCTGAGTGAGCCGAGTATGTAGATATAGTTGCGCACTCGAGTTCTCAGCGTTAATGATGATTACTTGTCCGTTGAAGGCGCTAGTAACTTGATGCTGGAGACGTTGTATCTTGGTATCTTGATATCGGGGTTGAATAATCGGACTGGGTGGTATAGTCGAGTTCAATCCAGGGTGTCAGATGCAATGACTATTGCGCTTTGTCGGTTCTGATCAAAGGGTTTTCAATAATCCAGCGGTTGAGATATACATCTTCAGAGCGCAAGAAATGCCGAACGTCACTGGACGAGGATCCCGATCGGGACTAGCTTTCACGTGACGCATCACCTGGGCAACGAAGGGCGCTTGTTTATCGATAAACTCGAAAAAACGAACCTCCACCTTCGCCAATCTCCCTCAGCCCTTACACAATACGACTGCCCCTCGACTTCGACGCCCGCCAGATTTGAACTGTCTCAGCCCAACGCTGACAGGACTCGACCACCACCACTAACCACCACGGATCATCTTGTTTATTCGGACTCAACAAGTCCCCGTTTGTCGCCGCTATGGCGGCTAACGACGACCTTATCGACTTTGATATCATCGAGACGCAGAAGGAAAACATTCAGTCGCTACCAGGCGGCCGATCCGCGAGAGAGCTAGCTCGCATCTTTTCGCCGCGCGAGACCGACAGCAAGCACGCCGTGCCGTCGCCAAATGACACGCGGACGCTGAACGACGCTATCCGACAGGAGTACGAGGCCGAGCTGGACACGATCGGGGAGTCGGACGACCCGCTAGACATCTACGATCGCTACGTGAAATGGACCCTGAACGCATACCCGTCCGCCCAAGCAACCGCCGAATCCGGTCTGCTTCCGCTATTGGAGCGCGCCGTCAAATCCTTCCTGTCGTCGAACCACTACAAGAACGACCCGCGCTACCTGCGCCTTTGGGTTCACTATATTCGGCTCTTTTCGGACTCGCCGCGCGAGACCTTCGCGTTCCTGGCGCGCCATCACATCGGAGAAGGCCTGGCGCTCTTCTATGAGGAATTCGCCGCTTGGCTGGAGGGCGCGGGGCGATGGACGCAGGCGGACGAAGTGTACCGCCTAGGTGTGGACCGAGAGGCGCGGCCGGTCGAACGCCTAGTCCGCAAATACGGCGAATTCCAGCAACGCTACGAGCAGAAATCTCACGATAACGGCCCCTCCTCCCCTGCACTGCCGGCGGTGCGCCCGGCATTGGCTGCCAAGACGGACCCCTTTTCGGCGGCAATGCCAGCGACGAGTGACCCGCAAGCGCAGCAGCCATCCCCCGCTGCAGCGGCCCCCGCGAAGACGAAGTCCGGCAAGGCCAAGATGGCCATATTTTCCGATACTGGCTCTTCGGCGAGTCAGCCTGCAGTGTCCGCGCCGACCAAGGGCTGGGAGAGCATTGGATCAATGGGCGAGCGGCGGAAGGAGAACAAGGTAGAGGCGAAGCCGTGGGCTGGGGAGACCCTCAAGGCTGGAAAGAAGGCTGCGCCAGCGCAGAAGATGGCGATATTCAGGGATGAGGTAAGTCAAACACGGGCATTATACCTGCTGTCTTCCCCTTTTTCTGAATTCCTTATATTTACGATCACAGGACTAATTGGTGACATGAACCCCTTTTTGGTTACGATTTTATGTATTCAGTCAAACTCAAATTTACAAAACAAAGAACCCGTGCAATCAAAGCATGTTCCAGAGCACCGTGTAAGGGAGGCCATAAACCCACGTACAGGGCGACGGGAGCGCGTCTTTGTCAACCTAGATGCCGTGTACCCCGACTATCACAACGCCAATGTCGAGGTTAGTTTTGAAGAGCTGCGGGCCATGAAACGGGGCTGGCTGGATAAGAACTGGCGCGCGCACAAAGAGCCCCTGAAGCAGATCTCTGGCAACGAGAACATGATTGAGCAAGAAAGAGACTTGCCTGAAGAGTTTAACCGTAAATTGACAGTTAAAGATTCGGAGTCGGCCTCTCAGCAACAGGCTGCCGACATCGATGGCAAATCTAGCAAGTCGCGGAAATTGAAAGTCCGCGAGGTTAAAGGGGAAACACAAACAGGTGAGCAACAATCGCACAGCCCTTTATTGATTTTTGTCTTTTGTTCCCTTTGTGTTTCATCATCAGAGAATCATGCATTGTCCTGGGCCTTCCCTTCTGTGGCTGCCTATAAACATACATGCATTCACTTCCAGGGGTTTCTTTTTTCACTTGAAACTAATCAGTGCACAGTCAAAATGAAATTTGATTCGCCCACTGGCGGCAAGATTCGACGCAAGAGTACACACGAACCAACTATGACTATGCACACTCGGGCCGCCACAGATGAGATCTATAGTATATTCAATCAGCCGCTCAAGGCGGAGACAGAAGTAGCAGAAAGCAGTGATTTTGAGGATGACGACTATACAAGTGCCGGTGAAAGTACGGTGACGGGACGAATCTCAGCTGCTTCCAGTGATTTCGGCGACGACACGTTTCATAGATCCTTTGATGGGGACGGCTTTGATGACAACACAAGAGCTGAGAGTGTTGTAGATGGTGAATTGACTCAGTTCTCTCCTACAAAGGACATTCACGACTTGGATCCCGTCGATTCGAAAACGGCCACTTCCACTCATTCACCAACGCCATACGAGTCGCACGAGGGACAAGACGGTGAGGTATACTCTGATGACGAGACAAGCGACGGGCGATTCGTTCCCCAAATGCCCGATGACTACAATCCACCCTACGGTACATATCGAGATCCTGCCATAATGGCACAGAATCGCCTGCCCTTCATGACGCCCATTGTGGAGCAGACCGAGCATTCATTCGCCTCGATGACAGCAGCCAGAAACCAACTCTACAATGCGAAGACGCCGTCGAAACCCACGCATCCCGTCGACAAGACACCTCACATGCCCCAGATTGACCTCCTGGCCACTCCCTTGGTCGCCGAGACGCCGTACCTCGAGAGCCTGCCCGAAGACGTGACCTTGAGTCCAACGGCTCTCAAAAAGACACAATTCGGTCTCAAGCTTTCCTTTCGATTGAGCGACAAAAGCCAGCAGTCTCCGGTCATCCCAGATGCGCAGTGCAACCCCACCAACAAAAACATCCGTGACATTATTCTCAACCATTCGATGAATCCGGTTTCGACTGTCTTTGCCGGTTTCCATCACTTCCCCGATATGGAGACTCACTATGCTTCCGACATTCAAAAGTTAATGAAGACACACGTCAAGCGTCCTCGGAGCGGTGACGAAGCGTCCTTCGACGTGCCCATTCTCGAATTTCCCGAGGCCGGCAGGAGCTACATCATTAGGCGAGAACTTGGTGCTGGCGCCTATGCCCCAGTATACTTTGCCGAGAGCGTTGACAATCTGTCCTCCGATTCGGAGAGCGAGTCCATGGATGACGATGCGGCAGATTCCCGCACTTCAAACGCGATCAAACGAAACACATCGCGCTATGGCTTCGAGGCAATTAAACTGGAAGTCGGGCCTCCAAATCCTTGGGAGTTCTACATGATTCGATGCGCACACGAGCGACTGAACCAGAAAATCGAGCTGTCTCGGGCTGCTGAAAGTATCATCCGTGCTCACGAGCTTCACGTCTTCAAGGGAGAGAGTATCCTGGTCGAAGATTACCGCTGTCAGGGAACCTTGCTGGATCTTGTCAATCTCGTTCGCAACGAGCCTCTCACGGCCAACACAACCGCCGATGGCGGTCTCGACGAAGCCCTTGCCATGTTCTTCACAGTCGAACTGTTCCGCACCGTGGAGTCCCTTCATGCCTGTGGTATTTTGCATGGAGACATCAAGGCCGATAACTGTCTGGTCCGACTCGAGGATAAACCAACCGCGCCAGATGCCTCGCTTATTGACCTTGGTGGTGGCGAGGACTACTCCGATCCGCGCGAAGTGCACTACTCCCCTCGAGGCCTGTACGGCTGGCGGAACAAGGGCCTTTCCCTGATTGACTTCGGCCGTGGAATCGACATGCGCGCCTTCCAGCCTTCCGTCCAGTTCATCGCCGAATGGGAAACCGGCAAGCACGAATGTAACGAAATCCGCGAGGGCCGACCCTGGACTCACCAGATCGATCTCTACGGCGTCGCCGGCACCGTCCACGTCATGCTCTTTGGGAAATACCTCGAGTCGACTCCCGGTCGAAAGAGCGAGGGTGCCGCCCCGTCCCCCAGCCGCGACGGCACTGCCCCTTCTGCTGGTAGCCCCCGAACCTACCGGATTCGCGAGTCCCTCAAGCGATACTGGGAGCGAGAGATCTGGAGCGACGTCTTCGATCTCCTTCTTAACCCTGGCTCTGAGCGTTGGACTCAGTTGGAAGCCAGCAGCGATCCCGTCAATGCTCCTATCTCGGACGAGAACGCTCATCCCCACGCTCCCATCCTGCCAGTCCTCAACTCCATGCGCCATCTCCGCGAAAGAATGGAAGCGTGGCTCCTCGTCAACGCAGAGAAGAAGAGTCTTGGTTTGCAGATCCGGAAGTTGGAGGCTATTTTCTCGGAGAGGAAGAAGAGGATGGAGAAGTCTTAGTTCTCTACGGCCCTCATACCATGTCATTGCTTTTTCTTCCATTTCTTGTTCTCTTTTCCCTTACATACCCATTCTCATCCTCATATTCATACTCATTCTGATCTCTCCCCATCTTGTTTCTTTTCACGATGCATCACGATCTCACTATCTATCTAATACCCCCTACATCGTTTTTCTTCCTTCCACCTTACTTGCTTGGTCTTAGTCTTGATCTAGTTACTAGGTCTTTGCTCTCTGCAGCGTTGGCGTTGTCGTTGGCGTTTTCGGTGATGGAATCCATACATACTATCATACAAACCGATCATATTCTCTTTTTTTCATGTATCGTTCTCTCCTCTTCTCTTCCCTTCTCGTACTATATCTTGTCAAATCGGATCGTATTCTAATATGCTCTGTTCTATTCTATTCTATCGTATATGGGTTGCTTGTGAGTATACTTCCCTTCTTTCGGAGCCAACGACTCGATGAGGTCACATGATTCTAGGGTATTTGATCTTATCTAGATCTGGATATTGTATTTTCGTTCCGCGGTAAACTTTCACTCAAGGAGATTTCTGGCTTCTTTCTACATGTTCAATTTGATTTTCTGTCAGGTTGTGTACTAATAATATCACTTGTTGAGTACAGTCAGGAATTCTGAGGGAACAGGTTCCAACTTCAAACGCAAATTCTATCCATGTCAAGTGTTACAAGCTACTATCAGGCAAGGTCATGTACAATGTCAATGCAAGTTCAATTTTTGGTAGGTCATTTGCGTCTAGAAGGCAAGATTGACTAGAATTGATCGTATAAAATCGGGAACGAATGCTAATGTTGTATTCTTATAAAAGACACTCCACAATCGAGGGAAAGCAATTAAACGAAAGATTGACATCTGAGTTAAATTGCAGTGTAAAGAAAGAAGAAAGTTGAAGGAAAGAAAAAAAAAAAAAGATAAAACGTCCGACTTATGCAAGACATAAAATAAATGAATAAAAAACAACAGTCATTCAGGTAAAATCAGACTGGGACTGAGCGCTGCAAAGTCTGTAAACGCTTTCGTAAACGTTGCTGAGCAGCATCATGAACATTTCATCTATGAGTCATTTCATTCAATATCGGCATCTCTCCATTCCAATCATCATGCATGCTGAAAAAGACAAAAGATCGCAAACATGGCTCATCATAAGACAAAACAACGATATGATGATCTGGGTATTGAGGGAGCGGGTTTCCTGGGAGTAATTTCAAAGAAAATAGAAAGATATGAGAAAAATTTCAAAGATTGTGATGACCCTGAACTTGGTTTTTCTTCTTTTTTTTTTTTGGCGTTTTGTTCGTTCATCTTCTGGGTCGAGATATTCTGTCGATGATGTATATGTTCAAAGAGTGACGAGGATTGGGTTTGTAGAAAAGGAAAAGAAAATCGAAAAATGTCGTCTAGACTGGAGATCAACAACGGCATGGATATTTCGGGAACAACCTAAAGGATCTGACACAGATGCAATTATCAGGTCGTGTCATGCTGGAGGTCGTTTCAAGATCGATCAATACTCAATGTTGCTTTGTTGGATGATAGAGAGGAGAGAGAAAAAGAGAAAGTAGAAGTTGGAGATCTGATATAATGAGAAAAGGAAAATGAAGAGCGAAATTCTGTCGACTCAGTTTGACACCCCGACCAACCACACTGGCGTACGCTTGTACAATGTTGTACAATATCCAGGTAGTTGACGAGTGCTATATTGACGAGAGTTGCAAATGCAAGGTCGTCCAAAGACTTTTTTTTTTTTCGTAATTGGTTTTGGGTGAAGCAGTTTTTCGCGAGGGAAACCCTTCTTAATGTCGTTGTGTTGTCTTTGCCGTGTATATTTTTGTTCTTTTCTTTTTCTTGTATATCATCAATGTCGTCAAAACCATGTCTGTCATTAGGTTTTCCTGGTTAGTTTGAAAACCAAGATTGCAGTTAAATCATCCAGGTCATTAAGCAAGGTAATTCAAGTGAGGTTGACACCTTGTCGAAAACAGATTTATCAATGCAAGACCCGTTCTGCTCTTTGCTTCGTCGTACCACTTTCACAATTGTTGTCTCGAGTGGGACATGTTCAATATTTGTCTCCGGATCCGTTCTGCATCAGATATGCCTTTCTCAGTGGGATCATGCGGGAGTGCATTGGGCATTCCCTGGGGCATGAGTTGAACATCTGGTGTTTTTGGCCGAATTTGAGATAACAATTCACGGGAGAATGGCTCCGAGCGCGAAGGGGCATGTCTCACGAATCTAGCAACCGGTCCGGAGCGTTTGAAGGTCTCCACTTTGAATGGCGAGCCGAGTCGTTTGATACTTTCCCCGCTCAGGTTCCGCAGCTGGTCGGCAACAGGCTTCACCATGTCGTATGTTTCCTCGTTTCTCGATGAAGATGACGGGGGAGAAAATAGTTGGTCGAGGCCTTTGGGGTTGACAGAGCTGGTTGTGGCCCCACGGTTCCTGATCCGCACGCGACGCTGGCCTGCGTCGCTCAGCTTACCCTGGCGATACATTTCTTCCAGATGACGCCGGGTGTCCTCTTCCTGAGGCGACTCGGTATGATTATCCTGGCGCCTGGTGATACCAGAGAATACATCCATGCGCGGCGGGGATTGCAGTCGTGAGCCGGTAACATGGATTGTCTCGCGTCTAACCCGCGGGGTGTGGCGATTGGCTCGCTTTTTCGAATGATGAGGACCCCAAGTATGGTAGGTGAACGGCGACCCAAGCCGAGGAGGCGCCACGTCTCGTTCGTCGAAACTAAAGGGTTTGTTTGCGAAGGGGTCTGTCGCGCGAGGGGGTTCGTGAGAGACGGGATTGTTGAACCACTCGTTGTTCGTCTGTTGAGGGGAGGCCGTCTCCGAAGCAAGTTGGGCGAGAGGGCCTGGAACTGAGCTGGAAACAAGCGAAACGCCCAAGTCGCGGGTTGCGTAGGCCGCCGAGCTGCTTCCCGGGGCCTCGACGTGCGACGACTCGCCCGAGGGTTGCGAGAAAAAGTCGAGCGCGGGCGTCGGGCTCTTGGACTGCATCATCCTTTGATAATGAGGGGCTATAGAGAATTTCCTCTTGCATAGGAATTTCAATCGCCGTCTAGTTGAGGCTTCCGACTTAGGCCAGAGGGGCTTTGGCGGGTCCGCCTTTTGAGTCGGTGTGGAGTCACCGCTACGGCTTTGTTGCGTCGTCGACAGCATGTCCTTGCTGAAGAGGAGAGGTCTCTTTTCCCAGGTTCTCTTCGCGTCTCGCGCGACTCGGTGGGTCACCCCCAGTGGCGGGATGCTCCCCGGGGTCATTTTAAACGGGGTAATTGTCGGGTTCTGAAGGTAAAGTTGATAGGTGTTCCAAAGGTGGTTGTCCATATCCAATGTCCACCGTGCTTCTCTGGGTAACGCCCGTGATTTGTTGCGCTGGCTTTTCGGTAACGGCGACTCTACGACCGGCTTCGGATGGAGTTCAAAGTGGAAGAATGGATCGTATGAGTCACTTTCCATACTTGTGCAGCTTCCACCCACCGAACGCCGGGAAGAGAACGTTTCAATTGACGAAATCGAAGAGTCCGAAGCATGCGAACAGGCGGAGCCGGGGCGTTCTATCTCTGCTCCCATCAGCTGAGGATCTTCGGTGGTCCAAGGCTCCGCGGATATCGGCTCGATGGGATCTGCGCGGATCTGGGCGGGTGGGGTTTTCAAGGCCACACGATCCCGCGGAGGGGCTAGAAAGCGGTCGTTACTGGCGGGCATCACCAAAGGCGGCTGAGCCATTGAAGCTTCGCCGGGCGGAAATTCAATGGAGGGTAACGGAATATCAGGTCGGCTAGAAAAAGAGGTTTTGAAATCATATTCGGCTTGCGCAAAGACGTCAGTCCCCGAGCGCACGCGGGACCTGCGCAAGCGACAGCTAGAATGGCGAGGAGGGGGAGGCGGAACGTCCAGGTAGGTCGAGGCGCGTTCGGGGGTTCTAGGTTCCCCCATCCCTGCCGAAGGGAAAGTGAAGTTTTTCGGCAGGGTGCGCGAGAGACCTTGCTGTCGGTACGCCATGGTTGAACTTCGTATGTCGTCGTGGCCACCGGAGCAAGAAAGTCGAATTCGCGAGCGACGTCAAGGATATCTAAGGGTCGTTCGCGTAACAGGTTGTTCGAAAGCCTCTATACCAGTAACATGTCGCTTATTGTCAAAATTCTTGCGCGGTCCGAAATATCAATTAGTCCAATCCAAGCCTTTGCGGAATTGATTTCTCTATCGCACGATTGTCGTCCTAGTCTCAATTGAATGCGTAACCGGATTTCCGTAACGGCGATAACCCAAGAGCCGACGAGTGTTTCGTGAAGCAATGTATTCAAGAGAGGAGTTGTATCTGTTTGGGGGTTGTTATTGTTTTTTTTCGTCAAATATGCAAGGCGTCTTCGATCGAGGTGAGACCAATTCCACCGGGCGCGTAACAGGGATGTCGTAAAATCGTAACCTCCTAAAAAAAAAAAAAAAAAGGAAAAGCAAAGGGAAGACAACAACAAAAAGGAAAATAACTCGTCAAGGTGTGAGTGGTCAGAAAAGTCGGCGACCGGTTCTGTGTGAATGGCGATGCGATGCGCAAAGTGAATTCGCGATTGGTGGTTGAGATCACATCGAAGGGTTCCCGCGGAGTAACTATAGAAGGGAGCCGGACATTGGCACACGAGAACGCCAGACCAACACAAAAGAAAAAAAGGAAAACAATAAAAGACGGAATTCTACGAGCCACGCGCGAGAAAGCGACAGTGGCCGTTCACGAGGGGAGGAGGGTGCAGGGGGGGGGGAAGGAAAAATCAAGAGAAGGCGAGGGAGAGGAAGAGGAAGGGAGAGGAAGAGTGAAGAGAGAGAGAGAGGGAAGAGGAAGCGACGAAGCAAGGAGGAAAGCGGAGGAAAGGGAAGGCGCGCAGGACGAGAAGCACCGGGAGGATCGCCCAAGAGGGGAAGGAACGAGCCTAACTGCTAAGGCCAGCAGCAGCCTAAGTTTGGGGGCT